TTCTAGTAGAAACACTGGCTCATTTTTATCTATTTTGCAGAGCTCAGGGGAGCCTATTTTCCATTTACAAAGATGCAAATGCCGGAATGTCATCAACTCTTCAATCAGAAATACCAAAGCTAGAGAATACATCATGGCACTGTCTTGGTGCCCGAGCAGATAGGAACAAGGAGAATCAGGCAATCCCTTCAAAGTGGACATCTAATAAGGTCCGTTTGAGTCCAGAGAGTTCAAAATAGAATATTTGATTTTTTGTCCAAACAGATAGGAACAAGAAAACTCATTAACAAAAATATTTCTTACAGATTCCTCAAAGACACGGGCTTAGAAATCGAGGAGCTACTACTACCACCACTCCGTGCCTAGAGATCTTTGTGGATGAGGAATGTGCCAAGTGAGTACCCATATAGATACAATGGTTTTTTGAGTGCGAACAACACATAGTTAACACTTAACAGTGTGTGTACATGCATCAAGACAAGGAGATTTTCAGCTATTGTAATAGTGTTAGTTTGTGGATTGACTTTCTTTGTTGCCCCCCTTCATCTTTGGCAGAGCACAGGAGAAGGACTCTGCTGCTGGTGTAAAGGCTTCTAGTCTGCAGCTTAGACGAGGAGATGACAAAGACATAAAAAAGTAAGTATCAAGTTTGTTTCTTCACTTCAATAAAAAGAAAGCACCTTTTTGACAATGCACTTGTATGCAGGGAGACTGAGTTGCTGAGGGAGAATCCCCTGCGTTATTTTCCACCAAGCTCATTACCAAGATGATCGATCTCACAGAAGAAAGTCATCATTGTGTGCTGGGATTTCTCATCTCAGAGTTACTCAACTTGTATCTTAAAAGTGTATGGAGACAATTCCTCTTTGCCCAGTGCAAGCACCGTTACAGATGTTCTAAATATATCGAGTGGAGTTGAGGAGACATTGTTGTATGTTTGGTTTTGGCAGGCTTGAGCCAAATCCTCCAGTATTTTGTTATTTAGATGGAATGATTTTATATGATTGCAACAGTTATTGATGTAGTATACAATTGCGCTTTCTCGTAATTAGCTCTTGGTTAAAGAGTTCTGCTTCACATTGGTTTTCTTATTTTGTTTATGATGATTAATTTTGTTGTTAATAATCCCCATCCAACAATTTTAAAGGGTGTGTACACCGTGAATTATTTCCTGGTATCGAAAGAGTTATTTACTACTTGAGCTATGGACTTCAAAATCCTGCCTTTAAAACCTTGTCATTTAATCAGACACTCCTTTTTTTTTTTAAAATAAAATTCTTTTTTATATCAAGGCAAATATTAACTGAACCACGGAAGAACTGTGTATAATTTAAGAATCTTAAATAGTACTTGTTAGTTTTAAGGAATGATTTCTTTTTCTCGAAAGAAAATCAAGATTCTCCTAAGTTGTTAATACTTCCTCGGTTTCTTTTATATATTATTCTTTTTTATAAATAGTTGTTCCATACTTATCATTTCATAAAATTAGTGCACCTTGTTTATAGCCTTGAAAATATATATTTCATCAACTTAGAAAAATTAAATAAATAATTCATGTTTTCATTCATTAAATTAATTAATCAAAATAAATTAATTCGTATTCATTGATTGAAAACTTAAATTCTAAAAATTAAATAAAATAAAAGGGTAAAATTATATCATTTCTTAATGTAAATTTAAAATAAAAATGTGACATATAAAAAAGAAATCGAAGAAAATACTATTTATTTATCATTTTTTTTTATAGAAACGAAAATGTGGCATGTTTTTAAAATTTATATTAATATTTTTATATATATAGAAAAGGAGGGAGGTGTGGTTTTCTTTTACCTTTTATTTTTTTTTTAAAAAAAAAAAGAAAAAGAAAAAAAGGTATTGTTTTCTTTTAATGGGAAAAGGGATGTAGTAATTAGTGAGGTGAGTTGTAGCGAAGTGGAATTCTTATTGGGTGGGTGACGAAGTAATTAAAAACTTGGAATTTCGTTGAAAGTGTTTGGAGCCTTAACCTCTAAGACACCTAACGTGATTATTAAATTGGGGACATCCAGAGATCGGGTCCCAAAATAGTGAGTCGGACCCTAGTTTCTTCACCCCACAATCTCCGTCGAACTGGCGATGATCGATAACATCGATGATATCATCAACTGGGACGATGTAGATCACATCTTCCACAACGTTCTAGACAATCCCGACGATGATCAATTCACTCTTCATGATTCCTCCCCACAGTCATTCCAGCAGATCGAGCAGCTTCTTATGAACGATGACGATTTCGGTCTTGTCTCTGATCCTCAGTTTGCTGCCGAATCTCTTTCTGACTTCCTCGTCGATTCTCCTCTTCACTCCGATCATTCTCACTCTCCTGCTGAACAAGCCATTGGATTCTCCGATCCCAAGGTTTCAAGTGCCGATCAGGACAAACACAAGGTTTCCCAGTCGCCTTCTGACGGCGACGACGAACTAAACAACCATGACCCCGTCGATAAGAAGCGCAAGAGGTATCTCTCTAGAGTTTTGCCCCTTTTTTCTTTCTAGTTTATTTATTCAATTTGTTTATAATTCTAGCACTTCTCTTAGTTTATTTATTCAATTTGTTTATAATTCTAGTACTTCTCTTAGTTTATTTATTCAATTTGTTTATAATTCTAGTACTTCTCTTTGCTTATAACTCTTCTGCACACACGATTTACACTACTGTGGCTTCTTTTACTTCTCGTGTTGTATCTCTTCTTTGAAAATGGTTGACCTACTAGCAGAAACAAATCCTAGTTTTGATATCTTAGTTAGTGTAACTCATGTTTATTAAATTTGCTTCATGTAAATTATCAATGACCAGAAAAATCTTTGCAGTTCCTGTGTATGCAAAAACCATATCCACATAGTGCCTTCTCAGCCAAATCGCGAATCAGTATTTCCAAGGAGTTCCTTTCTATAAGATTGCCTTAATTTGACATCACACATTGACTGTATGAGCCATTCATTTCATGATTTGATTTGTGACGTGTTAGAACATAATGTTCATTCTCTATTGATTATGAAACAAAAATATGATTCTCTTTTCCGAAGACATACAGATTTTATCAAAGCACATGATGCTGCAACTTTTCCATTAGTTTGCAATCATGAACACACCCCCAAGTGGGAAACTTTCCTGAATAGCAAACTACTTCTAGACTTCTTAGAATAAGAAGCCATGTCCTTGAAAGATTGCACTTATTTAATGTGTGATGGATATATTATTATGTAATGTGCGCATTTATCATGCTTAAAATTGCATAACATCTTGTGCATTTATCTAGAGTAGTTTAATACACCCCTCTCCTCTTCTATTTCAAAATGGTGAGAGGATTGTACTTATCTAATCTGTATGTATATAGCAGCTTAAAGAAAATCTCAGTCACAAACTTAATTTTTGTTCTCCAGGCAATTGAGGAATAGAGATGCAGCTGTGAGGTCACGAGAGAGGAAGAAGTTGTACGTTAGGGATCTTGAGTTGAAGAGTAGATACTTTGAATCAGAATGCAAAAGGCTGGGGTTTGTTCTCCAGTGCTGTCTTGCTGAAAATCAAGCTTTACGCTTTTCTTTGCATAATAGCAGTGCTAATGGTGTTTCTATGACCAAGCAGGAGTCTGCCGTGCTCTTTTTGGGTAAGTGCATAAGAAACATTCTTGTCATCTGTGGCTAAAATACTTTCTTTATACCACTTTTTGCTCTGCTACAATTTTCTGGACTTTGCTTTAGTTGGCGTTTGAAGCAAGAAATAGATGTGAATGTCTTGACATTTTTCCATCTTGCCATGGTTATGTTGGATAGATATTTTCTCTCAAATGCCTACATTAATAGATGCAATATGAATTTGCAGAATCCCTGCTGTTGGGTTCCCTGCTTTGGTTCCTGGGCATCACATGCCTGCTCATTCTACCCAGCCAAACCTGGTCAGTTCCAGAAGAAAGTCAGGGAAGCAGAAACCACGGGCTTCTGGTTCCAATAAAGGAGGGAAAAAAGACTAGTCGGATTTTGTTGTTCCTGTCCTTCATGATGAGCAAAAGATGCAAAGCTTCAAGATCGAGGATGAAGCTCAACCCCCATCCCTTGGGAGTTGTGATGTGACTCGTTGTGATCAAATCTTTTCCCATAGGTGGATCATGGTTCCTTTTGAGTTCTTTAGTTTTTTATCAGAGATTCTCTTGTATGTGTCTTGCTTTGACATCTGAAGGATGAAGTTCACTGTTATTAGTTAATGACTTATGAGCTATATAATATCTATGCAACTTTTTAATAGTTCCAACCGAGATTCGGTTGTCTTTTCCATTTCTCAATGTTTATTTTGTCCCATAGTGGTAGTTAGGAGCGGCCACCATTTCATCCTCGTTGCTGCTATGAAATCATGTGTAGATGGATATTAATTTGGTATAACATTCAGCATCTTTAAACTATGTTGAAACTTTGATGGTGGATTAAACCACAAGGTTGCAGACAGTGATCTGTTTCTATTATTTTCCGTTGTTTGAGCAATGCAAATAGTAGTTTTGACGAGATAAAGCGTATGTAGTTGGGGGAAAGAAGGAAATGTGCATTTTGCAATGTTTAAGATATTAAACTGGGGGCGCTGTTGGAAAATTAAAATAGAAACTGGCTCCTGATGTTTGTTGTCAAATGCCCTGAGAAAGTTTTGTCATTGTCCCCACTCACCATCGAGAAGTATTCTAGGTGAACCCTGAAATTACGCAACTATCCTCCTATCTGGACCTCTTGGCTCTTTCACTAGAAACAGAAATGGTGATACTCTTTACAAGTGTAAACACAAGTAAAGAAAAATCAAGTTTGACGTGGTTAATACTTTTTCAAAACAACACAAAATATTGAAGTAGAATATTCCTTATGTTAAAAACCAGTGTATGCTTGCTAACACCAACAAAAGCATAAAGAGGAAGGGGGGTATTTTGGTCATTGGGCATGGAAGGGCATACATACAAATACAGAGAGTAAGAAAACTGGTTGCTGTGTTTGTTGGTTGTATCGCCCCCACACTATATATAAAATGGAAGGAGGGACGGTCTTTTCAGAGTTAGAAACTGACAAAGAGAGTACTATTATATTATATTGAAACACACAAAAAAGTGAGGTAGGCATAAACAATGGATGCAGATTACGGCATAGCTCGAGAACTCTCTGATTTGCAGAAACTTCGATCTCACTACCACCCTGAACTTCCACCTTGTCTTCAGGTACAACTCTGTTCTATTCATCCACTCCTAACTACTACTACTAGTTTATATATGCCAAACTCTTTGCTAGATCTAACCTGCTACATCACACTCTTTTCTATCCTCGTACCACTATTTTCTTCATATCACGTCTAATTATTACACCATTTATTTGAGAGAGTATTTCAGAAAGTTGGCATATATATATATATCCTTGCAGCCGGCTGAAAGATCACATCTTTACATTTTCATCTGCAAAATAAGTCACCTCTTTACTTCAACTCAAGTAAACAACACATATAGACTGGCTCTGTTGCCCTTTTTGAAATAAATTATCGGGAAAAAATGCTGCTAAACTTTGACAAAATAAAACTTACAAGTTGCTCAGATTTTGTCTGACTGTTCCCAGACATTCATGGCTGTCCAACTTTTGTAGTTAAATGCATCACCACTTTGCTGATTGTTTACATTTTGGAATTTTATCTATGATATTTAAGAACCATTAAGCAATTTGTCCTTCAATGTTATTATTAACATATTCATCTTGAGAATTGTTCTGACTTATACAGGGTACTACTGTCCGGGTAGAACTCCGTGATGCAACCACTGCAGCAGATCCCTCTGGTGAACACACAATTAAACGCTTCTTCCCACACACTTATGGTCAACCATTAGCCCATTTTCTTAGGGCAACTGCCAAGGTCCCTGATGCTCAGATAATTACTGAGCATCCTGCAATTAGGTATTGCATCAGACGATTGCTCTATAATTGTGCAGTTCACTCACAAACTAGATCAGCATTGTGATCACTGATCAGGAGATGTTTTCTAACAAAATTCTATGTTGAGGTTTATGGATCTACCTCTGTTTTCTTGATAACATTCCTTTTGTTTTGTCTGTGATTGAAATCCTTTTCTATTTATATCCTCAAAATCTTAACACAGGGGAAATAATAGAAAATATTGGTTTATGCATTAGAAGCTAATTCACATATAGGTTACAATAAAATGAGTGTTATCCCTAATCTCTTTATTAGGACTGAAAACTGTGCTCACTGATTATCCTCTTCTTTTCTTAGGGTTGGGGTGCTATTTTGTGGTAGACAATCTCCTGGAGGACACAACGTGATATGGGGTCTTCATGATGCTCTTAAGGTTCACAACCCCAATAATATCTTGCTTGGGTTTTTAGGTAAGCATTTCCTTTACACTACACATTTTTCATTTGAGAACTTTTTTATGACAATTAGTGGGACACTACAGTAATAGTTGACACAAGTGTCTATTTGCATATCTACTTTACCACCATTACCATGAGTGTCTCTTTGCATGTGTCATGTTTAATATTTCGAGGGTCAATCCCTAACGTCAAACAATGTTTTTCCTGTCATGCTCTAATGTTTTCAGTTTTCTAGAAACTTGATTCTCCTTAGAGAAGGCTAATGTGTTGAAGGTCTCTTTTCCAAATCTCAACAGGTGGTTCTGAAGGTTTATTTGCACAAAAAACTCTAGAGATCACCGATGATGTTCTTGCTACCTATAAGAATCAAGGTAATTCACATCTGGATGAAGTTTGCTCTTTATATTTTCGTTTGGCCTTTTTTGGCTTATTTTTGTTGCCTTTTTCCTTGTTAAGGTGGATATGACATGCTGGGGCGGACAAAAGATCAGATTAGAACGACTGAGCAAGTAAATGCTGCAATGGCTGCATGCAAAGCTTTGAAATTGGATGGTCTTGTCATCATTGGAGGTATTGATACTGCTACAGTTATTAATGGTATATGACGAACCTTAAAGTACACTATTGCACTTCATCTAAAGTCTAACAATATGCATCGACTTGAAGGAGTGACATCAAACACCGATGCTGCTCATCTGGCAGAAAAATTTGCAGAAACAAAATGCCCTACAAAAGTATGTGTTATTCCCCTTGTGTCATGTAAAGCAATAAATCTTCTATTCTATTTTTTCTGATTTTTCCTGCTTCTAATCCAAACTTTGCATCTTATATCCGCTGTATTGTCTTATGCATTAGTATCACACTAAATTAATGTCTTTATCTTCTCTAGGTGGTTGGTGTTCCTGTTACCTTAAATGGGGATCTCAAGAATCAGTTTGTTGAAGCGAACGTTGGTTTTGACACAATCTGCAAGGTATTAATACAATCACCACATAGAATTAGCTCGTAACTGGCTTCCGTTTTTCATTGAAATGCATTGCCGTGTAAATTCTTCTTCTTCATGCTTCCCACCCCTTGGTTTAGGGTGGTTTTTTTATTTCTTGGTGGGCCGAGGATTTGATTGGACCTACTGCTTCAATCTTCTTCCTCTTTCTTCTTGTTATTCTTTGTAGTGGAATTGCAGGCATCATCCACATTTGATGGTATACTCCCATGGGTAGATGTAGGTTTTGCAGTGTTATATTGCACTTTCATGGACTTTTAGATGGGGAATAGCTCTTCTCTTTCTCTTTGTGATGTTGTGGATGTTAATTGAGTAATACAAGCCTTGGACTAGCTGATGTGTCTTTTGACTTCTTGATTTCTGGAATTCTATCCAATTGTGATTTAGATCAGGGAAAAGCTAATTATATGTGGTTCCACCTCAGGTTAACTCCCAACTAATTAGCAATGTATGCACTGATGCACTCTCAGCTGAGAAGGTACCAACTCTATTCATATCCTGAAAGTTTTTCGTTGTTGCTTCTGATGTAGTACGGTGCTGAAAATACAACATAGAATACTAATCTGGTAGTACGAAACCCTGATGGAGGATTGTCCTAACTAGTTGATTATGATTTACAGCACATGTTTCTTGTTACACCTTTGTTTTTGTCTTTCTATTAACGTACTGTGGGGATATTTCCTTTTCAGTATTACTATTTCATTAGACTCATGGGGCGAAAGGCATCACATGTTGCATTAGAGTGCACTCTGCAGTCACATCCTAATATGGTTAGTTTTATCTCTGAGATGATAAGCTGGCGCTGCACCTTGGACATGGTGCTTCTTTATATATTGCAAGTGTTCTTGCTTACTAAATGTTGAGTGATCTTGCAGGTGATTCTTGGAGAGGAGGTAGCTGCATCAAAGCTTACTATTTTTGACATCACACAACAAATTTGTGATGCAGTTCAGGCTAGGGCTGAACATGGTATTGAAGCTTCTAGGTTTTCATTTTTCTTTAGAGTCATTTTTGAGTTTTCCAGTCAGCTGACTAAGGTTTTGTATTCAGATAAAAATCATGGTGTCATCCTGTTGCCTGAAGGGCTTATTGAAAGTATTCCTGAAATATATGCTCTATTGCAGGTATGATGCAAAATAAATTGTTTAATACCTTAGCTGCATGCTAGATCTCCTTCCTGGAACAACTGCTTCCCCCCACCCCACCCCACCCCACCCCAAAACCCAACCAAAAAAAAAAAAAGCAGAACAGAGGTGTAAGATGACGCATTTTCCATGTTAATTTTTTATTGCTAGAAAGCTTTGTTGGGATGTGGACTTGTTATGAAATTGCCTTTTCTAATTGTATGAATTCCAGGAAATTCATGGTTTACTCAGGCAAGGTGTTTCTGCTGATAACATTTCCTCTCAACTATCACCATGGGCTTCTGCACTTTTCGAATTTTTGCCGCATTTTATCAGAAAGCAGGTGCAGTTTCTGTATGTTTCTAAATTGACTGACTGAAGTTCCATTTTACAGTGCTTACACCCCTAGACTTGTGATTTTGCAGCTTCTCCTACACCCAGAATCAGATGACTCTGCTCAGCTATCACAGGTTATTACACTTGCTGTTTGGATGCTGCTGCTTGATGATATATGAACTATCTATGAGTTGATTATCTTTAATGCTTTCCTTACAGATTGAGACCGAGAAACTTATAGCTCATCTCGTGGAAACAGAAATGAACAAGCGATTGGTAAGTTTGTATGTAATGATTCTTTGGGATCTCTAACAAGTGATTGGAGAGTAAGTTAGAAGTACAATGTCCCGCAAGGATTGAGGATGATGTTTGTGCAGAACTGCAGATAAAGATTATTTTGAAATTTCCTAAGAGTTCTAGGAAGTTACTCAAATTATCTCTCTCCTATTTATGAAAAAATATTACTTTTCTCCATTCTGCTTGTTAACTCCAAGTCCATGATGTATTATCTGCAAGGGCTCAAACATCAGGTGGATAAAATTTCCCCATTGCACAAAATTTTCATATTCACTAATTTTTTAGTTTTCCTTGATGGAAGTCGGTCCCTGACGATGAATTGTTCTTTTCTTCTTTTATTTTCATCAAGATGTTTCTTGTTACTTTCTTGTAACAGACTATTTGTAGGTGAGAGTTAAAAGGAAAAAGACTGAAGCTACAAACTCTAAAGATACTTGCTCCCAATTTTTTTATGTATGACTGTCCTTTACTTTCTGTCACTTTACAGAAAGAAGGAACTTACAAAGGAAAGAAATTTAATGCTATTTGCCATTTCTTTGGTTATCAAGCACGGGGATCATTGCCATCAAAGTTTGATTGTGACTATGCCTATGTAAGTTTTGCTGGAGTTTCTATATCTTCTTTTCTAATCTTGATTTCAGATACATAATTCCGACAACCAAATACAGGTGCTTGGTCATGTTTGCTACCATATTTTAGCTGCTGGTCTTAATGGTTACATGGCTACTATTACCAACCTGAAAAATCCTGCCAACAAGTGGCATTGTGGTGCTGCCCCTATATCTGTAAGCAACTTCTTTGAACTTATCCGGAGATGCACCCTAAACTTCCACTTTTTTGAAGTTGTGAATATCCAAAAGATCTGCTCTGTTCACTGTTTCGTTGCTGCAGGCAATGATGACTGTTAAGCGCTACGGTCGTGGTCCTGGTAAAGCATCAATTGGGGTACCTGCTTTGCATCCTGCTACTGTGGATTTGAGGGGCAAATCATATGAGTATGTCAAATTTCTGAATTGTTGTTTATATATATTTTCAGCTTAAAATGCATGGAACTTTTGAGTTTCAAAAGGTAGGAAGTAGTAGACATCAAATAGTAGGAGATGCTTTTAAGAAGTGGCATTCTAAACATGCATTTTGTAAGTAAACTGCTGGAGCAATACGTATCCTCTTGCAGCACCTAATTTCTCTTTTCATTTTGTGCAGACTGTTGAGTCAAAATGCAACAAAGTTTTTATTGGATGATGTTTATAGAAACCCAGGTCCCCTCCAGTTTGATGGTCCTGGTGCAGATGCCAAGGCTGTTACCCTTTGTGTTGAAGACCAGGATTACATTGGACGTATTAAGAAATTGCAGGAATACCTAGACAAGGTGCTGAAATTTTGAAACAGTATCTCCTTTTACCAACTTCTGTTGGCTATTCATTAAATGTCTTATTTCTTTCAGCATGCTTTATTATTTTATTTTCAGGTGCGTACAATTGTGAAGCCTGGTTGCTCACAAGACGTCCTGAAGGCTGCATTAAGTGCCATGGCTTCTGTGACTGACATTCTTTCAGTGATATCGTCACCCTCAAGTGTGAGCACACCATTTTAGATGAGAACCTATCATCTTTTAACATTGAAAAGATTTGGAGGAACTCTTGCTTTTGCGGCTGTTTGCCTAGTTTTTTTTTTTTTCAATCTTGTAAAAGCCAAATAATGTTGAGAAGATTATACTTCTTTTTGAGAGTTTGTTGAAGGATCCAAATATTCCTGTGCGTTAATACATATCATTTTTCTGGACGACTGACTATGTTTAGACAATATTTGGCCCAACTTGACAGTAAAGATTACTTAGTATTAGTGTTTGGATATGAATTTTATTATAAAGTAAAAACTGAAGATTTAGAAAACAACTGACACGAGTTTTATGAGTGCAGTCAGTATTTCACTTAAAATACTCTTTTAAGTACTTAAATATATTAAGGCACTAGTCTGTTTATTCAATGGTTTTTCAGTTTTCTTATGGTTGAGCAAAACCCAATTGACATATTCTTCCACCTGTGTTGCATAAAACTTGTGGGAGTGTCTTGAAGTTAGAATAGGAGCAAAATATTACTACTAGTGAGCAATTCTTGATTGAACTCTCATCCTAGGCTTGTCGTCTTTCTCTTCAATTTCAAAAAATCCACTGCCAGGCATCATGAAAAATGCCGTCAAAACATCTTTGCAGAACCAATCAGCCACGAGTTCCATTGCTAACTTCTACGCCGTCCAGCTCCAACTTCTTTGCCGAGAGCATAAGCATGCCACCTCAGCGTCTGCTCTTCTTCGATCAATTCATGCCAACATGATCACCTCCGGATTCAGGCCGCGTAGCCACATCCTTAACAGCTTAATCAATATCTATTGCAAAAATTCCGGTCTTGTTTATGCAAAGCACCTGTTTGATAGAATTCCCCAACCAGATGTTGTGGCAAGAACAACTATGATTGCTGCATACTCTGCTTCCGGAGAACCCAAGCTTGCAAGAGAGATTTTTGACAAAACCCCATTAAGTTTCCGTGACACTGTTTGTTACAACGCTATGATTACAGGCTATTCACACAACAACCATGGCCATGCTGCTATAAAATTATTTCTTGATATGAGGTGGAAAAATTTTCAACCCGATGAGTATACCTACACCTCTGTACTTGCAGCCTTAGCCCTTATAGCTGATCATGAAATGCACTGCCGGCAGATGCATTGTGCTGTTGCAAAGTCAGGCATGGCCAACTTTAAGTGTGTTGTCAATGCACTTATATGTGTTTATGTCAGATGTGCTTCGTCACCCCTGGCATCATCCTTGCTGTTGATGGACTCAGCTAGCAAGTTGTTTTATGAGATGCCAGAACGGGATGACTTGTCTTGGACTACGATTATCACAGGGTATGTGAAGAATGATGATCTTGATGCTGCTCGGAAGGTGTTTGATGGTATGGATGAGAAGTTGCTTGTGGCATGGAATGCCATGATCTCCGGATATGTGCATAAAGGTTTCATCTTTGAAGCATTAGATATGTTAAGGAAAATGTATTTAGCAGGGATGAAGCCAGATGAATTTACCTGCACTAGTATCCTCAGTGCTTGCGCTGATGCTGGACTGTTTCTTTTAGGAAAGCAGGTGCATGCTTACGTTAAACGAACAGAAGAGAAAATCCATGTGTCTGTATATAATGCTTTAATAACATTATATTGGAAATGTGGTAGAGTTGATGATGCAAGAAAAGTTTTTGATAATCTAGTTTTTAAGGACATTGTTTCATGGAATGCAGTTCTATCAGCATATGTGAGTGCAGGCCGGATTAGTGAAGCTAAGTTATTTTTTGATGAGATGCCAGAGAAGAATTCCCTGGCATGGACAGTAATGATATCAGGATTAGCACAAAATGGACTTGGAGAAGATGGTCTCAAACTGTTCAACCAAATGAGAGTAAAGGGGATCGAGCTGTGTGACTATGCATTTGCCGGAGCTATTACATCTTGTGCAGTGCTCGGAGCGCTAGAAACAGGATGCCAACTCCATGCTCAACTAATCCAGCGTGGTTATGATTCAAGCCTTTCAGCTGGAAATGCATTAGTCACATTTTATGGAAGATCTGGGGTCATTGAAGCTGCACGCAATGTGTTCCTCACAATGCCTTGTGTAGATTTGGTGTCTTGGAATGCATTGGTTGCTGCCTTGGGACAGCATGGATATGGTGTTCAAGCGGTTGGACTTTTTGAACAGATGTTAGATGAAAATATAATGCCTGATAGGATAAGCTTTCTCACGGTTATATCTGCTTGTAGTCATGCCGGATTGGTTGAAAAGGGACGACACTACTTTAATATAATGCACAGTGTTTATAAAATAATCCCTGGAGAAGATCACTATGCCCGTTTAGTTGATTTGTTGTCTCGAGCTGGAAGGTTATTAGAAGCAAAAGAAGTGATCCAGAATATGCCTTATAAACCTAAAGCACCCATTTGGGAAGCTCTTCTTGCTGGTTGCCGAACTCATAGGAACGTGGATTTGGGGGTTGAAGCAGCAGAACAACTCTTTGAGTTGACGCCACAACATGATGGAACCTACATACTTCTAGCTAACACATTCGCTGCTGCAGGCCGATGGGATGACGCTGCTAAGGTGAGAAAACTGATGAGAGACCAAGGGGTGAAAAAAGAGCCTGGATGTAGTTGGATAAAGGTTGAGAATACCGTTCATGTCTTCTTGGTGGGTGATACTGCACATCCTGAAATTCAAGTAGTGTACAACTACCTGGAGGAATTAAGGCTGAAGATGAGGAAAATGGGATTTGTTCCAGACACGCAATATGTGTTGCATGATATGGAGACTGAGCAAAAGGAGTATGCTCTTTCAACTCATAGTGAAAAGCTGGCGGTTGTATTTGGGCTCTTGAAGCTTCCTCGTGGAGCCACAATTAGGGTCTTCAAGAACCTTCGGATTTGTGGTGACTGCCACAATGCCTTCAAGTTCATGTCGAAGGTTGAGGCAAGAGAAATCATCGTCAGAGATGGAAATAGGTTTCATCATTTCAGGGATGGTGAATGCTCATGTGGGAACTACTGGTGAGATACCGGATAAGATTAGAGTCACCTATGAGTGTCTTTGGTTCCAGAGATTTGAATATGTCGTTCTGGAACCAGTTGTATTACCAGGGAAAAGTTGCAGCACCTTTGAACAGTAAATGTAAGACTTCAAAGCTAGAAGAGGGAATGTGCTGCTATCTTGTTTGGCTGTGGCATTTTGAATACAGATCTTCACGGTGAATGTTTCTGGTTTGTGGCTTCCGGGATGTTGAATGCTCATTGGTACCTTATTGATACTTAAATCAAGATGCATATGCCTTATAGTTATACACAACTGAGTAATTATCAAGGAAAAGAAATTACTGCTCCAAAATACTCCCACTTTGTGAATATTTGCCTTGATTAAGAACTTTGAGTGCCAAAGGGTGGAGAGACTCTCTGCTTGTTTAGTGGTGGAGAATGATGCAGTTGCAATTTCTAGAATCCTCAAGCACAAAGGTACTAATATCAGAGAAATATTTTCCCATGAAACATGTTTGTGTTATGCACTTTATTGAGAGAACTATTTTATGCACTATATATGAAATAAATTAGCTCTGTTCCTGGGGAACTTCCACCCCAGTTTTCTTACCTTAGGATTTAGATTGTAATTTGTTTTATTCAAAGTTGAATGAATTTAATTGAATGAGATTCCCTTTGTAAGGATTTGATACCTGGGTCTAATTAAACTTCAAAAAAGTTAGCTCATGTGGGGAGGATTGCCCAAGTCCATATTAGCAGACCACCAGTCCATTCCCAACCAATGTGAGACTCTAACCCACTCGTACACTCTTTAGGTTCAAGTTGTTATCTTTTTCGACTTTGATGAATTTATTGTTCTGCATTCTCTGTGTCATCTGGTCTTTGATTATAACCACTCACCCGATTTAACTAGAATTTCATTTTACAAATGGTTTGTTGTGTCCCTTATCTACATGCTGATAGTTACCTTATTTGCCTGTTTCCACTGACAGGTGAGATAATTTTTTTTAATTTCAGGAGTACAGATTACAGTCCATGCAAAGAAGACATCTTCATGTCCTCCACTGATTCCATCTGACAACATCTACCAAATTTAATTGACCATCTTTTACGACCATTGCTTTAAATAAGCATAGGGCTGAAGGCAGATTTGATTTGCTGCAATTGTCCTTGGGCTGGAACATCTGTCTCTTTAGCAAGTGAACTGCTTTTTCACGTGCCCTAATTGGACTTGTTGAACTCAAGGATTGCTCTCTGCTTGTGGCTGTTCTGATCAGCTGTATGCTTTGTTCAGGATGCTCTGTGCACCAGATATACTTGTATTTGAAGGAGTTCCCCCCTATTATCTGGTGCAGAGTGGCTGATCTTTTTGCTTAACTCAACTAGACCAGCCACTCTTTAATGGGAGTTGTTTGAAATGGCTTTATCTAGGCTTGGTCCCAGCCACTGAAAACTATTGTTTGTGGGATCACTGAAGTTCTCGTGAACAACAATTGATCTTAGCTAACTCTGAAATCAATCTCGCATTCAATTCACTCTCGAGAAGAACCAAAGGATTTGACAGAGGTTGTAGATACTAGAAGTTAAATCACTATGGTATAGATTCACTTGTCATAATTTTTCTTATCTTTTAGGGTTAGACACAGAAGTTTGTTTACTTAATCGTTGTACTTTACTCATCTCTCCTGGAATCTTACATTTGAATGCAAGCACATGTTGTAATTCTACAATTTTGTTTTATAATGGGTTCGCTAAAGAAAGCAGGCGTGTCATATTTAATTGGAAGCTGTTTGTTTGGCATATTTAATTGGATAAATGACTATCCTTACTTATATTATAATTGGAGAAGTAGGTAGAAGAGTTAAACTTTGGATCAAGGCATATTGTTTTGCTTAAATGTACAACAAATATAACAACTGCCCTATTGATTACATTTTCAATAAGAAAAGACACGGACGGTTGTAGAAGATTCTTTTATTTCTAGTGTAACGGATATTGCATAGAAGGTCCTATTCAATGTGACTCATAATTTTGCTTGCTGGCTCTGTTGATGTCATAGCAAAGATCATAAAAGATGAAAAAGTCGTGACTTTTGGCCTCTTCTTTCCTTCTGGTAGTAGTTTGTCATAATAACATCAATTTTTTGGCAAATTGGTTTGCAGTTGATAGATAATGTATCAAGGAAGAGTTGAGAAATCACATCATATTGTAGTTCTAGCAGATCAGGGACAGGGCCATATTAATCCGATGCTCCAATTCTCAAAACGCCTGGCTTCCAAAGGAATCAAAATCACTGTAGCCACCACACTCTCCAATGCAAAGTCCATGAAAGCTACTTTATCTTACTCCATGATCACTTTTGAATCTATTTATGATGATTGCTCCCAAGGCGGGGTGTTGGGTCCTGGAGGTTTCAAAGGATTTCTAGACAGATTCCAGGCCAGTGGCTCAACAAACCTCACCAGATTCATCTTGGATCATGAACATCCTGTTAAGTGCCTTGTTTATGATGCTAACATTCCCTGGGCTTCCAAAATTAGTACCCAATTGGGCATAGCTGGCGCAGCCTTTTTCACTCAATCATGTGCTACTGCTGCTACCTACTATCCCATGTACTGTGAGGTTTATGAAAAGACTCCTCTTTCCATGCTTAGTTTTCCGGTGGTCACACGATTGCCGAAGCTCAGGTTTCCGGATCTGCCATCTCGCACTGGTCGGTATCCCCCAATAATCATTCACATACTTGGCCAGTTTGACAACTTCGGAAAGGCAGACTGGGTCCTCTTTAACTCATTTGATAAGTTGGAAGAAGAGGTAGGTACACCATATCTCATTTGCTCTTTCAATCTTTTCTAGCTAGTCTTGATTATATATGCACGCCAGACTTGGGGAAAAGAAGCCAATAATATTTCAGGCTAGTAATGTATTGTTTTCTTTGTCAAAGAACTGTAACTTTAAAGAACCTATAACGCACGTTGTTATCAAGCTTTAAAAGCTTTTAACTTGCTGGAATTTTTCAGCACCAAGTTTAACTTGTTGGGACAGGTGGGGAAGAGGGACATAGTGAAGACGGGCTTTACTCAAATGAGTTGAATGAGCAAGCCAATAAGATGAAATTGCTCTTGTTGAACCAGCTACTAATCACCAAGTCCTTTGTTTAGCCAAATTACATTTGCTATATATTTGATTTTTAAGGAATAAGAATTGTTTGACTCACTCAGCTAATTAATCTGAATTTAGGTTGTCAATTGGATGAAGAAAGTTTGGAATGTAGTAACGATAGGTCCAACATTGCCATCATTTTATCTTGACAAACGAGTTGAAAATGATAACGAGTATGGCTTCAATATTCATAAGCCAAATTATAGCAATTGCATGGAGTGGCTTGACAGTAAGAAAACTGGATCAGTTGTCTACGTCTCTTTTGGAAGTGCAGCAAATCTGTGTGCAGAACAAATTACAGAACTAGCTGATGCTCTCAGGCAAAGCAACATTATGTTCTTATGGGTGGTGAAACCTGATGAACAGAGTAAGCTTCCCAGTGACTTCAGTAAAGAGACATCAGGTAAGGGATTGGTTGTGACATGGTGCTCACAAATAGAGGTACTAGCACATCATGCAATCGGATGCTTCATATCACACTGTGGATGGAACTCAACCTTAGAAGCAATAAGCTTCGGTGTGCCTATACTTGCAATGCCTCAAATTTTAGACCAAATAATCAATGCGCATTTTCTTGAGAAAGTTTGGAGTGTAGGGTTGATAGCTAAAGCAAATGAGGATGAAAAAGGTGTCACTGCAAGTGAAGAGATATACAGGTGCATCAGGGAAGTTTTAGAAGGAGAGAGAGGAGAAGAAATTAGAAAGAATATTACTAGCTTGAAAGAATTGGCTAAGGAAGCAATTGACACAAGTGGAAGTTCAGACAAGCATATTGATGACTTCATTTCACAGCTTGATCCTGCCTACTTGAGACACAGATCGAACTACAACTGAAATTGCACAATTTATCTGACTTATATACTATGTTTGATTAAATGGTCCTGGTGCTGCTTCACATTATATATAATAATATATAATATATTACTTATGCGTGTATATACTCGAGGAAAACGAAATGGAGCAATCAAACATTGTATTAAACTACTAATCAAATGCAAAGATTAAGTAGGTTTTTGAAGTTTGAACATATGCAATCATGACAATGTTGTTTGTCTCGATATTTTTTGGTTCTTGTAATCAAGAGTTAATCCAAGTAAGAGTGGTGCTACTGTGGTGTTTAGAGATGCTGCTGGTGACTTAATGTGTGCTGCTACCCGTTCAAACTAATATGTATTCAGAGATAATCCAGGCTTCTGTGGTGTTTAGAAATGCTACAAAGGTGATTTTATGTGTTGCTATTCTTTCAAATTAATGTATTTAGAGATAATGGCTTCACAAATGTGGTGTTTGAGACTAATTCAACCATTGCTAGACTGATCTTGATGTCTGCACCCTAGGTTGTTGATACAATAGTCAGGAAAATTATTAAATTGTCGAGGGATGAAAAAAATGTTGTTATGGAGTAGACTAGTAACTCAAACGAGCTCCCTGATGGATTCATTCCTTTGTACAGACTCCATTATAGCCTCTTCCTTTTGTATCTACCGCTAATAACGAAGAAAAAAAAGTGTCTCAAAAATTTTCAATTAAAAAAAAGATAAGTGGACCTCGTTTACTTTTTAAATTTTTAATATTAATAAAAGGAGTAAACTAAGAATATTTTTCGTAGTGATCTAAAATTGTCTGAATAACTACTAAAGTTATTTGAAAAACTACTGGAATTGTAAGATAACTAAAGTGTAAAAGTTAAAAATTTGGGACTATTGAGAAAAAATATATTTTAACCTAATTTGTACTAAAGATCACTAATTAGTTTGTCCATTTTAATAAATCCCCCCCTAAAAAAATGGTGTATCAATGAATAATATGGTATTTTATTTGATGATTAATCAAAAAAAAAATCCTACTTTGCTACGGTCACAGTTTTTGGATAAAATCATCCTTAATTTATACCCAAAACTTACCATACATCTTAAAAGTATCATTCTTAGCAAAAAACATCTTTCAAGTATTTAAAAGTGAACGATTTTATCCTTCTACTTGAATTTTCAGAAAACTAACAAATATCACAAAAATTAAGCATCCCTTCGTAATTATTATTCTTAAATACATCAAAAATATTATCGTCAACTTTTTCGTAATTGAGTTTTGCATTATGCATAATCTTTTAAATTTGACTTTTTTTTTCAATTATTTTTCATGAAATTTAATATTAAAAGTATTATTAGCTGAATATGTTTCTTCTTAATTAAATATGCTAGAAGCAGCGTTTGGTGGAGAATTCCGCTTCTAATAAATATAGAATGAAATTCAAATGGGAGACATAATTAATATTTTTGGGTCAATCAAATATTGAAGTTTTAACTTCTTTTCGTTACTAAATGAGAAAAAGAACATATTATATATTCTTACACCTTCCAAATATTTTTTTTGTTTCAGGAAGTAATGGTGTATAAAAAATTTTTTTTTTTTTTGGAACTTCTGCTAATGAAATTATGTAGTAAAACTTTTATTGATACTCACTCATATTTTTATAATTTTTTGACGATATCTAAGAGAAGCATAAAAATTTGATAATTTAATTTTGAGATATAATTTAAGCTCTCTATTTTCTGTAAAGTAAAGAACGTGGAAAAAGGTCAAAATTTTGAAGGAAAGACGAAGGTCGCCATTTTTGCTGAGTTTGGAGGAGGTTGCCATGCCCATGCAAAAGCCCGCGCTGTACAATTGGTCTCTCTCCCTCTTCTTGCGGGTTAGTCAATAATATTTTCTCTACTCTCTAACAAAACTTTTCGATAGTAGGTTTCTGTTTCTTTTCTGCGCATTATGGAATCTGAACCCTTAATTTTGGAAAACGAGTTCGATATGTGTTCTGCCGAAGAAGAAGATAACCTCAATGCTTCTGGTGTAGACTTAGGACAACAGTGTTCTTCTTCCGATTTAGAACCCTACGAGGGCATGGAATTCGAATCCGAGCAGGCTGCTAGGATTTTCTACAATTCCTATGCCCGCAGAGTTGGGTTTGGCACTCGGGTCAGCGCTTATCGACGTTCACGTCGTGATAACTCTATTAGTACCCGCCAATTGGTATGTTCCAAAGAGGGTTTTAACCCTAGGCCTGATAATGGTGCTCAACACAAACCCAAACGACAGCGGATTGTCTCTAGGGTCGGCTGTAAGGCTCACTTGACTGTAAAGAAACTGACTTCTGGTAAGTGGGCTATTACTAAATTCATCAAGGACCATAATCATGAGCTTGTACCCCCTGATCAAGTCCACTTGATTCGATCACATAGGCATGTTTCTGGTCCTGCCCGCAGCTTGATTGATACTCTTCAAGCTGCTGGTTTAGGCGCTACTGGTGTTATGTCTGTCCTAATAAAGCAATCTGGTGGGCTTAATAACGTTGGTTTCACAAAAGTTGATTGCCAGAATTATATGAACCAAAGCAGGCAAAGGACTCTAGGGAGTGGTGCTCACTATATTTTTGAGTATTTAAAGCAGAAGCAGTCTGAGGATCCTGATTTCTTTTATGCTGTTCAAGATGGTTCATCGGGAAACATCTTTTGGGCCGACTCAACCTCTAGAAAGAATTACTCTTATTTTGGAGATACAGTTACATTTGATACCACCTATAGGACTCACCGATACCGGGTGCCTTTTGCACCATTTATAGGAGTAAACCATCATTGTCAACCTGTTTTATTTGGCTGTGCCCTGCTTCTCAATGAATCAGAGTCATCATTCATTTGGCTATTCGAAAATTGGCTTGCTGCAATGTCTGGTTGCCATCCTATTTCTATAACTTCAGATCATGATAGGATCATCAGGTCAGCCATATTAGACGTATTTCCAGGCGCTCGCCACCGCTTCTGCAAATCCAATATTTTTAGAGAAGCACAGGAGAGGCTCTCACACTCAATCCAGTCATTCCCCACTTTTGAAGCAGAATTTCAGAAATGTGTCAACTTGACTGAGACAATTGCGGAGTTTGAATTATGCTGGGGATCCCTACTTGGAAGATACAATCTGATAGATGATGAATGGCTTCAGTCAATGTACGATGCTCGACAACAATGGGTTCCAGTTTACCTTCGAGATACATTCTTTGGAGATACATCTATTGCTAAAACTAGTGATAGTACAAGCTCATTCTTCGATGGATATATAGATGCATCGACTAACATTCACATCCTCATGAGTCAGTATGAAAAAGCTATTGCAAGCAGGCATGAGAAGGAGGTGAAGGCGGAGTATGATACCATAAATATTGCTCCTATTTTGAAGACCCCATCCCCCATGGAAAAACAAGCAGCTAACATTTATACTAGGGAAATATTTTTGATGTTCCAACAAGAATTAATGGAAACTTTGGCTTATCCTGCAACTTCAATTAATGATGCAGGATCAGATGTAATATTTCAAGTAGTAAAATTTGGAGAAGACCATAAAGTACATTATGTCCAATATAATGTCGTTGAGAAGAAAGCTAGCTGTAGTTGCCAATTGTTTGATTTTTCAGGTATTCTTTGTAGGCACATTTTAGCTGTTTTTAGAGTGAAAAATGTTCTGAGACTCCTATCACATTATGTACTAAAACGTTGGACAAGAAAAGCCAAGAGCGAGGTTTTATTGGATGAAGACAAACTTGGATTACCAAGTAGCCATAACGACTCTTTCACTGATCGCTTTGAAAAGTTGAGCCTAGAAGCAACTAATTATGTCAAAGAAGGAGTGGATTCGAAAAGTGTGTACCTAGTTGCTTTGGATGCTTTATGTGAAGCTTCCAAGAAGGTTGCTGCTGCTATGTGCGGTACTCCAGCACAGCCACTGAGTCAAGACATGAACAAAGAAAAGGAATTCAACTTGAATGGAAATCAAACTGATTGTGATGATCCCAGCTTGCTGGTAAACTTTTTTTTCTTTGAACTCTTTCTTCTCCTTCCATAAATTAGTGGGATGTTCCTTCTGCTGGTGTTATATCATGCATTTTGTCTTACCACAAGTTTGTATTAATTCTGTCTTCCTTCTTGGTGATTAAGCATTGGTATGGAAGTGGAAGTAAATCAGAGAGATCGTCCATCCCTAAATCTTTTACCTATATTGTATGTTGTGTTTCTAAATTGTACATTGTAACTTCTATATATTAGTTACTGCATCACGAATTTATGGTTTTTACTGCACCTAAAGGCATGACCTAGTGGTCAGTGAAGATGGAACTAAAATCATAGGATTACAAGGTACGAATCCCAAGAGTAAAAAATGTTGGCTATTTGCGGAAGGAATTACCCTGTACTTGCACTAGTGAAAGGTGCTGGTACAGTGGTACCGCATGAAATAGTCAAGACACTCTCAAATTGGTCTGTCACCATTGCTATACAAAAAGAAAAAGGAACAGCGGCAGCGGCATTCACAAGATTTATTGCAAAGAGGAAGGAGAGGGGGGTGGGGGGAACACAGTGGGCCTAAATCTGTCTGCATTGAGAATTTAAAGAGGTCAAAATGCTTGATGTTTGTCGGACTCTTCAGAAATGACATCAGGTGTGTGTCAGGCCCTTCAAAAGAAGTGCAGTTTTGGAGGATTCAACACGGGTGTGGCATCATTTTTGGAGAGTCCGAGCAACTTAGAAAATGCTCATTAGGAAAACAGAAGTGTCGGCTCTACATTTTTTCCATTTTATTAGGATAGCCAACTTTTGCAATTGCTAAAGATTCAGCGCTCAAATCATGGCACCCCTTAAGGTTCTGATCATAAGTCATCTGCTTGTGCTTTGGTCTCTGATTTTTCATTGTTTGTGTTATTTCTGTTTTTCTTTTTTAAAAATATAACAAATTCCACAGTTGCAGTTTGCAACTAAGAGATGTTGAATCTTTGATAGCTGCTGAACAAGTGACTCTGAGTGAATTGTTTCTTTCTTGTCTCCAGAAGCCCATACCAAATGATTAATGAATTTTGCTTCTTGCGTCTTGGCACCTTGTAGATATTCAGTGGTCACATCTTCACATGCATTACTTTAATTTGGTATCAGTAGACCTTGAGAGTATTATGAAATCTATATTTCTTAGATTGTGAATTAACATTGTCAGTGTTTGAAGGTCATATGAATTTCTGTTGCTACTTATGAGTTAAAATTGTGAATTAGTCTAATGATTAAAATTCCTATGAATTTTATGAGTTGAATAAGAAAGTTGACCTTCGCATTAGCAATTCTGACTTGTGGTTTATAAAGTAAATCCTGTCAACTAGATTTCCCTAATAGTAGTTCAATAATAGTTTTCTGATTCTCTTTTTACCAGTCATGCATTACTAATTTGAGTGTGCAACTGACACTGAGCATTTCTTTTACCTTTTGTAGAGTGAAGATGAGAAAATTAAGGAATTAACGACTGCTGTGGTATATGCAACTGAGACCTGTGAAGCTTATCGAGCAAAATTGTTGAGTATCTTGAGCGAAATGGAGGAGCAGAAGCTGAGAATATCTTTGAAGGTGCAGAGTATGAGGGTTCATCGAATAACTTGAGCTATAGAAGGCACTTCAAAGTCTTTGTATATATATAACCAGTGGAGAAACTTGTGACTCCCAAAGTATCTCGAGTACTTTTTGCCTCTCGTGATTCCGTCTATGGGGTTGAATTAGAGCTGTATTTAGGTAAAGGAGGTAACTAGGTGTTGTACGTGTATGAAGTGGTTTTGTATTTGCTAAGCGGCCTTTTAGTATTGATTTATTTATGTCGAGGAGTAGCTGTATTTTGTAAAAGAAGGGTTCTTTGAACAAATAAATATGTGAAACATTGATCGGTCGGTCGGGAAACTCATGTATTTGCATTCTCTTTTCCACTGTCTCTGCTAGTACAAATACGGGTTACTCTTTCATTATATTAGTACACACTTGTATTTTAATCATTGATAATATATAAATGTCACTTTATCTTTACATAACTCAAACCTTCGATCCACAACAACTTGTGTTTCAGAAGAAAGATAAACCTACTCTTTTTCACTCCCCATAAAATTATAATTTTCTTCAAATCGAAAGACTCTAAATTTAAGATAAAAGATTATGAAATCGAATTGGATAATAACTGTAGTTTGATAGCTAGTGTACACATGACAAGGGATAATTGGAAACTATTTTTATATATGAAGGACCAAATGAAATGAAACTCCATCCAATAAGGAACATTTTGATAATTTTCCCGTAAAGTGTTAAAGAAAGGAAAAAAGAAAGAAATTACGTATAGAGAATTCGAAAATTAGAGGGGTAGTTATGGAATTAGGAATCTCGTTTGAAATTCAAAAATGGTGCCGTTGTGCAAGATGTGGGCGGTTCAGTATATAAAACGGGTCACACAGACGCTCCATCAGAGAAAACCCCAGAAGCGCACAAACACAAACACAGCGAGAGTGAAGAAATGGAGGCTGCTAAAAATGCTGGTAAGAGTGTATCGGCGATGGAGGCATTTGAGAAGCTGGAGAAGGTTGGGGAGGGTACCTATGGAAAGGTGTACAGAGCGAGAGATAGGATTACTGGCAAGATTGTTGCACTGAAGAAGACAAGGCTTCATGAGGACGAAGAAGGTGTTCCTCCAACTACTCTCCGTGAGATCTCACTCCTCAGAATGCTCTCAAGGGATCCCCACATTGTCAGGTATCCTTCTTACTCAATTTCTAGGGTTCTTTTTTTTTTTTTTGTTCTACTTTCAATTGAGATTTCGTTTCTATCTGATTGGTGCGGGTTATATCTATTTCAATTAGTTTTGTATATTTCACTCTTTAGGTTTGTTATTGATATCTGTATCTTGCGTTTTTATACGATGCCCTATCATTGTATAACCAGGCTGATGGATGTTAAACAAGGGCAGAACAAAGAAGGAAAGACTGTTCTTTACTTGGTCTTTGAGTACATGGATACTGATGTCAAGAAATTTATTCGTACTTTCCGTGCAAAAGGAGAAACTATGCCCCTTAAAATTGTAAAGGTTTGTAGTCTAAATTATCGGAGTTGTATGCTACTTCTCACACATTTGTGACTCTGCAGTTTAATGTTTAGTAAATTTGTGCTCTTTGAAACAGAGCTTGATGTACCAGCTCTGCAAAGGGGTTGCTTTCTGCCATGGCCATGGTGTATTGCACAGGTAAAGCCACACTTGTACCTTTTGGTCATACACAAACTCATAAATATGCGCTTTTCATGGTCGTTTTGTCACTTTTTTTTATTTGTTGCTGCAGGGATCTGAAACCACACAATCTTCTGATGGACCGTAAGACGAATGTGCTCAAATTAGCAGATTTTGGACTTGGCAGAGCTTATACTCTGCCCATTAAGAAGTACACACATGAGGTAATTTTACTTTTCTGCTGCAGCAGCTATCCTCATTTATCTATGCTCTTTAGATCCCCCCTGTATGTGAAAATATTCCCTTTTTCCTTCAGATATTAACCCTGTGGTATAGAGCCCCTGAGGTTCTACTTGGAGCTACTCATTATTCCACAGCAGTTGACATGTGGTCTGTTGGTTGTATATTTGGTAAAACTCTTATTCATCCTTCCTCTTCCGAATGATCTTTTCCTCCTTATAGGTTGTGTAATATACTAAGCATGGAGTTATAATTGTTCTTTCTTTTGTGGTTTGTTTTCAACCTCAGCTGAACTAGTGACAAACCAAGCCCTCTTCCCAGGAGACTCTGAGCTGCAACAACTGCTTCACATTTTCAGGTTTAGAGCTAAAAATCACTAGCTTTGAGTTTTGTTCCTCCTCACCTGTTCCACTATCCTAATCTTAACAGAATTGCGGTGCAGATTGCTAGGTACTCCTAATGAAGAACTCTGGCCTGGGGTGAGCAAGTTAGTTAACTGGCATGAATACCCCCAGTGGAAACCACAGCCACTCTCAACCGTTGTCCCTGGTCTTGATGAAGATGGGATTCACCTTCTCAGTGTAGGTTTTTCTTTTTTCTTTTACGATTGTCTGACTGTTTGAATGAGTGGATGATTTAAGGTGTGAACACTTTGTGTTTGCAGGAGATGTTGCATTATGAGCCGTCTAGGAGGATTTCAGCTAAGAAAGCTATGGAACATCCCTATTTTGATGATCTCGACAAAACTCCTCTCTGAAAAAAGTCAGCAATTTGATCAACAAAACTCGTCTAACCTCTATCGCAAGCTTTTATTGCTTTTCTCAAGCATCTTTTAATAGTAGTATCAATTAGTATGATGATGTGTTTCATTTCTAAACCTTTTCTTTTAATATCAACTGGATCAATGTAAGCACAACTATGTGCAATGATATATTTTGCTATCACATTACTTGGGGTGTTTTGCTGTAAATTGTCCTCAAAGTGCCTTGTGCCTACTTCTATTTTTCTTTGATTATTATCTTACAACATGTCTTCTCCGCTCCAAGAATGGCTTGCTTTAGAGAAGCAACTGTGTTAGCGGGTCATGTTATTAATAATGTTGTCAACACTTGAAACATGTCGTGCGCTCGTCATCTAGGCTCCAAAACAAACTTTTCCTTGCAAAATGAGCATTGCTTGAAGAATCGACACTAAAGAATCTTCATTGAACTTAGAGCATGTTAATGACCACATCTAACAAGGTTAAACTTTTAGTTCCTGATTTTCGTTATCATAGTACACTGGTAGACATGTCAACTTGTTTATGTCTGATATTAAAAAAAAATGAAGTTAAGATACAAGCCACATGAAGAATGTTGTCCACAGAGTAAGCGATATTGAAGCCAATGCATAAGCCCAAAACATAATCACTGAACACTCACTCTCACCAGCTCCAAATAACTGTGTTATGGTGCCTGCCAAGTGAAACAAGAATTGTGTCATCTCATCTAAGACTTAGTAATGCAACAGACACATTGTTTTAATGCTACAAGTGGTTACTGTCAAAACCAATTGTCTTGTCCATTGAATGCAGAGCAAACATATGGTTTTTTTGCGGTTTTGAAATTAATGCAGAGCAAACATAGGGATCTTTACGGTTTTGAAATTGTGGTCGGGCCAAAAAAAAACACGAAAAGAACAGGAAAGATAATAACTAGCTGAATGTCATACCAATGTTCATTGCTGGTGGAAGTGCAAATTGAAGTAAAAGCACAAATTGATATAATGGATCATGTTGCACCAAGCCCAAGCGAATAGCTCCTTTGACTACAACGATACCAATAAGAGGCAGGGCAATGTATCTGACAACAATAATGCCAAGAAGTAGGGATTTCTGAATCCCTGAACCGGTCAAACCCTTCAAAAGGTTACCGCCCATGATCAGTGTTAGAAGTGGTATGGCTCCATCCCTGCAATCATTTCAACAAGTCAAAGATGCTTAATGGATTACATTCAGTGATGTGACCAAGTAGCACAAGTTGTTATTTTGTGACATTATCTCCAGATTGATCTACAGCTAGAAATCATATCATATACGACTGCAAAATGGCATTCAAAAGCGATTGCATTTTATGCAGGCACTCTCAAGGTATAGCAGTTTTATTTTTTGATTGATTCTCGAAGTATGAACCAATTGTTAGTCTATTCACACAAACTAGTAGTTGTGTCATACCCTAGTAAAATAGCTGAATTTTCAATTACGCGTAAAGGAGCTACATCACCAATCATCAACTTCCTCATCTGAGGTACAAGTCCAACTATAAAACCTGCAATCTGTAAAAAAATAAAATACACTGACCACTTATTAGTGCGCAAGTGCAACTAAAATGTAGATACTGGTGACTGCTAATGTCTAGAGATTTATAAAATGCTAACGTAGAATGGTCTTTTTTATCGCCAAAGAAGAATTCCTAACCTAAGTCATGTGTCTAGTTGTTTTTGAAACCACATAATGATAGATGATATCAATGAACTACTCCTATGGGTGTAAGTGTGCTCATGCAGCTACAGATGCCTATAATAATCAAGGATTTACAGACTTTAGTACACATTGAAAACCACCCTACAAATTACAAACAAGGAGCTTGTATATTGATGGTTGCCAAAAGACAACCCTTGGTACGAAGAACCCTTTAAGAACAGAAGTAATAAGAAATTTTTTCGGGGTGGATAGGTTTAAAACATGCCTTGCTATTACTCCGTAAAAAATAGGTTTGAGGTTTTATGTAATTGATTAGTTGCAACTGCATGACCAAAAAGCTTCAACGTGTCTTCCGTTTAGACACAGTTTATTAGAAGCACTAAACTAGAATTAGGACAATTGTACAATATAAACAAGTTCAGAAAAAGGAACAGCAATAGAACAATACCGCTCCAGTGGTAGAAGGGGCCAATAACCTCTTCAGGTTGATCTTCCTTGAAACATTTTCCATTAACTGCTTTAGTCTAGTAGCAAGGTGGGCCTGTTACAAAAATACAAACATCAGTATATCATAAATTGATGTATAATTGTGTTTTATTATGATACGTAAATAACTTGTGGGAAAAAAATTATGCTTAAGCAGAGAGCATCTTCATATTTATGTAGATCCAACATTAAGCAAATTAATTGATGTGAAAACCTCAATTTAAAATAAGTGAAATCTGGTATTTGAATCGGATTCTTAGAATCCTCAAACAATCAATAATGAGACTAGAGTGCATCATTTAAACTCAAAACTGTAGTGCACCATCTCAACCATCTAATATGGCATAATCTCAGCAGAGTTTCTGAACACTAATGTTGCATAGCATTATGTGTCATAGCTCATGTGATGAATCCTTTACAACAACTTCTAGCTATAAGATTATCTTACTTCAACATCTCCATTTAGTCATCTACCAGTCCTAGAGGGCCTCTCTTGATCATGTTATTCATATGCAAACATCTTTTTCCTAGTTAGTTTATTTTCTGCCTGTAATATCAAAGACTGAGATGTGGAGCAATAATCAACCTGAGTTTTGTGATCAAATCTAGTGGAAGGAAGCCCAAGTTGTTCTGGTGGGGCCTTTGCCGGAAGTAGTGATTCTGTTGATATAGAGCCTTCTCTTGAAGATATACTGGTAGAGGAATCATTAATCTCAACTTCCTTTGAGCTCCTACTTGATGATATTCTCACAATATTATAAACATAAGACCATAGATAAATCGCCCCTACCTGAAGTAGAACAGTCACCAGGAAAGCATCAGATCTCCTTGGCATCAAAAGTCATTGATTTTGCCAGAAAGGGATTCATGTTTATACAAGGTATTAATGCCATAAAGTTAATGTTGGATACCCTTGTAATAATTTAATAAAATCCCAAAACAAATTAAAGTTGTTAAGAGACACGTACTGCCATCGAAAGTGAAGCATAGCTCATTCCATATGTATGACAAACACCAGGATCCCCAAAAGGGCTCCCTTTCTCTTTACAAACAGCTGGTATGATAATGAGAAGCATGTTGCCCAAGTTTCCTGTCCATGCAAAGTAAAATGGTAATTTTATATTACTTGAATACTAGAGAAGCAACTCATCTCATTGTACATGAGAGCTCTTTTGCATCCTTGTCCATCCTATTTCTTCATGAATTATTTAAAATAAGTTAGTTGATTAATTCCCATCTGTCTAAGAATTGGTGGACAAAGTTGCCGGGCATATTTACCGCTGGTAGGCAGCAGCAGATATGAGGTGAACTAGTCAAGGTGAGCGCAAACAGCACCTCTGTGAACAGTAACAATTTTTCTCATTTCCAGGACCCAAAATGTACTTGTAACTAAAGAAATAAACTGCGTACATTAAAGATTACACAGAAACAAGGTATGATACTGTCTCATTCCGAGGTAAAGCATCACATTGATTCTAAAAGTGTGTGAAAAATAATCAATTTGCTTTCACATTGATTCTAAAAGTGTGTGAAAAATAATCAATTTGCTTTCTTTCCATCTCCAACACCTTTAAGGTGAAATCTCACAATTCCTTTCACTGTTTATTAATTAAAGTAAAATAGTATCATATCTGAAGAAAATACTCCAACCAACACACACATTTTAAACAGCGAGAGACTCATTCGGCACAGAATTGCAGAGCAGCAAATAATTAGGCTATGTATATCTACTTTTAACTTTGATAAGGAAATTGTTATGAGTTGAGTTGAAAGGTGCAAAAGAAGATTGGAATGGATTTGAAATCTCAAGATCTGACTTTAGCAGAATTTAGCTAGTCAAAAAACAGGCTGACTTGATTGAGAGTCAAGGAGCAAGCTATCTTTATTTCCCAATTAATTTTTTGTCCAAAACTAGTGTTTTTCCACATATAAATTCTAATTCAGGACAGAACAACTTGTGAGGTCCCTCGTAGAGTTATGTTGTTACATAACATACCTGCAGCACAACAGCCAACAACCAGGCCACGTAGATGTTGGGGAGGCCTTGTAACTTGAAGGACTGCCCAACCAAGAATTGAACCAGCAACAAAAGTGAAGAGTATATTGAAAGGCATGAACCACCTACAGTAGCAAGTAGTGAATAAGATAGAGAGAGACACACACACGTGTAAATTAAGGTTTTAGAGAATAACTCACAACTTTTTGAGGCTTTCATATGTGACTGTTTTGGCTAAGTTGCTGGAGACAAGGGCTGGATTCAATACAAAAAATACAATCTGCATATATTTGTTGTATACTAAGCTTACAGAATCAAAAGAAAAGAATATAATTAAATATACTGACATTATTCAAATGCTTTCTTGCATCTTGTCCCAGTAAATCGATACGATCGAGAGCAAGTATTAATCCAAGTGCGGTAATCAAAAGAACTTTGAGGACGGGCATTGATGCAGTGATGAAGAGATCCAACAGCCCCATCTAATATTAATTGAATCTACATAAAAAAAAGTATAATATATAGTTGTTGTCTTTCAATAAAATAATCAGTGACCTGCAGAATATATTTGGTGATCAGAAAAAGGAGATGATTGAAAGTAGAACTAGAAAGAGAGAGATGCAGAAACGAACACATGCATGTCATGTCCTATGGCAGAATGAATCTGAAATCATCAAAATAGTATTAGGAAACAGACAAACCTTTTACAATAGTCGTGCTCTCTTTTGCTTCTACCACCTTCACAATTGCTTTATCATTTACTACTACTCTACCCTACAATACTTAATTAATTATATCAACACCCCCCTCTTAAATTTATTCGCACAATACATTTTAATTAATGCTTCTATGCAATTAAAAATTTAAATTATTTAAAATATGTATCTATTAAATACAAAATATTGATATGGCAAAAATTATGTGAAGTGTGGGAAAAGGTTAGAATATTTTTATTTTTATTTTTACATTTTTTCTTCTTTGTTGACATTTGACACTATAATTAACTTTAGTACTTCATTCATTTATACTTTCTCAAAAAAAAGAAGCACCCCAACCCCTACTACTCATTGTAGTCACTTAAATTTATTAAATAGAAATTTATAAAGTTGTTTGGATTTTATTAAATTAATGAATATATTAGTCCAAATAAATATTATGAAATAATAGAATTGATTTAATTATTTAAATAAATAAATATAAATATAATTAAAACTCGCTCCATAAAGCCCATATGATATTTCACTTAAATTGGATTGGACGAAGGGAGTCCTATTCCAATTGCAAATATCCTCTATTTAAAACTATAAATAGAGGTCTCATAATTCAGAAAAGAAGGCCAAGAACTCTAAACAAGAAGACAGAGAAAGCTTGTGGATTAAAAGCCATAAATTTCTCTACATATTCAAGAATTCAAGTGTTCAAGTTCAAGATTTGAAGAAGTCAAGATCAAGTTCAAGAACCATCATGATCAAGATCACCGAATTCAAGATCAAGTTCTAAGCCATTGATTCAACTAGAAAGATCAAGATTAAGACCACCGGAGCTAATTCAATTAGAAAGTCAAGATTAAGATAAAGTTCAAGTCCAAGATTAAGTTCAAGAACAATCAAGATCATGACCACCAAATTCAAGATCAAGCTCCAAGCCCTTGAATTCAATTAGAAAGTCAAGATCAAGATTAAAGTTCAAGTCCAAGATCAAGATCAAGTCCAAGTTCAAGTTCAAGTCCAAGATCGAGATAGAGATAGAGATCAAGATCAAGATAAATCCCAAGTTCAAGATCAAACTTTAAACCCCTTGAAATTATATTTGAAAAGGCGAATTCAAAAGAATCAGAGATTGTAACACTCGCACCTGATATAATAAATCAATTGTTACTATAATCTTCCGTTCTTGATTATTGTTATCTCGACGCGAATTTTACCATCTACACTCATCTTTATAATTTAGTATGCAAAACTTTCTCTATTTTAGCTCCAACATTGTTTGGCTCTTTTTTTTAATACATATAAAAATTTATTTCTTCCATATCTGCAGATAAATGAAAATCAACTATGAAGAAATCATACAATTCAAATTTAAAAGAAAGATTTTCTTTTGTATGTTTTGTTGCAAATCTCATAAAAATAATGGAACAAATACGAAGAAGAAGAAAGAAGATAAATGATTTTTAGTATAAAAAAAGTTAGCCGATATTTTTTATCACAATATTCGAACAAATAGTTTTACTCAAATTCAAATATAAACCCATTAAATTTATCAAAAATAATATTCCAAAATTTGAAAGAATTAATTTTTAAGCTATCAATTTTTTTGTCATCGATATAGAAATGAATGACCGTCGGCAAAAAATTCTTTCTTTTTCCCTCTTGGTATGAAAATATATATTTTTAAAAATATTTATCTTCAAGTATTTCAAAAGAAATTAGATATATGATTTGAGAAAGAGTGTGTTTAGAAAAAAAATGAAGATTGAAGGGGAGGTTTTGTGATCTAAGAAAGAATATGTTTTGGGAGGAAGATCAAGATGAAAGGGGGTGGGGGTGGGGCTCTTAGAATAAGTTGACATTTTCATTATCTTGAAAGGGGGTGGGGGTGGGGCTCTTAGAATAAGTTGACATTTTCATTATCTTAAAAATAAATAGATATAAAATGTGTGAAATAATTTTAAATAAAGTTAGTTTTTTTTATAATTTTGGGTGGCCAATGCCACATGTCATTTTTTAATTAGTTGTTTCGTCATGTCAACACAACCCTAATATATATTGGAACCCAAGTTAGAACGTATCAACATCATAATTTTGTATCGAATATACAACTATTACAAATTTCTATCGTTTATTGTCGATACATACACCCAACCTTATTAGTAGAATATTATGTATTTGTAGACACTAACAAATATTACTGTTGATACATAAACACTAACATTTATAACAAAATTCATTTGTATCATATTCCTAGTTATGTATATGACACATAACTTTGTTGTGTATATCAAATTTGCGATGTATCAGATATTGTTAAGTACTTGAAACACTGTTTTATAAATAAATCTATTCATCTTAGTTTTTTATATGATACATAACTATATTAAACTGTCGACTTTCCTTGATCTATCATAATTTGGATAAAATTTGAAATTTGATATTTGAAAGAGATTGACATCATTTAGATTTACATAATTTTGAGGATTCAAAATCTATTTACATTTAGAAATAATTAAAAATAAGATGAGTGTATCGATATAAAAGGAAAAATTGTAGTGGGATTGTGTAGCAGTTAGAGGGCGGAGGCAATTCGGTTGGTTATAATCTAGTAAAGCGCAGAAGCAAAGATTAGGATGGGGGCGTGTTGTGTTTCGGTGACACGTAGTGAGAGTTTGACGGTGTGACGTTATAGAATTGAGAAGAGGTAACACATACAACTCATAGCTATTCAAAAAATGTACTTTCCTTGTTTGATTCAATAACTCGAGCATTTACATTATATTATCTTATATTTTAAACCTATCAGCCATCGAAATTAAAACATTATATTATTTTATATACAAGATTATGCAGTTTCAAACATTAATAATATAAAGAAAATAAAATTTATTACATGTTATTAATTTTTTAATGAGATAAGGGTAACTTATCTCATCATTTATATTTTTAATGACATAAGTATAAATTAATGACTGAAAAAATACATATTAAGATCTGTAATATGAGCAATGGTGTCAGTGAGTCACTCAACAGGAACAAAATACACAAATATTTAGTTGTGATGAAGAAGAAGAAAGGGTTAGAATTTTCGTTGTTTTAGAATGAGAGGAAATTCCGCTATTTATAGACAACAAAGGGTAGCCTGCACAAATGATTATTGTGCCTTATCGGAAAGGTTACAACTATTTGGATAAGTTGCAACCCTTCGTAAATGTTAAAACCTTTCATAAAGTTACAACTTTTAATAAAAGTTGTAAGTTTTCATAAAGATTACAACTTTTCGCAAAAGAGAAAGACTAAATTTGGAAATAAATGAATAAATTTTAAAAAAAATTCTTATTTTCGGGAGCGCCACGTAGGCGGACCTAAGATTTTCTTTTATAGAACTATACATATATATTTCTTTTTTTGGTCATTCCGTTTTATTCGCCATAACTTGTTATACCTTCTCCTTAATCTCCAACTCTAACCAAACCCTACACGCCGATTCACAGGCAACCGTATCAAGCTCTCACCTTCATCCAGGTATCTCTCTCTCTCTCACCTACCTACATTTTATTCATGTAACCAACTTCTCTCCCTTTCGGTGTTTCTTCTCTTCTCTGCTCTTGCTGTTACAACTGTGCTCCAACAGAATTCTTTTTTTTTTTTTTGCTTTTTAAAATTTTTTGGGTTATTTTTCTTATTAGACGAAACTAGGGTTAAACTCATTGTGGTTTGTTTGAGGTTATCTTTGATGAATTTCCATTTCCCAATATTTGATTTCAACTTCTCTTTTGAATTTTAATACATATGATCATCTGCTGCATGCCAATTAGTTATCAGAATGGATAAGACTGACGTGGAGATGGATGATGTCCAAAATACTGTGGTAGAGTCGATTGATTCCAGTCCTGCTCTTCCTGGCCAACACTCCACCAGTGAAAATGCTAAAATAGGGACGCAAAACCACCCTGAAACTGGGGCTAAGACCCCAATTCCTGCTGAAAATGGAAACGGTGATACAATGAAACAGACTGATCCAAAGGCTGCGGTGGAGGACCACAAGAATGCTGCAACTGAGACAGCGACTATAGGCCAGCCGGAGACTCAAGGCAATACAGCACTTGATGACCAAAACAATGCTACAGGTGGAACAGAAGGAGAAACCACAATTCAGGACAAAAAAGAAGGGGATCCTGATGCAGATGTGGCTTTGAAGAAGGAAGAACCTATTGGAAATGTTGCACGACATGATACTACAGGTGTAAACATGCAGGTACTTGAGGAGCTGCCTACTAATGAAGTAGGTGACAGTGGAAAAGAGGTGAAGGAAGCTCATCAGGCTGAGAACTCAATCAAAGATGTTCATCAAAATGGGAATGATATGATGGTCGATGAACAGAAGAAAGTGGAACATAAAGCTAATACTGCAAGTGTTATCTCTGATCGTGATGATAGATCGAATGAGTTGTCAGAGACAAAAGATGCTGTTAAGAATACTGCTATTGCAAAGATGCCGGAGCCAGCCACTCCGAATTTGTCGGTGAAATGTGACACTGCAAACACTGGACAGCATACTGGGGAAGCATCAAATAAGATCTTTGATGAATCAAAGGTATCTTGTGCTGATACTATCTGTGGGAGGGTTTGATGTGTAGATTTTGTGGCAACTAATTTCATGTTTCTAATTGATCAATTATCTGCTCAACTTATAGATGGCTGACGATGAGGATGAAGATGAGGATTGGAATGATGATGGATCACCAGAGGATCAAACAGCATTTATGAGAGAACTTGAAAATTTTTACCGGGAGAGAGCCATGGAATTTAAACCACCCAAGTTTTATGGCATTCCTCTTAATTGCCTGAAGTAAGTGCCTGATGTTTTCCGATTGCACAGATCTTTCATTTAGCTTCAGGTACATATATAATTCTTACCATGAAATTGCCTGATAGGTTGTGGAGATCTGTGATCAGATTGGGTGGCTATGATCGGGTAGGTCTTTGTCTTCTTAACTTGTATGTGACAATATTTTATTTCTATTATACAAGTTTATATCCCTTACTTGACAATTTAAGCATTTTTTCACTTCAAAAAAAATTCCACATACCAAAATAAATAAATTCCGGGGGTGCTGTAAAGGTCAAGGTCAAACAATTCGATTTATTTGACAGTTTGGCATCAGGATGCACTGTAAACCTAAAATAAATGAACAACATGTCCCCTTTTGAAAAAAAAAAAGATTGTGTGAATCTCCTCATTTTTATTTTTATTTTCGATTTCAAAAACATGAGGCGATTCACCAAATCTTAAAGAATATACTGTTCATACTTTAGTTTGTTTCAGTGAAACGATTGCGTCTGTGTTGTTTTTCTTCTGCTGCTAGTTTAATGATTTGTGTGCATATCTTGTACTGCTGAGAGATGGGTGTCACGTTATTGACTCATCGTCATGCTATTTGTGACGATCTAGTATTAAATCGATTTAATTATCTAGGTTACTGGATCGAAGCTGTGGAGACAAGTCGGCGAATCGTTTAATCCCCCCAAGTAAGCATCTAAATTTAATGAATCCTTTTTCTTTATGGAGCTTTGAACTTAAAGCATGAATCTTCCAATAATACAATGAAAAATGTAGCTCTACCTTTTCAAATGTCAAGTTCTCCCGTGTATGTAATGGAGATGAGGCATTGAAAATTGCAGACATTTTATTTATATTGCAAATGAGATACATATTGTGGCATCCATAATTATAATAATCGGCTGAAGATTATGTATGAGGTATAATTCTGGAGAGCGACCTTCGTGCATGGTATGGAAATAGAGGCTAATTTAGTAACAAGTATAATGATTTACAATTTATAAAGAAAGGTCTCGTATGCAAGGATATAGAACGTCAAGAATTGGGACCAAAAGGGCCCTTTTGCTTGTTTATTTTGGAAAGCAGGGTGGTGCAGTTCAGTCAGATTGTGTAGTCACCGTTGATGCTGCTTTTATAGTGTCAGTGTAGCTGAAGTCATCTAACATTCTATTGAGGGGCCTGGGTTATTCGTAGGACTTACTTTAGGTAGCTATTTTTGTTATTTGTTTGTTCGGACTTATTTTATTTTATTTTATTTATTTCCTTCATTTTAATATAGAGGTACTAGGAGTAACAGATTATACAAAATCAGAATACTTCGATTCTTTTTCTTATAAAATAGAACTAGATTCATCTTTCAAATTATTCAACCTTTGTTTTTCTTTTTGATAAGTAGGGGTCAAAATAGGAATGTAAGGGCGGGGAATGATTCTAATTGTCAGAAGAAGGGAGCAAGACTGCTCTTACAGGTCCTACGACGAAAGAGACATTCACTGGAACATCAAAAAACAACCCCGTTTCAAAGTTAAATCAACAACTGAGTGAGTTGAGTTTTGTGGGGGGCTTGGGGTAGATGTGCGGGTGCTAATGCAAGGAGTGATGTCGTTGAGTGGTTTGAGTGGGGATGGGGAGGACTCCACTTTTTGCTCCCCTCAACCACTAGTAGGTATTATGTAAGGAGGGAGGAAGATGTCTTAATGGATGGGGGATAAATTTCTCATGTTTGGGGAATTTGTAGGACTAAGATACTGCAGCGGATGTTTTTGGTTAAGTGTACCATCAGTGTTAAAGACTTGATAGTATAGTTATAGCCCAAATATGGATGGATGGAGGATAAAGTGATGGAATTACTGAATGAAATTGGAAAAGAATTTAGGGGTGTTTGGTTAGGTTATTGGAGAGTGGGAGAGGAACGAGGGATGATATCTCAAGCAGGGGTGGGTGATATTGTGGTGTATGAGGGGGCACAAGAGGATTGGGATGGGTTGTAAGGAGGATGAGTTTAAGGGAGCGGGAAAGGGTAAATTTGTTGTCAATAAATAGTAAGATCATTACGTGGAACATGAGGGGGATGAATGACCCAAACAAAAGGACCATCAAGGTGGGGATTAAGAAATGAGGAGCAGACTTGGTATGTTTCCAAGATACTAAGATGGAAGCAGTTACCAAGAGAGATGGGTGAAACATGATTTTATCCCGACAAGAGAGAGTGCAGGGATATTTTATTACTATGAGATGAGAAAAAATTCGAGGTCACGGAAACAAAGAAAGGGGAGTTTATGATAGCAGCTCGTGTTAGGGATATGGAAATCTGGAAGGTGTGGGAATTTGGAGGAGTGTATGGTCTGATGTGGGAAGGAACAAAAAGGGGGTTTTGGGAGGAGATGGCTCTTTCTTTAGTGGAATGGGAAATTCCATAGGTTCTTGGAGAGATATTAATACTATTAAGTTCCAGGAAGAAAGGTCAGAGTGTAGATCGGTGACTAGGGCTATGGATGAATTCTCGAAGTTTATAAACAATTATTTTCTTATTGATCTTCTTTTGGCAGGAGCATGGTTTGAAGTGGGGGATTCAATATCACTCTCTATACTTGATAGATTCTTAGTGTGCCATTCAGGAGGAGATAGTTCAAAATGTGGCACAAGTTCCTTTGCCTAGACTAATTTCGGATCATTTTTCCAATTATGTTAGATGAAAGTAGAAGCAGCCACATGAAACCCCCTTCTAGATTCTAGAACACGTACTGAAAACAATAAATTTTGGAGACAGAGTGACATGATGGGTTGCACATTTACCCCATCACAGGAAAACCTTCATTTTGCCTAGCAAAAATCAAGAACCAACACCAAACTTTTAGAAAAATAGAACCGTTACAGAATCGAAGAACCGTATCCATAGAACTGAAGAATTCAATCTTTTTTTTTTTTTACATTTATGCCCAGCCTTAGTTCGCACTATGAAGAGAGGTGATAGGGAAAAAGATGGAATTATGGAAGGGTGGTGGAGAGGTAGAAACATTACTTTTTTTTTTTGAGAATGTAACGATTTGTATTCTGTTTCCACAAAAACAGAAACTTGCCACGACAAGTTACAGGTTTCCTAATTACAATTGAGGAGGAGTATCTAGAAGATCTTCAACTCTTTTAACAAAACAATAATCCTAAGACATCCCTTATTGATTCTAGATCTTCCCTATACTCCTGTTTACACCAAAAATGTAAAATGGAACAAATCAAAACACTTCATCTTCATCTTCTGGATATTGTTGCTCTTGTTCTGATGGCACCTGAGGTTACTACTCCTTTTGGGTGTGGGCTTTGTGGAAATATCTTGCAGGGGTGTGAGGAATTTAGTGGTAACAAATTCAGAAGATACTAGAAGGAAATGTTCGTTGGGATCTTCAGTTGAGGAGGAATCTTCAAGATCGAGAGAAGGAGAAATCGTGAGAATTGCTTGAGACGCTGTACAAACAAACTCCTTCCTTAGAAATATGTTTCTTGGAGATGAAAGTTAGGGAATGGTGTTTGCTTTGCAGTAAAGTCTCTTTATGCTAAGATGCTCACAAGAGACGAGACAATTATCCCACACGATACAATATGGATTCCATGGATTCCCAGTGCACTAAGAAAGGTATTTTTTTTTGGCAACCAGAGGAGTGATTTTGGCAGCCGAGAATATGAGGAAATGGAGGATTAGATATGTTAGTTGGTGCTTTATGTGCAAAAACTCGAGAGAGAGGATATGGATCACCTTCTACTAGATTGTCAGGTTGCTTTAAGGTTATGGTGAGTGATTCTGAGATTGTTTGGACTACTGTGGTACAGAGCATGAGACATCACTCCATTAGCTCCTATCTAGGTAGTGTGGAGAGAGAAATAAGAGAGCTTTTGTGTAGCTTCTCTTTTTTGGTTTATACTACTTGTATACAGGAGTTTTCCCCTATTGTTAATGAAATTATTGCTTCCTTGATTAATAAAAACAACACCAAGTTGACTGTCAATTAAGTAACTTCTTATCTTATTGATATGGCACTTTTCACATTAATAAGACAAACAAACTTCGATTGTTTGTTCCCATGCCAAAAAGATCTTTCTAAGTTTATCCATTTGCTTTAGGACGAAAGCTGGGCAGGAGAAAGGCATAGTGTTCCTTTTCTATAAAATATTACTTTTGAAACATGTGGTACATGAGGATACCCCAACCAAACACATATATAACTTATCAAAAGGAAAAAGCACAGAAACACAAAATACAACGAATTGTTCTCTTTTTGATAAAACACAGAACGACATGTTCTAGTTAGACAGCAGAAGGTGTGGTCTAATCAAGAGAACAACAACTCTGTATATGTGCCTCTTCAGTGTCACCTGATCGATATCCGTCTTGAAGTCTAATATTTGGTAAACATGTATTGGTTCTCAACAATTAGAGATGTTGGGGTGTTACTATGTAAGAATGCCATGTAGTTAGACCCGGAAAGTCTGATGTCTCCAAAAAGAACACTGAGAGCTAATAAGGATAAAATGAGAGGTGGCAATGACCAGAACCTGTTTCGATACTCAAACAAGATGAGAAGTTACTTGACTAACAGTCAACTTAAACAGAGAACAAAACAGTAGCTTCGAAGTTCTTATTGTAGTATCTTTAATTTTGATTTTTTCCCTTTTAGGATAATCATTCTTCTCTTTCAGGACTTGCACAACTGTGTCCTGGACATTCCGCATTTTTTATGAGAAGGTAATAAACCCAAGAACCCATTGGTAGCTATTAGTATATTTTTACCATTTTTGTCCATTAATTGTAGCTTGTAAAATGATTTTTTGGCACCTTAAATAATCTTTCCAATGTGGATTGTTTGTGAAGAGCTTGGTAAAATTACTCAGTGGCAGTAATGATATTCTTTTTTCCTGTTGATGGTCTGTAAATGCCGCTACCTCCCTCCACAATATTGTTTTGCTTCTCGGGCCTTCTTTAAACGGAAACCTTTACTATTGACTCTATTATTTTTAATATTGCTCTGCATCAAGAGTTACCCAGAATCCAATTTCATTCTTATATAATTTTTTTGAAATTAGTAATGTTAATTTCATTCTTATATAATTTCTAACTGTTAATAACCTTTTCATTTCGGTTTGGACTCACTTATCTTTAGTCTATTATCCAACTTTAAACTAATGATAAGATGCATGCTTACTCAAAGTAATAGAGGCAAAATGGAGAAATAATGTGGTATATTATTTCCTATTTCTATTTATGTGGAGAATAGTTGGTGATAAGGCAGCTGAATCTTCTTTGGCTTCCTTGCAATTTAATCACTAGCTAGCATATCACCATTCTACTGTCTAGCCAATTTAAACCGATTTTAAAGCCTAATTTAACAACACCTTATGCTCTGCATATTTGGTTGTTTTTCTTCTCATAGTTCTATTATCTGGAAAACCTATTCATCCTTACTTTAACTTTCTATACCTTCTTTTGTTATGCAATGTTTTCTGCATTATAGGCTCTTTTAGAATATGAAAGGCATAAGATGCAAAGCGGCAAGCTTCAACTTCCTATTGCTGCTCTTCCTGAAGCAGGTGTTGATAATGAGGTAAGCTTGAGTTTACATTCAGCTCCTCATTTGTACTAACTATGTATCTTCTAATAATTGAAACACTAGTCAAGTCAACTGGCAATTGACTCTATCGCCAAAAAAAAACACAGCACCACTTAAGCACTAATCTGTACAAAGATTGAATGACTACAGATTTTATCTATTGGAAGGACATATGGTTAAGCCATGTATTAAAATGGTACATTTTAAAATTTCACCACAAAGCCCAAAAGCTCTAGCCTTTTGAACTTTATTCAAGAAATGCCGTTTTTCCTTCAATACATCCAGAATTTGCTTTTCTCACGTTGTCCTCCGTCCGGCCTGGAGCTGCTTTTCATTCTTTGCCTTGCAAACTGCTAATGGCCTATTTTAAGCTTCTTGGCACTACCCATTTTACTCCAAAACGGCAAGTAAATATGAACCAAGTCATAGGATGCAAAATTTTTAAGTTAGGTACATTGGGACTTCTTCTCTTGAAGATTCACACATGTAACATTACTACGGATTGCTAATGGAGCCTCTTTTTTTTTTCTCCTTCTACTCTAAAGATAAATCTGGTTGGTTTTTTAGTTGATAGCTGAGAATATAGATTGCAGTATCAAAGTGAATACATGTTGGCTTGTGATCAACAGGGGAATTAGAAAGCACATTTTTTGGAGTGACATTAATGTCTAGGCATTAACATACCATACTGAGATGTTTACTTGTTTTATTTTATTAAATCTTGAGCCAATAGAAAATGCAATATTTTGGAATGTATGAAATACAATTATGAAGTATTAAGATATAAATTCCTTTGCCCCAGCAACATCATGCCCCACAGCTTAATGTCAAACTCACTAGAAAGATCACAGGACCTGTATGAAAACAAATACTTTTCCTTTTATTATCTAACTTGAATATTAAGTAATTTTTTTCCAATTTCCTAGAAAGAGCATCTTGCCTAAGCTATTCATTATTCCCATACATAATTTCTTTAAAGGTCTTACTCTTGGTATAACTATCTATTTTATTCTCTACTAATTTATTCCACGTATTTGTGACTGAAGAAGTTTTTGAAGTTTTGATGTCTTTAGTTCTCAGCAGCTTTTGATAATGTCTGCTTCACCCCTAACCCCCAAAAACGCTTCGGTGAGTCTTATAAATAGATTTGTGTCTCGAGTTCTCTACATCTTTTAATAATTCTGCTTCACCCTTACCCCCTAAAAATGCTTTGGTGAGAGTTATAAATAGAGTCTTGTCTGCTTTGATGGACATAGGTTCATGTAGATCATCTTTCCTTTATATTAATCAACTAGTTGACCTCTTAGGCATATAAAGATGTATAAAATAAACCATCTTGAAATAATTCTGTAGGGAAATGGTAATCAAACTCCTGGATCAGGCAGGGCGAGAAGAGATGCTGCTGCTCGTGCCATGCAAGGATGGCATGAGCAACGTCTTCTTGGTTGTGGCGAGGTTGGGGAGCCAATTGTAAAGGTCTGCTGAAATTATAGAACTCAACAAACATTTTTTGGTCGTGTTTACCTTTGACCAATGTCTCTTGACATGTATTACTATTTTTGTCATGGATCTCTTGATAGGACAAGAATGCCAAACATACGCCAAAGCGTGAGAAGAATTTCAAAAGCATTGGTAATTGTTATTTCTGGTTTTTTTTTACCAACCTTAACCTTTATATTTCTTTAGATTATTCGTCTCTGGTTATGATTTTTAAATTTGAAGTATCATATCCAGCAAATCGCTGGTTGGTTTGTGGGCCTAGTGGCTATCAAGGAGATGATAGTATGATACGGGACACGATAGAACGGATGATATCTGTTTCCTTAAGAAGTCAGATAATTTTGATCTTGTACTTGCATTCAGGTTCTATAAAACACAAGAGACCAAATGAAATGGAACATCCTTCGAAAGTGGCACGAACAGAAACATCTAAGCAGTTAAGTCGTTCTTTGTGTTGATTCTCTCATGTAACAATTTTCTTTGTCAAAATTCGTGCATCTTGTCATAAGGCGCTTGGTTTAAAAATCTTAGTTCAATGTAGCTACTCAAACTCCACAATTTGTAATGTTGGTTTCATCTTCATGCCTGTTTTTATTGTTTATTTTTTTCATCTGTAAAACCATTTCAATTTTCAATTTTGTCCTTGCAGCATCCAGACATGGTCATTTTTGAGTAGTATCATTTCACCTGATGTGTTGATCCCACATAGTTTCTTTTCTGGAAAAACTAATTATCATAGGCTTCTGAGATTTGATCTTTTAGTTTGAGATATATATGCCTTTACTGCTACTTTGGAGCCTGCGTTGTAAATTGATGTTGCTGTATGATTGAGCAGTATTGCTCTGCCATTTCTTTTCTTCTTTCCTCTTGCCCGGTTGTGAAAACTAAATTAATTTTATTTGCCAGGTTGGTTACAACAGTTGTTGATTTGGGACCTCCAGCTGATTGGGTAAAAATCAACGTGCGAGAAACAGTAAGTTCCTCTAAGATTCCAAGTATTTCTACTTTATGTTTACTCGCTCTTCCGTTGACCGTAATGTTTCTTCACAAACAGAAAGATTGTTTTGAGATCTATGCTCTGGTGCCTGGGCTTTTGAGAGAGGAGGTATGTACCTCTCGCACTGCGTGTTCTGTTGCTATGTTTTATTGTACACAAATGCCCCCCCCCCCCGAACCCCCCACCCGCCCCCCACCCCCAGGTAAAAGTGGAAGTGTACAAATGTCATCTTTATGATAGTTTTCTAAAACATATGGATTTCAGAATTAGACTACATACCGTCTGTGTTATGTAAATCACATATCATTTGGAAGCACTTTAAAGGAATCCATGCGAACATTGTGCTTCTGTTTCATATGGGTGCTTGACCTTCACCGCAAGCTTTGTCTAGGTAAAAAAGCAAAGTGGCCTCCTTAAAATGATAAAACCCAGGGGAGGAAAATTGTTTATTTTGGAAAGGAATGAGGTTCTGAACAAAGACGGTAATCTATGCACTTTGGCCTATGCTATACACAAAATAAGGACTTATTTGTGAACCATATTTTTCATATCCTCCACACATCATATTTAAGCGAATGCTCTTTTTGTTGTTGCTATTTTTGGGCATAGAACTGTTTCCATTTTATCTGATTGCTTCAAGGGATGGATTAGCTAAGTGAGCGGGAAAGACACGTGCATATCATCGATAAAATCCTCGTTTTCACATTTGCAGTTGTGAAGTAGTGAAAGAAAATATTTTCAAGCTTCATTGAAGCTGGCCACCTTTTTAAAAGAGATTTTCCTTTATGCACCAGTAGTTTTGTAGAATATGATATATGGCTGATGCAATTCTTAGTGCTTACTATTCAAACTCTGACAAGTATAAGATGTTCATTTTCGTTAAATCATCCGTGTTATATTTCCGAGGACAAAAATGTAGTGGCTATTGATTGATCTGAGTCATTATTATTTAGCATATTCTTGCAGTGAATTCTGGTGTATATTGATCCAAAAGTTTTCATTCCTTATTTCTTGGGTGACCAGGTGCGCGTTCAATCTGATCCTGCTGGCCGTCTGGTCATAACTGGTCAGCCGGAACAACTTGACAACCCTTGGGGTATTACCGCCTTCAAAAAGGTAAGTTTGGTTATTTTATTGATCTATTTCAATATGAATTCTCGTTCTACAACTATCGTGATTTTGCATCATCTGTGCCTTTCTGCTGGAAGTTTAAAGACTGATGATATCTAAGGAAAAGAGAAACTAGTGCGTGTTTGTGCCAAGAAGACAGAAAAAAAGTTCTTTGTTGAAGTTCCTCCATTATTATTTCTTGGAAATGGAGTCTAATTTTTTTCAGAATAGGAGAGCTATTTACTTTTCTGAGATAACGGATATAATCTAAATGCTGTTCCAATTTATAAATGGCTTGCCAACTGGTGTGCATGTCATGTTCACAGTCCTTTTCTATTTTACTATCCCTTTTATTGGCATGGGATAAAATATTAAAGGTTATATAACCAACAAGTGCCCATGAGGTTTCTGGTTTGTTCAGTTGCTATATGTTTGGTCAAACCAAATAATATAATCTTGGTCTTCTGATATCCAAACTATACATAGAGATGTAAATACTTGAATTATTTTTCAATTCTGATGAAACAGAGAGTATCCATTTATGACTTGCATTGGTTTTCTCAGGTAGTTAGCCTGCCAGCTAGAATCGATCCACTTCAGACTTCTGCTGTTGTTACCCTCCATGGACAGCTCTTTGTTCGTGTACCATTTGCGTAGTGAAAATATTTGACTCAAGAGGGAGTTTTGAACGTTTGGATGAACTTTATTGACAAAGCATGGATGCTGATAGTTGACCAACATTGATAGTCAGATTGTGAATGCTAGGGCCGTAGATTGTGGATCTGTGTATGATGATTAGTTTGATCAAATTAGTTGTTGACGTGTTCTGTGGGTTAAAATTTTAAAGCAAAAGGAGGCATGTCCTGCTGCGACACATTTTTTTACTCTGGGAATTTAGCTAGAACTTTTTTGTTTCTGAGATTAATATTTATACTCAATTATTTCTAGTTAGCATTTGACTGTACATCTGATGTCCAGCTTGACCTGAGGTCACTCATTTGCTATTGTGTGTGTGTGTGTGAGAGAGAGAGAGATATCACGGGGAGGAGACTAGCATTTTTTGTCGAAAAATCAGTTCATTGTACGTAAGAAGAGTTAATGGTGTATAGACAAGTGAGGGATGCTCTCGTGATTGATCACTCCACCGTGACGTGATAAGCTGAGGGTATCCATTGAGGTTTCAAGTCCCCCAAAAAAATAAAAAATTGTGGAGTGTTAATAGTGTCCAAGTAAATAGTTGTTGATTGTGGAGGTGCTAGTGTTTGTCCTGTGTCTTGTGAAGTCAGTTCAGACTTTTTGAGTATGTCTGTTGAATTTCCATTGCAGATGTAGAAAAAATTGCAGGTATCCTCATCACTTTCTCTTTCTCAATAACAAAACCCAAATGTTGTGTTGGTTTTGCCTTGCTATTCTCCGTTCAACACATTGATATAAACATAAATTTAGTATAATACTTCTCGTCTCCCAACTCATATACTAATACCTTTTTATTATTCCATTTTGCAATTTATTTATTTTATACATACAAATACAATGCATGCAGTCAATATTATATTGGTTCCTCGATGCCTGGTTTCTTCTTTCTTTACTTCACTTACCTTGTCATCTCAATATTGATCTCAGTTTGATTTTCAGTTTCTCCAACGCAACTCTGATTAATTAATGAATTGATATCACAAGAGTAGATCTACTCTTTATGCTTTGCCAGTTGCCAGCCGTTAGCTTCCACTTACAATATGATAAGCATATTACAATACATAGCATAATGTACATATATGTATGTCTAATCAATCACTCAAAATAAATTAATCAACGCAACCTCTACTGTCATAGAAGCATGATTGTTCATTATCTTCAACAGAAATTACGTATTGGTATACACCGGACTCCAGTGACAAAAGAATTAGGGAGGAGCAACAAACACCACATATAACGAAGATGTTCTTCACAGCAATATGATAAAAATCAGTATGTGAAGTTCAAGCCCAAACAAGGGATCAGTCAATATCTGAAAACTCAACACTCAATGCTCTAGTTAATCTTGTAAAAGATACTAGTAATTTGCATACTTAAGTAGTAGTACCTAGTAATCTAAGATTACAAAATCCATCACAAGTTTAGACAATGAAGATGAGCATTGTTATATAGTACTTGTACAAACACTATATATATATATATACATACATGAAACTCACCTTGCTTTCAAGTTTTCTTCCGTTGGTGGAATTAGAAAAAAAAAAGTAGTGTTTGTTAGCCACAACTGGCTATTTTCTGCACCAGCTATCTCTTAACATTTTGAGTAATTTGAAAATCTCATGATCACTATCGTATATACTAGCTAAAATGGGGGCCTTTCATTTGCAGCATTGCCACCCCATCCAAGCAACTCAGCTGAGAATGAGTAATTATTCCCAAAAGCCATATTTCCTTCGGCAGGATGGGCAGTACCGGCGGCCTCTCCACCACCGGTTACTCCTGATGACTGTGAGGCAGCTGGCTGTACCTATTGAAATTCATACTAAGGCTCTTTGGTAAAACATATATATTTATTTATTTATTATTATTAGTATAATTTACAAACCATAGGTTCCAATGAATTCATTCATTATACCTGTGTAGTAGGAACATTAGCAGGAGCCTCATCATCTTCCTCCAAGGGAAGTCGTTCAAATACAGCATTAGCAAAAGAGGCAGCCATTAAGACGACTGGACCTGATGCGATCAAAGGCCCTACAACGGATCCTCCAACCACTTGTCCTTGTCCACCTGATAAAAATATAGAGATCCCACTGGAGGCGGGCGGTGCAGGCGGAGGAAGCACCGTACCTGAGAGGCTAAGTATTTCGAAACGTCCGTGGAGTGTGACTACACTTGCAGCAGGCTGACGAAGGTTGACGTTGGTAACTGTGCCGCTACCACTAAGAATACAAACACCTCTCCCTCTCCGCCTTGCGTAATTGGAGATACTTTCCATGATATCAACATCGGTCGAAACTTCAAGCACGTGAGATCGGAGTGCGTTAGGCGTATCTCTCGTCACGATGATTGGAGGCTTGGGCTTATTTTTAGATCCAGGCGGACGGCCTCGAGGACGGCGATTGGGAGCTCCGCCTCCAGAACTTGCACCAGCATCACTGTCAGATTCACCGCGCATCAATCCCAAACTATAATGATTAAAATCCATTCTAATTCTATTCCTTACTAGTAAATACTTACAAATTAAAAAGAAGAGAGAGAGTATTTTGTATTTTTTTTTTTTGAAAAAGAAACAAAAGGAGAGAAATATTAGTAAAAAATTAAAGTAGATATGACGGGCGGGTCAATCTATTAAACAAATGTGATGCGATTGAGTATAATTGAATTCTTCCCGGAGGTAGTGAGTGCATTCTAGAGACTCTGTTGAATGGGTGCCATGCCACGTGCGGTCAAAATAGGCGACGTGGTATCACCCACGTCGATTTATGGCTACTTGTTCTTTACTCGAACCCCTCCTTTTTCTTATTTTTTTTTATATATAAATTAAATAGTTTAACGAAAGAATGTGTTAGCTTTACTAGTTAAATGGAATAATGGATTCTTGTATGTATATATAATATAATAACAAAAGAAAGAAATGAATGGATAGGGTCTTCTCAGAAATGAAAAAAAAAAAACATATATATATATATATATATATATAAATAAACCAGAAAAATAAAAGACTAGCACTTGAGGGTAATGATGCATGCCAGCACATAATTATTTTTCAAAAAAAAAACAAACCATTTTTTATATGCATTAATTTGAGTTGAAGTGAGAAAAATTAATATCTGTAAGTTGAAATTACGAAAGCTGCTCCTCATGAAACGAATGGTACGGTTTATTTTATTTTGTTTTCAGGAGAAAAAAACGATCCATTCATGATTTTTATATAAGAAGTAACGGTTACAATATTATTAAGAACTAATGATGTCCTATTATTAGTGCAGACGACAAGTAGTGTTTTAATAAAGTATATTATATATAATATTAAGGACTAATTATAATAATTTAATAATATATGTTTGGTATATATCCATATTCACTTAGTAGATTACATTTAAAAACTAAGTTGGGAGTAGTATATGCTTATGTGCAGTGCCCTTGTTTTTAAAAAAAAAATGGAATTATTTGAGTTCCAGGCCAATCACGAAACCTCAAACTTGTTCTTTTCTCACTTAGAAAATGCCTACTATGAATTAAAGTACTAATAAGAAATGTACATTAGGCCTTCACCAACTATAATAGCTTCGGCAAGCAATCACAGATTGCCATTTCACTCCATATATATATATATATATATATATATATATATATATATATATATATATATATATATATAGTAGTTATAATAATGCTCTAACTATATTAAACTATGGAATCGCTGCACGCTTTTAATTTTTCTGCATATTTAATTATTTATTTATTCATGCAATCACGTCCACCTCTTTCTTTCAGATCTCAGAAGCTCTTTTTTTTTATTGTTTTAAAACCTTATTACGAAGAAAGCCACAAATCATGTCAAATATATATGTATATATACCTCAAAAAGATACTATATACTGTATTACATGCTAAATGGTATATTCTTTAACAAAAGAAAAGATACATGCTATAATTAAATATTAAAATACGTTGATTTTTTTAATAATATTTTTCAAAAAGAAACACCCGTATTTATATATGAACTTCATTTGTTATATATATGTATACTATTCTCGTTCAACCAAATCAATCCGGCTTAAAGAAAATCTATATATGATTCACTACATTTGAATAATGTTGGGAAACCAAATAAGATGATATGACAGCAATATATGTTATGAAATTGGGAAGTGACGTTTGCTAGGCTAGCTAAGAAGAAAAGAATTAATGCCCTTAAACATCTTTCTCAATATAAAATTAAAAAAAAAAAGGATAAAGCAAGTTGCACTTGATATAGATGCTCCTCTCCTGTATATTTTTGTTTCTTGTCGGCTTGTTTTCTCAAATATTTATTCCTCTCCTTTTACCTTTTTTTTTTCCATAAGTAAATTTTAGGTTATTCTTTCCTATAGAAACATGTTTTAGGTCATTAACATAATACAACTTGGACATTATTATTTGCTTTACATGTTCTTTCAATTGTTATGATGGGTTTACGATCGCTCCCTAGGATTCCATTTTACTATCAATTCAACCTCCAATCCCTATACTGTCTCGTATATTATATTTCATCATGTCAATCGCAGTTTTCTTTCCATACAGACTAGCATCGATACATCTTATTAAAAGACAACTTTGCTTCATGTGACATCTTTCTATTACATCCAATGATCCATCTCAATTCTCATTTTGTAAACTTCAATCATCACATCTATGGATATAAAATATAGTGTTTAGAAACAAACATAACTAAGCCATTAAAAACACAACCATACTAGCTTCGAACAAAAATTGTGACAACTTGTATGAATTTCTTTCATACAAAGTTGCTCTAAACCTTGCTCTTTTGTTGAGCGGGAGCTCAGTGAATGAGGCTTCCAATTCATATTTATTTTTTTTTCAAACATTTTTGGTCTATTTAGGACGATGGGACCATGCATAAGTCAAGATGTAACTCAAATATACTTACTCCTATTAGAGATATGATAATGGCACGAACATTTATCAGATGCACAAAAGGTCAAAGTTAGATATAATGCGAATCTACTCATTCACTCACCTAACTGCATTAAAATTCAAAATGAATCGAGTGAGATCCAAAATAGAAAACATCAATTCTGACAAATCTGAACAAGGATATTATCTGTTTCTTCTTCATTTTTTCAGCTCACCTTAATTGTGGTTAGGTAATTCCACCTGTCTAATCATTCTCTCTGCATTTCCTTCAAAATTAACCAACCAGGTAATAATTGTTTACCTCTGTAACTTCTTGACCAACAATGGCTTTATGCAAAATGTGAAGAGGAAACATTCATTGAACAAACTAAACATGTATTAAGCTGAAAAGGTAACACATCTATTACCCTGACATCCAATCTAGCTACTAATCAGAAGCAGTTTTAAGTTCAAGCAGTGAAACACGAAAATATAACAAATACAAACTCAGAACAAAAAGAGCACGAAATTCCAATCTCCATAAACAAAAGGTCCGCGCTCCCTCATACAACAGGGAGTATTATAGTTCCCAAGAAAATACTTTGTCCAGATGGAGTACTGGGCCAGATATAGACCATTCAAATCAAATCTAGCAGAGACTCAATCATAATATCATCAAAAATATAAGGTCCCAACATCCCAATATTAAGGATAGATAAATGGGTTAAGAAAGAACAAGGAAAACCAAAGAGCAGATGTCAAAATTTTAGAGTCTAAAGGAAGCTATGACCAACAATTCGGGGAAACACAGAGAGCATGACTTGGCTCAAAGACAATAAACCCAATCCATCGTCACCATAAACACAACATATAAGCATGTTCATCTATATTAGGCTTCAGATATCTACTGATTGCAGAGGATTTTCCACCTAAAACGACCAACAATTTCATATCAGCAAATTGCAGGACCAACATTCAGCAAGAATGGCCCGTCCATTATATATCTGTTATACTCTATGACTATCAGTAATAAGCTATATGAAGCAAGCAGAAAGAAATATGCAATTAGGAAAATCACTGAGATTCTAATTAACAGTAAAGTTTTTCTTTACAAAAAACAAACTTTGTATACAGACTTTCGCTCTTTGTTGAGTATAGATTTCAAGACTCTATAAAAGCTTTTTGCAATACGGACAAGCTTTATAAAGCAACTCTATGCCAACAAAGATGGTAAATTCTAGCTCAATATTAAGAAACACTCAACTACCTGAGATTCACACTTCACATGAACGATTCATTATGGAGAAACCAGAACAATACTGGCTGAAATCAGATAAATTTAAGCAAAATTATAATAATGCCACCATCGTATGGTGTCCTTCCTTCTCCACTGCAAATCTTCCTATTTCTTGATTAGTCTTAGACAGTGTAACTACATCATAATTTCGACAATTCGTCAAACACCATATTTGATTTACTGTCAATGGCAGAACTAATTAGCTCTGTAGGCCATAAATGACATGTATCTCTCTTTTTAGCCAAGTCTGGCTACCTCGGTATCTAAAGAGTACTTGTCCTCTCACCATTCCTTTGACTTGGGAATTTAAGACATCCCTTTTTCACCATGGTTTTATCATCTTCTTTTTCTGACATTTTAAATGCCAACTTATATGATAGTGATATCTTATATTCTCCCTCCGTCCCGATTTTTCCTCTCAAAATAGGTTTTACCTTTCTCCAACAAGAATAACACCTTTTTATATTTAAAACAATTTAACTTTAGATTTACTAATTTACCATTTATGAAATGACTTATAGCCACACAAATGTTTTAGATCACAAGTTTCAAAACGCTCTAATTTTTTTAATACTCCATGCCAGGTCAAACAATGTGACATGGAGGAAATAATTCTCTAGCTTTATATTTGGAAAAAGAAAACTAATCAATTACTGCCTTACCTAGACCAACTCAATCAATTTTATCCACAATACAGAATTAGGTGATTCTTTTTTTGGATGAAGGTAGTATTCTCTACGTAATAGAATCACTGGGTATGATTACACAATTTTCGGTTGAAAGAAGCACAGATGCACATAAATACAATCTTATAAGATAATAAAATAAACTATTTATTAAAATGTTTGGATGGAATTTGACTTAACTTAGATGGCTGAGCACAGCCCCAGGGCTTCAAAGAGAATGATACAGAAATTTGTTAAGTATAACATTCAAGTCATTCACGTTGATAAATTATTAAAGTGTAAAAACGAAGGAGTAAATGTACGCAAAGAAATTCTAAGATAAATACATACAGAACGAGCCTGCGCTCCATTAAAGTCATGTAGGATCAAAAAGGGTACATAATTTTCCAGCATCAAACCAGTCAACACTTTGAAATAAATAAGTTGGGATAGTTTCCTAAAACAGTCAAAACTTTGAAATATATCAGAACTAAAACATAAAATCACAACCTAAACATCTCAATACTAATGTGATATCAAGATAAACTAAGAATGTTGAGGTCTAAGGTTGACATACGTCTAATAACATGTTGACGTGTCTAGCCATCTCATTCAAAAGTTCAAAATGTTAGACACCGTATGCCTTTATTTACTTAAATAATTATATCCCGACATCCTTCATAATTTATCTACATAAGATGTCAAATTTTAAGCATACGTATGGTAGAAGCAGAAATGATGCACTTCTAGTACTAGTTCAAGATAATGGGCATGAATCCTACTAATAATAATACTTCTTAAACAAATAAAAATTAGATATTTACCCTACAAGTATACAGTTCATTACCCATCAAATATATTGACTGTTTATCGGAACTCTTGAAGAGAAAAGGCTTTGACTTCACCAAATCTCAACTAAAGCAGGCTCTCCCCCTCCATTATCGCAAATTGAAATTGGAAATTCAAAAGAGAAAGATTCTTGAAATTTGATGACTGTTAATACAAAATCCTTATGGAGTAATTAACATAAGAATAGAAGCTAGTCGAACCAATACATAGAAACTTTGAACAATTAACAAAAATGTTCATGTAGAGCAAAGATAAAAGGAAATAAAACATCATGCTGATAAACCAGTAAATGCTATTCAAGAACCTCACCTTGAAAACAAAAAACATGCTACATTATATCCACAAAAACTTAAAGCTTACATGATTTCCTTTTCTAGGTATAGATAATTATTTGGCCCTATAAAGAAAATGAGTTCAGAAGTATAAGTATATAAGGTCCCTATACGCCAATGAGCAGACAATTCCCTGAGCATTCATTAAACTTACAGAACGGCATGGAATTCTCGCGAAGCTCTATTCTTCAGCTCTTTTAGCTTTGTTCTTGTTACCGTATATCAATCCAGTTTCCTGCCAAAATTCATGAAATGGATAAGACTAATACTGAATACAGCACAAACACCCCTTGATGGAAATGAAAAGGGCAAAGTACCTGCGGATCAGGAACGGGTTTTCGCTTCTCAACATAGCGATAAGCATCTGATGCAGCCGCCAAAGCGGCCTTTTCCTGTCACCCAAAAATTAACAACTAGTTTGTAATTGAGGGCTTATCAATTGATTGACTTGTAAATACAAAAATGAGAAATACCTCTTGCTGCCTCTTGAGTTCCTGAGATGGCTTGACCCATAGAAAGTAAGCTAAAGTACCGGCGACAACCCAAGATGCCAAATTGCTTCCACCCCTTAAACCTCCGGTTAAGTTTCCGACGAAGGATCTAACATTACCCACCGATTTCCTCCAATCACTCGCCATTCCAATTTCTTCCTTCTCCTAAACAAAAATCAGTTTTCCCCCTAGATTAACTGAAGCAGCTCATGCAGAATCCACAGTTGAATGTTACTGGGAATTTGTTCTGGTAAAGTGGGTTTAACTTAACGGCCCATCGAGTTACGGGCTCAATTGGATCGGATTTCTGCCTAAGCCTGCTCCATTAACCAAGTTATACTTCCCAAATGAAATCAACCTGATAGCCCATTCCATCAGGTTACATATAACTCGGATGATTCATTATATTTGTTATTATATGTAGCACTGCTATAATAAATAGTAAATTATGTATTATTATGATTGTTTAATAAGAAATTAAAATGTGTTATTCATTAATTAAATTTTATTATATGTGCTCTATAACTTGCTCTCTGTAATATGTATATGTATTATAAATATTTTAAAGTGAAAGAAAATATCATTGCTATAAAAATGATAATATTTTCTTAATATAATATATTTATGTAAGTTTTCCAAAAATAATTGCATGGCTACATTACTTGGATATCTTTATTTGGAATTAAAAAGATGAAATAATTCAAATTCACTTACATGAAACTTCACATATTATATTTTAGAGAGAGAATCTAAAACCATGTATCAACTGTATATAGTTATTGTCTAACAGTGTATATGAATTGTTTTTTCTGTATATCATATCTATACAGCGTTTACTTTCTTCCATCCCTGTATTTTGAATGAGTGATGAGGCTGACTCGAATACGAGAAGTTTGTTGGCCAACACAAATACCAAAGAGATGAGGAATCATATGGGATCACACATGCACAAAAAGAGGATGAGAATTTGTAAATATTATTATAAATGATATCATTGGATAAGATATTCATGTTTCTCATAATAAAATAACAACACTATTGAAGGTTTTGACTGTAGCTTTTAAAAAAATGATCATAGGAAGATACACTACTGCCGGATGGCTAATATATCATAAAACACAATTTAATGCAATAATTTGGAAGAAGAGATTAAGAAGCATGAGGGATAGTATTTTATCTTTAGCCATCATGTGATATTCACAAAGATACCATGATCCAAAATATAAGAAAGGATAGAGTGGCAAACAGCGGCGAAGCTATAAAATTATAAATGGTGTCGTTTTTTACCTTTTAAGCTTTCAATACACTCTATAGTGGTTTAGAATTTATTTATTAGTTTTAAATTAAGTAATTACATTTAAATTTTATTTCAAATTTTAATGAAAAGTCAAATTCATTAAAAATTCAATAAGCTACTAAATTTATATTTCTAATTAAACGTGTATTTTAATTAGCTTAGACAATTGAAGAAACAAGTTATTAACTTAGAGTAATAATAAAATAGGGGTGTTTCTATGACTATAAAATACAGTTATGAAAATTCAAACTGGTCTTTCCCAAGAAAAAAAGCAGCTAGATTTTTTTTCGACCCTTAAGAGAAAGGTTCGTCCCACTCTCTCATATACACAATTGTCAGATCTTAGATGCTTTGTCGGAGAATAAGAGATTTGACTACTAACTATGACATTACTTGACATTACTTGCAGATGTAAGCATGAAAGTCTCACATCTTTGATGCACAACATCTTGATTTGTTAGGGGTGGGGGTATTAGATTTAGTCATTGCAAATAGTATTTTACTTATATATACAATATTATTTTTCGGCGGTGGGTGTTCAATTGGATACCCTCGAGGTACTGTTGTTCCGCTACTATTTACAAGTTGCAACCTTCCTAGAAGGAGGTGGTGACATTGGATACTGTTTAATTTCGTAAATAATTCTTATTGTAATGATAATATTTCCCAGTTATAACCAAAAAAAATTATAATTCTAAATTAAGAGAGATTTTAAAAAAATATTGAGGACATTGTATCATTTCCATAGTTATTAACTTATTATCAATATATATCATTTTTTAAAAAGGGAAAATAGTTTAAAAAATATTTAACTTTGATCGAAATTGTCGTTATTATATCAAACCTTATGAAGGATCTTTACCCCGCACTATTTAATAGTTTATTTTGAAGGTATATATATGTCCACATGGACACATTAATATTTATAATAATGCAATATTTTTGATGTTCACGTGACACACATATATTTTTTAAAATACACTATTTAATAATTTAGGAATAAAAATTCCTTACGAATGTTCGAATATATTTTAGACTTTTATTTCCTTTTTACATAAAACTATTTATTGAGACGAATATTATATATAGAGTTAAATATAAATGAAAATAAATTTAAAATAACAATATTAAGAGTCCCTAAATCTGTGGAATAAAAAACTCAGTGGTAAATAATTTCTCAAAATAAACTCTTACCAGGATTAAAACTAGCGTCAGGCTGAAGCAACGCTGCCACATATATATAATATTTACATCTCCTCTACTGACATTTTACTTTTTGCTGCCTTAACTCCAATGGCCGACGCTTCCATTACCTCCACTGCCACCAGTAGCATCGCCGCTTCTACGACAGCAAACCCACCCGAATCCAAAAGTTGGGCAGACCAAGCCGACGAAATCGATCAAGCTGAGCAGTCTTCCGCTTCTAATGAGGACGCTGCTGCCGAGATAAATATCGGATCTCTACAAGTCGATGAGTCCAAAAGAGACAACTCCACTCTCTCTGATCCGGAAGATTCCAGCATAGAAGCGGTACGTTTTTCCTCACTCTTTATTGTTTTGTTTTTGGATTTGATGCACTCTTTGGAGCTTGAATAAGCTGAATTTGCTGTATTTTTAGCTAAATTAGAGTTTTATCAATGAAATATATAGGTTACATCTGGCGATACTATGTACAAATCAGCGAAGAGATTTGAGGATTTGAACTTATCTCCTGAGCTATTGAAGGGATTATATGTACAAATGCAGTTTGAGCGTCCTAGCAAGATTCAGGAAATTAGTTTGCCTATGATTCTTACGCCTCCGTACAAGAATCTTATTGCTCAGGCTCATAACGGTTCTGGTAAAACTACTTGCTTTGTGCTTGGGATGTTGAGTCGAATTGATCCAAAGCTTGCTGCCCCTCAAGCTCTCTGTATCTGTCCAACCAGAGAATTGGCTATTCAGGTATGATATAAGATGCGAATACCCTTTTTCTTCTTCTTTTTGTTGTTGATTTTTGTTTTCGCCTGCGCCTGGATCTTGTTACTGGTAAACAATTTCCTTAAACTTAGTATGGCTTAGGCAGATGGAAAGAAATCAAGTTATCTGCTTAGGCAGATGGAAAGTAATCAAGTTCTCCTTGTTGGCAACCAGGGGTGTGGCCAAGTTATTAATCAAGTGGTTGAGAGCGCGACATCTTAGGTTCAAAACACTAGGTGACTCTTCTTATCTGTGGTGAGAGGTTAAATTAGTCGAGGTAGTCTCCTAGATCTTTGATCAACACCATTGACCTAGGCCTATCTTTGGGTGTAACAATAATGTTGGCATTGGAGAGTTAATTTCTTGCAGGATCAATTACTTCACAACCCAATGCGTAGCTAAATAGAAAGTTTTGCGCAACATTATGAGTGTCAGATTATGCATGTGTTTTAGTTTTCTATATGCTTCACTAGATATCTATTTCCAGAAAGGTATATGCTGCACGACATATCTATGTTATAGAAACTTTACCTACATTGCTTGTATATAATGTTGCCTGTATGGTTATGTTTTATGTGTTCATGCATATAGTTTTTGAGATGGCCAGACATACGCGAAGTATTCATATTTGATTTGATTGTTTGCCATCTGCAGTGGTGGTTTAAGCTGTTTTTATGGGAAATTGTAGAATCAAAAAGGAACTTGTGGAAAGAATGATATTTTTTAGCGTTTTTACATTTTAAAGAAGAATTAAGACTTTTCTTCATTATTCAACAAACAAAAAAATACTTTAGAAGGTTTAGTTTTAAATGGTTGATAATGTTACAGAATATGGAAGTGCTATTGAAGATGGGGAAGTTCACTGGCATAACATCAGAGTTAGGTATCCCAGCAGATTCTGCCAACTATATTCCAATTTCAAAACGTCCACCTGTTACGGCACAAGTAGTGATTGGCACACCTGGGACTATAAACAAGTGGGTGACGGGAAGGAAACTGGGCATGAGTTGCATGAAAATTCTTGTGTTTGATGAAGCAGACCACATGTTGGCAGAGGTAATTCATTCTCTATCCGCATTTGCTAGTGTGCCTTTGGTTTTTCCCCCCTTCTGTTGATATTTATTGTTGTTATACATATAGTTTTTGAATTATTTAAATCACTTTTGTTTTGTGTTTGTTGGTGTAAAAAATGAATTTAACCTTTGCTTTTTAAGATGAACGGTAGTGTTGAGCATAATGAGCTAGTTTTCTAGTTTCCAGTCTCATATTTAGGGATTTTGCTCCAAATGTTAAGAGTTTGTGCTTTCAGTATCTGAATTGATTTTTTTTCTGTGCATGCACAGAGCGGTTTTCAGGATGATTCCATAAGAATAATGAAGGCAATTGTTAAAGCCAGCGCTAACTGCCAGGTTGGTTAAAGTTGGCCTTGTGCTTTTTAAATTTTCAGTTCACCTGATGATGGAATTCTCTTTGAGGTTTTTGCTGCTGTAAATTGCTTAGTTTGTAATAAGAGTCTGATAAACTTCATTGGCCACATGCAAAGTTGAGTCTCTCAAATGGGTTGAGCCTTAGAGTGGCACATAGAAGGCTTAGACAGATATAGGAAGAGACCTTCCTCAGTGGTTGTTCGGTCATACCTTTGGTGCATCAAATTATATTTTACAACAGTAGTTACTACGCCTCAGTCGCTACTTAAGTTGAGGGTGAATCAAGACTGATTATGTCAATCAATTTATCTTGAAACTGGTAAAGTTGCATTCTCTAATGATGGAGACCTTCAAAAAATTGTTAAGAACAGCCTAAGGTACTTACTCAGCTTCTTCTATGCAATTTTCTGTTGTATACTCGAGCATAGTCCATTTGATCTCTGTTAGACAGAAGAAGAAAAAAGAAAGAGACGGTCATTTGTCTCTTTTTTCTCACAGTCACGTCACTCCATTTAAACTCATCTCAGGCCTATACTATATAAAAATTAATGTACGAAGTAGTAAAATTTCTTTGTATTTTCTACTGACGTATAAAATTGTATCTCTCTGTAAGGAAGAACAACTCCTAGAGAAGTATAGGACGCAAAATAGAAGTGCTGGTGCTAATATGAATAGGACATTTCCTCATTCAGTAGGTATGTCCTTCATGGAGCATTTGCCAAATTCAGTGTTCCAAAACTAACCAACTAAATTTGCTTTGAAGTATAAGTGACAATGAACATAGTACTCATAGCTGCAAACAATAAAGAGAAGCAAAATCGCTGCTAGTCTTTATCTCACTAGTAAAAAGGAGAGTAGAATATCAAGCAATATCTAAAATCTAAAAAAATCTTCACTGTTTTCATTTAGTGAGTACCGAGTATAGCCTAAGGCTTAAATTAAGGTGCATTTCATAGAGTACCTGAGTTTATTTTCTGCAAAAAAGGGGATGTGGTGAGGACTGCAAATGGGTCTGTAACTTGTTGTTTATAATACATTCTTCCTGATAAGCTTCCCCAATTGGATGATTATTTGGAAAAAAATTGATGTTGAACTTTTCTTTTTCATCATCTCAATTTGCAGGTGCTTCTCTTTTCTGCAACTTTTGGGGAAAATGTCAAAGCATTTGTGACAAAAATTGTTCAAGATCTTTTCGTGCAAGATTACAACCAAATGTTTGTGAAGAAAGAAGAACTTTCGCTGGATTCAGTGAAGCAGTATAAAGTACAGTGTCCAGATGAACTTTCAAAAATTATGGTGATTAAAGACAGAATACTTGAACTAGGACAGAAGGTGGGGCAAACAATTATATTCGTTCGTACCAGAAACAGTGCAAGTATGTTGCATAAGTCATTGGTTGACTATGGCTATGAAGTGACAACAATTCAAGGTGCCCTTAGGCAAGAAGACAGAGACAAAATAATCAAGGAGTTCAAAGATGGATTGACACAAATTCTTATATCAACTGATCTTCTTGCTCGGGGATTTGACCAATCACAGGTAACTTTAGATTTGAGGCTTTCCAGTTGCCAACCTTATATATGCTATACAAAGTTGTTTCTTCTTCTGAATGTGAAGCTTGTTGTGTAGCTATAATATTTAATATCTTTTCTTTCTTGATTTCTGTCTTGGTGGCTAATATTGGGAAAATCTTAAAAGATATGATACTGTTTGCAGGTTAATTTGGTGGTTAATTATGACCTCCCTGTGAGACATGAGAGTCCAACAGAGCCAGATCATGAGGTATACTTGCATCGGATTGGTAGAGCAGGACGTTTTGGACGCAAAGGTAATTTGTTGTCACTTTCTTATGCATGCTTCCTTGATAGATTAATGGCTGAAAATGAGCCACATATATATGTTGTGAACTTTATGCAACCTTTCCCTCGTGTTGAGCAGGTGCGATATTCAACTTGCTGTGCAGTGACCGAGACAACATGCTAATGTCAAAGATTGAGAACCATTTCAACCATCAAGTGGCTGAGGCATGTATCTATTGTTTATGTTACTGCATTTTGGACTTTTCTTTATTTTTAGACGCTTAGGATCGATCTTTTTTTTTTGACGCTTAGGATGCTACCCAATTTTTTTGTAGAATTAGGTCATACGTGCATACAGGTGCTTATCATCTGACTGCTTATGTTCATGGTCTTCTAAATAAGGCTGGATATATAGTAACATGATTAGTTTAAAGTATATTACCCCCAGTTAAGATGGAACAAACTTACCTCTCTCTTTAAAATTTCATCATTGTGTGTGTGAGGAGGGGAGTGGGGGTGCAAATTCACACTAGAGTAAAATCTAAAAACTTATAATACAATTCCGAGTGAAATGCAGATGTGATTCAAGATAAAGATAAGATGAACAAAGCATTTAGGATTATGGTCGAATGCAACATTTGTAGCATGCTGCTATTCACAGGAAAAAGGATCTAGGCAATATCTAGTTCAATTTGGTATTTATCCATGGGACATAACATTAGGCTCAAGTTAGTTGTTTCATGTTGGTTATGCAGATCTCATGGAATAGTGAAGAAGACTTTGAAAATGCTCTGAAGATAGCTGGCTTGCTGTAAGCCGAGTATGAATGTTGGTTATATTCATAGACTTCGAGTAGAACTACACTGGCTGGTGATGACATTTGTATCGTTGACAGAGCAGCGCTCCGGGGAGGCTTTTCTTCTTGATTGCTCTCATGCTTCACTTACCATTTCTAGTGTTATAACTTCTCAAAAACATGCCTAATCTCCCCATGCTAAATAGAATTAACACTTTTAAAAGGAACATGTAAAGAAAAACAATTATATTTTAAACACAACAGTGCAAATGATTGAAGAACTTCGCTATCCAGTGAGCAAAAACAGCAGCCAAAGTGACCTCAAACTCCGGTAGGGCTCAAAGAACCAATGGCAGAAATACCAATCACAACCGGTAACCCGAATCGTCCCCAACCCCTTATAATTTGTTTCTCTTCTACTGTATTAGTTATTTGCTTCTTTTACTTACTGCCTTTATGACTCTATTATTTCACTTCCTATTTATTTTATTAAGTTATTTTGGTGTCTTCTGGAATCTAGTTGCTCTAAATTTGTAGTCACGAATTGTGATACTATTATTGGTTCTAAGTTCGTTCTTATTATATGTTGACAGTTTGCTTACTGTTCCTAAAGGTTTGTTATTTTATGATTTTTTTCTTTCAATCTTTATTATTAAGTTTTGTTTATATTGTCACAATTTAAAATTGATCAATGAGAAAATCTCTTTTTTGATTTTAGAGGTCTTTCCAATGTAAAAGACGGAACTTTAGTTTAGATTTATATATTTTGTATGTTAAAATTGATGGATGAAGAAATTACTTTTGAATTTTAAGGTTTCTCATATTAGTAAGATGAGTTTTTATTTTTAAGTTATTATTTGATTTATTTATTTTCTTTTACTGTTGTTTTATGTTATTACTTTTTCTTTTGTTTTTCTCTTTCTTTACTCCAAATAGCTTATCTGGAACCTTTACACTACAAGGTGAACTACCTTTAAATCTGTATCTTTAATTGACACAAAAAAAATTCAAAAATCACTTAGAAGCAAATAGCAAATCAAATGAGCCATATGAATGATTTCATAAATTACATCTTGCTAAAAAAAAAGAACATTTCTATATTGTTGAATAAATCAAGAGTTTCAGATGACAACAAATAAAAGTATGAAACGGAACTCTAAGTCAAGAATTTTATATATAAATAATATATGAATTTTTAATTTATTATCAAATTATGAATTAAATCATTTGAATAAAACTCTGAAGAATCAGTAACCTGATAAAAAAAAGTTAATTTAATGACCTATTAGCTATAAACAGCGAGTCTAACTCAAATCAGACCTAATAATTAGATTAAAATCAATGAATATATGTTCTAATTAAGAGACTAAAAATAAGTATGTAATTAAAAGACTAAATTTAATAAATTAAAGGGTTAAATCTGATAAAAGTATTTTGTCGGTACATTTTCAAATTTTAAAGTTAAATTAAATTAAGATTAATTTGAATAAAAAGTTTGATATATATAAATTGTGATTTTCCTATATGGGTATGAGGAAAAAAAAAAGGTTCTATAACGAGTAAAAAAAAAAATTATGAGAATTAAAATTAAAGGTAATGTCCACCGTTTAGTGTGTGGATGAGGCATGGCGTTGATGGGAGAGAAATTTCGAGTGTGTGTAACTGGAGCAGGTGGATACGTGGCTTCATCGCTAGTGAAGCTTCTCCTTTCTAAAGACTACATAGTTCATGGCACCGTCAGAGATCCTTGTAAAAAACACCTCTTTGATTTGTTTTCCTACTAATTTTAGACCTCAGATTCCTGAGAAATGATTCTTAATTTGCACTGCAGCTGATGACAAGTATGCTCATTTGAATAACCTTGATAAAGCTGCTGACAACCTTAAGCTATTCAAGGCAGACTTGCTAGATCCCAACTCACTTGCTGGAGCCATCAAAGGATGCGATGGGGTATTTCATGTTGCTAGTCCTGTTCCTTCCGGCTCTGTACCAAATCCCGAGGTATGAATCTGCTATCACCTAATAACTTATTTCCTCTTGCTCTAAAACTAAGTAAACTGGGACAACCCAAATCTCACTAGGTACAAAAATACTTTGCTGTTTTTTTCCACCTGGTATGGGTCATAGTAGGAGGTATAAGGTACCCCGTGGAAAAGTCCAAATGCACACAAGTTGGCCCGGACACCACCATACATCTCCTGTGGTTTAGATATTATCAGCTTATTCACTTTGTTGATATTAATCACATCCTGTGGTTTAACTCTCCAGATAGCAGTGGAATCTTTATAAACAGTCTAGAATGCACATGTTATTACTTGTTGAAAGCTATTAGAGGTGTGTTTCTACTCAATGAAGGACGAGATAGTGAACTTATATTGGGATTTTATTATGATGTGCTGTTCAAAAAGATCTTTTCAATAAGAGACACGCTTCCCTATTTGAGAGCCTAAGACATTGAGAAATCCAGTGCATCCAGGAGACATTGTATTGTGACCAAGCATTCTGCATTTCTAGGTTGCTTTTGGAACAACTATTCCCAATGTGCTCTAGTTCTGCACCAAAAGAAAGTAAAATTCTTCATATGTTCAATGTCTTGACTGCAGGTAGAACTTGTTGAGCCTGCTGTGAACGGCACACTTAATGTTCTCAAGGCATGCTATGAAGAAAACATCAAGAGAGTTGTGTTTGTGTCTTCTGTTGCTGCTTCTGCCTTGGACCCCAACTGGCCAAAAGGCCAAGTGAAGGACGAGACTTGTTGGTCGGATGGTGAATTCTGCAAAGCAACTGATGTAGCTTCTTTTACCTATGCTAGTTTGCGAATTTGACTTCTCTGTAAATTTATGATTATTAGCCATGTTTCTTACATATGATACGTACTGTTGGTAATGTAATATATGATCTTTATCTTGAATACTTAATTTACTTGAGGAGTGTCCTTTTTGGTTGGCTTAGTTTTTGTAAGATAAATTTGGATTTGATTCTTGAAGGCTTATTTTGCCAGATCAGCTTCCTATCTGTCTGATTGCATTTTGTGGTTCCAAATGCATGCAGAACTGGTACTGTTTTTCTAAAACGGTGGCTGAGAAAGAAGCTTGGTCATATGCAAAGCAAAGTGGACTTGATTTGGTAACTGTGCTCCCAACACTTGTTATAGGGCCAATGTTGCAGAAGACAAAAAACTCAAGTAGTTTGGTACTCATTAAGCTGCTGAAAGGTACCAAGAAACCATAGTTATACTTGACTCTTAAATGTTTCTGCATTATTTCTTCTACTTCTACATTTCTGCTTGTGCGAGTTGCTCATTGGGGAATAATCAGAATTCACTTTCCCCACAAGCTACTTTCTTTGTTTTCCGTGCGAGCATGAACATACATTTAACATTTTGAATTTTGTTAAGTTCTTCCTTATGCATACATTCACTTTATAACCCAAGATGCTTTGGACAACTGCCTGAAGCCCTTCTATTTTTTACTTACTTTGCTCAACTATATGATATGATAGAGAGACGGTGCCAATCTAGGTTATGTGTTATATAGGTTATTTGATAAAAGTTTAGTAGGCCAGTTTATGATAGTTCTGGTTGTAGAAGCATTTCTCAGGTGCTCTTGTTGTCATCCTTCTACTCTAGTGTTTCAAGCATTGCTTTTGCCATGGAGTCTCAAGTGTATTGCCTCGTTAGATAGAGACTTCCTAGCTACTGTGCACCAACAGTTACTAAGCTTTTTGCTTAATTGTAGTAAATGTTAATTTCTGTGTATAACGAGTTGGCCTTTAGTCATTGATATTATAAATAACTGGTTCAGAGTCTAGGAATATATGACCGACCATGCACTAAAATAAAGAAAGTTTCACCTATAGGGCTTTATCCCATTTCATACCCATTTTTCTATTTCATTGCAAAAATAAACAAAGTTCACCTTAAAGGGACATACCCCACTCCACCCCTCCATACCCATTTTTTCTAATTCAATGCAAACTAGGTGTGTGCTCTTTCTCCATTCACCTCAAGGTTTATTATCTAAAAGGAGCACAAAATCTTAAATACTATATCTGCTTATTTTTGTATCATCTGAGTTGCTCAGCATTCTTTATGCTAAAGAAGGCTTCATGTGTTGTTTCCGTGCTTTCATGTATATCGAGGGTCATTGTCCTTTCCTTCTTTCACTTGAAGTGACTGGTGCCCCTTTCTTCTCCTTCTGTTGTTGATACAGAAGGATACGAAGAGCTGGAAAACAAGAAACGGTTTTTGGTAGACGTACGTGATTTAGCTGATGCTTTACTGCTAGTCTATGAGAGACCTGAAGCTGAAGGTAGATACTTGTGCATGGCTCATGCAGTGAAATCAGAAGATTTAGTTGCCATGCTAAAGAAACAATATCCCAACTACAACTATCCTAAACGGTGAATTTCTCTCCTTTTCACTTTATGCTTCTTTAATGTGAATATAGTGTCCTATTTCCTGTGTATGGTTTAAGAGTTGCAGGGGAAAAAAGCAGCTTAAGGAAATTGGGACTTGTCTTATGGGTATTTCATTTCGTATTTCCAGTGTGTTTGGTTAAGAATTTGGTCTATTTGATCAGGTGTATTGATAAATATTCTTGTAACAAACCTTGCCCACTAGTAATATTGTCTGGTTCGGGCCTAGGAGCACACAACTTTAAAATTCATTGCCTAGAGAGATTCTTGAAGAACTGTTAGACCTTAGTGAGCATTTCTATGCCATACAAGCCTAGACTCAAATGAGATATCAATAGTGGACCGGGCTCTCTTACCCTTCTACTCAGTTATCTAAAATCTGTTGTGCTAAAGTACCTTCTATTTTACAGTTTTACTGATGTGACGGAGGATGGTGGTTTTAGTTCAGAGAAGCTGCAGAAGTTGGGTTGGCAATATAGGGCACTGGAGGAAACTCTAGTTGATGCAGTTGAAAGTTACAAACAAAAGGGCTTTCTTGATTGAAGAAAAGACCCTTTTTTTCTTGTTGTCGTACTAAATAATTGCTCTGTATGTTTTTCAAGTTTTCACACTTGCAAACTAGTCTGGAATAAGGAGGTTACACTATGGTACCTTTTGAGTTCTATTTAGTTGTTTTGTTTTGCTCTCAGTTGAGGTACAGATTAACTCAACTTATTCAAGTATTTCTATTCCTAAAGCTTTAGTAGCTGGAGTTTCAATGAAGGTGGTTGGCGAAGGTACTTGACGTGTAGAGCGAGCTTTTGTTCAATTCAACATTTGGACAAGCTATTGCCTATAAACTGAACATCAAGACAAATTAAAGAACCTTCCCTAGAGAGAATAGGTACGATAGCACACATTTCTGTTGTGTGACAGAGAACAAGTAAGTTGTAGTAAACATTACTCCACTATTGAACATCATTTAAGTGACACTATAAATTGAAATTTAAAGAATTGAAAATTGCTACAGTTGGCATACTTCTATAAATCATAAAAATTGGAGGAACACAAAGTAGGACCATCAAACTATGAAATGATAAAATGCTTTTTACGGAGTAATCAAAAGACATAAAACATACATTCCAATTTGATCTAATAAGTAAAAGTATGTACAACATATAGATAGCTTAACAGCTTTACATTTCAATTTGCAAATAATCATACAAGTAGAGATACCTTCAAATGATCAATGCTTACTTATCGGCTGATAATTAGTGAATTCGGATTTATATTAACCAAAAAAAAAAGAAAACTCGTTTAAAGCTGACCTGCCACTGCCATGCTAAAAAAGGAGAGTATAAAGCCGTTATAAGGAGATGGTTTTTTTCTTTTGACAGTGTACGATGATGATTGCTTCTCCTCCTTCTACACCTCTTCTACTATGCTCTGTTTTTCTCTCTCTCCATCATTTCTCACCAATTCCAATTCCAATTCTTCAAAATCCTTTCTTTTTTTACTCTTAGGATCCACCATGAATGCTTATTACCCTCTGTTTTTATCATAACCTTTTCTCTCTCTCTCTTCTTGTATCATCATGACCCAGTTTCTTCACCTTTTTACCCCACCCACCCCTTCTTCTGCTTCTTCTTACTCTGCTCTCTTGTACAGCTGATCCACTCACCCCCTCCTCTCCAAAACCCCACCTTGACCCCCTTCTGCCTTTTGACCTACTCTCTCTTTTTTTCCACCCACAGTTCTAGGGTTTCCTATTATTATTTTTTTCTCTCTTCATCCTTTGTGTTCCGCTCTTCCTCTTCATCTTCCTGCTGCTGCTCCTATAGCTCTCTCCTTAAACATCCTTTTCTTTTTTTGTGAATACATGTACCATCTTTTCTGCCATTTTAGGGGGGTTTTCTGTGTATAAGAGGTCGGGTTTTCACTGGATCAACTTTAGTATAACGTGAATAGTTTCTGTTTTCTGGTCTACTTACTTCTCCTGTATCTACTTAAATCAAATTGGATAGTGGATTATGGCGTATCAACAGCAGCCACCAGCTCAAGGTTCAGGTTCCTCTGCTGCTGGCAGTGGGGTTCCATTCTTTAATTCTCCTTTTGGGGACACCACCTTCACTAAGGTCTTTGTTGGAGGTCTTGCTTGGGAAACTCAGAGTGACACCCTCAGACGATTCTTTGAGCAGTTTGGTGAAATCCTCGAGGCTGTTGTCATCACTGATAAAAATACTGGCCGATCCAAAGGCTATGGCTTTGTGAGTGTCCTTCAATGAATTATAGTACTACTTGTTTACTCAATTTGAAAAGGATGCAGTTTCTTTTTACTATCTTTTGTTTTCTTTCCGTTTTATGGATAAAAAAATGGTTCCTTTTTCAAATTCCATCTTAATCTCCCTTTTTTTTTTTACAACCAGGTGATATAACATCCCTTATTTGCACTGTCTACTGTCTGTCCCTTCTAGTTAAATAATTTATATTGTCTGTCTTTTACTTAGCCTGCATCTATGAATTTGGATAACTGAATGACATAATTTCCGCATGGTATTTTTTTGGAGGGTTTAGGTGACTTTCCGGGACCCTGAGTCTACAAGGAGGGCATGTGCTGATCCTGCTCCAATTATCGATGGAAGACGAGCAAATTGTAATTTGGCTTCGTTAGGGCGACCTCGTCCTTCTGTGCAATTTGGTATTGTAGCTTAATTTGGTTGAATGCTCTATCGTATTTCTAGAACAATAATAATGGTGTTGGATCATGGAGTTGCCTTTGCATACCTTGGGAGTCTGATGAGCTCTATATTATATGAAGCTTTACTGGATAGCTTGTTCTCCCTTCATTTTCAATTGTATTAAGCTTGTAGATTGCTTTTAATTTGTGCACATTTGCATGCACTCCCAGCTAATACAAGACAATGTATGATCCATCTTAAGCTATGAGCTATCATTGGTGGAGTTTTTTTTTTTTGGATGACCGTGGTGTCCGGGCCAGCTTTCGTGCACCTTGACTAAATCCACGGGATACCTGTTATCTCCCACCAGCAACAACATTGGTGGAGATATAATTGAGATGGTGAAATAGAAAATTGAGGGAGAAAGGTAAGAAAATGCATTTAAGTTTTTACAAGTAAAAAATAATTTGAGATGATAAGCCTTAGGATTGATACACAGTGGTGGAATGACGACAGTAGGAGGAGTAATAAGATGCTAAGATCTGGAAAATAGAGTTGAAGTTCTGTATTGTGATAATCTCTCATCAAACTGAAGTAGACAATGCATTAAACATGTCTGCTTTTTGGGGATTTTGTATAATTTTATCTTTAAGAGATTGTGGTACATGGTTTAAAATGAGAAATAAAGTGATGTGAACAGGTCTCCTTGATCAGAGACTGAACATCATGAAGTGCATGTAATCACTAACTGTGCTTCAGAACACTCTCTAGTCTTTTCTCCTGAAGTTACAAGAATTCATCCCTCATCACAAAGTGACACAATGATCTTTTCCCCTTCAATAATTTCCTTGTTTGCGTGGCTGTTTTTTTTGTAACATAACAGGTGCAGTATGTTTTGACAATCTTTTGGCTTGGCCCTATACCCATCTACCTTCTTGGTGGATGGCGGAGATCTTCTCTTCGACTTCTCCAAAATTGATTGTGTGGAAATGAATACATTGCTAGCACACTTAATCAATTACTTATGTGACCTTTGCACAATCAATGTGGAGAGCTGTTTCCTTGGCTTCTCTTGAACACATTGATAATCTTTGAAACTAGAAGCTGAAAGTTCCTTTACAGGCCATTTATATGAAAAATTGTAAAGCTGCCTGAGAATTGTTGTAAAAACATCTATAAGGATCACCTCCTTTTCTAAGGATCCTGCAAATATCGATTCATGGCTGGTTATGTGTTTGACTGAGATCTCAGATGTTCAGCTTAAGATAATGACACTTAGCCATTTTATACCTTTTCAGGGCACATCCTACCCTGATAAAAGGGAAAGAACTGAAAGGAAAAAGTATGCTCGTTCTTTGAAGTGCATTAGCTTACTTCCACTTTATTTGGTACAGGACGTCTGAGGTCACCGACTCCATTTCCAGCAGGGCTACCAGCTGCTCGGGGTGCTTATGCTGGAAGTTTTGGCTACCAGCAACCGGTTTCTTATGGCTACCAGCAAGGCTTGATGTATTCTCCTTATGGGTAAGCTGTGTGTCACAGGCATTTATAGACTATGCAAGCACTGATTCATTTATGGGTTATAGTATAATCATAGAGGAAAACATCCAGTGACGAGGAGAAAGGAAGGTTCAATTAGTTAACGTTGGAGCATACTGTCACCTAATTTTTGCTATCGATTCTTGAAATGTCGTTGCATTTAGGATTATAAGTTTGGGGGAGGCCCAAGCTTGAGTCCCTTCATTATTGAATTTCATGAGTTTCTTATTTGCATGCGAACAAGTAGTTCCTCTCTTTTCACTTAGAAACAGGAAAAATTTCATCCTATTCACTGAGAGAGAACCATGTTACTTAATTTGCTGAATTTACTTTAAAAATAGTTAATTTAATTGATAGACCTTAGGACTTCATGTCAATCAGTCATTTTTTTGTACATTTTACCACGTACCTTATTTGTGTGTATTGCATTTAAAAGCACAACTTTTAGAAGATACAGTTACCTCTGTATTACTAATGCAGGTATGCGACATATGGTACGGATTACGTTTACCCTCAGGTTAGTAGCACTGCATAAATGGAGACATTACAATACATCCCATTCTTTTTGCTGCACTTAAAGGTTCAGGTGTCCTTTTGTCTTGACTATGAGGACTCATTTTTGATGCATACTGTAATTTTATCCGATAGGGTGTTTACAATCCTTATGGAGGTCAACAGTACCTTCCTATATATGGTGTACCTGGAACTGTTAATGCAACAATGTATCCTTACGGCCAGCTAAGTCAGGCTGTTCCTGGAAGTCACAGTTATACGACATTGCAGGGTTATGCAGTGCCAGGACATCAGATTCTTCAGTTTGGTGGGCCCGGTGTCAATGCAATGACAGCTTCATCCATTCCAACTATTCAAGCACCATATCAAACAGGCAGATTTCTTTTATTTGTATCTTATATATGCATGCATGGTAGCCTTGCATATCATCTTATCATTGACATTAATCTGCATTCCAAGTTTATCAAGATGTCTGACATCTAGAAAAAAGTAGTCCCCCACAAAGATAGGGGTAAGGGGCTGCATATACCCCACCCATCCCAGACCCCACTTGTGGTATCACACTGGGTATGTTGTTGCTGTATGACATGATTGACATCTAGAAAACATGCTGGAACCTCATCTACTTCTGTAGCCTCAGTTCCAAGTCTTACATAAGATTGCAAGTATGAAGTTGACAGTATCATTATGCAACTGTTTTTTTATTTTTAGGTGTCGGAGCGCCTGTTACACCACAGCCACAGTTTATACTACCTACTCATTCTCCTCAATTTATGCAAGGTAGCGGTTCTGACCAAAATGCAGGGTGAGATTTTATCAAGGTACGTTGTAATTCAGACCCAACTGATGAAATAGCCGCGACATATTTGCTTCTGCAAGTTGCAACCACAATTTATCTGTTGATGTTCGTGTTCTACTTTTGACCTTTAGGTACTAGATTGCAGCAGGACTAACAGCAGCAGTATTGCTACTTGAGAGGCAGGCTTTTAATCTAGCCTTGCAAATTATTCACTTTGCATTCTAGAGGTACTAGATTTGGCTTTGTTTTAACCTCTTTTGTTTCCCTTGAGTTTGTCCGTGCTCCCCTACCCCCCTTCTGCATCTTTATCGATTATTCTTTTTTTTTTGGGTGTGTATATGTGTGGTGGCGGTGGTTAAGTTCAATTGCTTGTATGAGGTAATATGAGGACCAAAACAGAAAGCAGGTATATTCTCTATGCAAATGACCGTATGTTAAAATCATTACATGGCTTGACTTATCCAAAATGAAAAAAGAAGGCATCATTATAGGGCCTCTTTCTTGGCGGGGACCTTCTTTGCCTGATCAAGGATACTGGGTTTGGGCTAACATGTTACTGTGTTTACAAGAACTCCCAAAGATGGTTTTGAATTTTCATTAAATTCGTCATGATAATGTTCCTCGGAAAATGTTTTTTTTTTCAACCTACTATGTGTGGCAGGTATGATTACTGTCTGACAGGTATAATTACACATCAGATGGAGATGACAGATACTTGGCAGTTCTTTCTCGTTGTTGTCTTTATCTTTCTACGTACATAATTTGATTTTTGATGTGTTTTAATAGTAGTCAATGTCGTATCTTCTTATCATATTGATTTTAACAATCTCTTATGGCGTCCAAATAAGTAGTCTCTTTTCATGATTAGTTCAATTAATTTTTTCATTTGGTGCCAGCTTATATTTGCAATACTTAAGTATTTGAATTTGCTTAAAGGTCCTTTATGTGGTAAGCAGTCCCGTTTCAGTGCCATTTGCATGTCATCAATATGAATTGAAGCTGCTGAGGAGAATTAATGAAACTCTGAAATAATCTACTAATTTGATATGCAGCCCTTTAAAAAAAGGAAAAAGACACTAAAAAGTAATTTGGTGTATGTAGATTATGTAGCAAGGTTATCCTTCTCCTAGATATCACATATTAAAAAGCTATCAAACCTTTTCTAGTCTTAACGTCATTTGCGTTGATGCAGGTTATAAAAAGTCATACCCACCATGAGAGCTCAATGTCTGAGTCGCTCCTGATGATTGAGTGAGGAAACATGGAAGTTGCGGATTGCACTTCCTTCAACATCATGTATCTAGGCCCTTGCATTCTGCTGGTTTCAGGATCACTGGCAGAGAGTCATGCATTTGAGGGATACTGGAATAGGTTTCTGGCTCCCTCCTTGTAGCAATAAACTTTGTAAAAAATTCACATCAGAATCAACCTGTGATTCAGTTATAGTCAAAAACTCCCAGAATATGCTTTTGGGTGTGTAGATAGTCATTGTCTTGCGTGCTGGTGCACCATGCACCGTGTTTAAAAGTCTTGTGCATAAAAAACAAACAAGCTTTAGTCTTAAACTTGAGATTCATTCTGTAATTTGGATGTTTTATTGATGATTCTTGAAGCAAGAAGCTTCAGTTATTATCACCAAGGTTGGTGTGACATGACCATAATTTGGGTGCAAAAGCAGTGTTGCATCATTTATTTGTGTTTGGTACTCAGAGCAGACTTTGCCAATGAAGTTTATATTATTCATTCCCCTTTAACCTATTCTGTTGAATATTACATCAACCATGTCAATGTCTCAACTCTCAAATTTGCGTTTGCTGTTCCTTTTCCTATATATTCAAATCTAGTTTTGTTTCATGATTCAGGTTTAGTGATTTAGTTGTCTTTCTTAAGGACTGCAAATCTCTTTCATACAAGGTATTATTCTTGTTTATAGCAATCTATCGGTCGATGTAAAACCCACAAAATAAAAATTAATAGGACGTTTGAGTTGTAATTTAGACATTAATAATTATTAAGTGTTTTTTTTTTTTTATTTAAAAAGGACACAAGCAAACCTATTACTAACTAAGCTATTGGTCAAAATAAAATTGGCCCTTCGTATAAATAAAACCTTATAATTGTCTGTTGATAGACCGTTTGTGCGTTTCATCTCCCAAATGCCTTGAGATTACACTTGTCTAAATTCTAACGCTTCAACATGCCCGAATCAGGCGAAATCAAGTCACAGGCAGCTAAATCTGACCCTCAAACTACCTCTCCGCCACCGTCGCAGCAACCTCAAACGGCTGCTTTGCCACTAAAGCGTCCCCAACAACTGGAATCGTCCCCAAACCCAACAACTCCTTCAGTCACCGATCCCAAAGACGTCACTCCCACCACTATCTCCTCCCGTATTACTGAACCTGATTTCATCTATATTCCCAGTTATTCCCGTAAGTCCCATCTACTTTTCAGCTTTTCTTTTCAAATTTGCTTCTGTATTTTTAGGGTGGAATGGATATAGATGATTCGTGATACTTAATTAGTTCTTCTTCTTCTTTTAGGTTGGTTTTCATGGAATAGCATTCATGAATGTGAGGTTCGCTTTCTTCCTGAATTCTTTGATGGAAGGTCGCCTTCCAAGAACCCTAAGACATACAAATACTATAGGAATACTATTATTCGTAGATTCAGAGATAACCCCACTAAAAAGATAACCTTTACTGAGGCTCGCAAGACCATTGTTGGAGACGTCGGCTCAATTCGTAGGGTTTTCGATTTCTCAGAGACATGGGGTTTGATCAATTACACTGCTAACTCTTCCAAGTCTCTGATCAAGTGGGAAGAAAAAGAGTCAAAGTCAACATCTGCCTCAGCTCCGCAAAATGCTGACGCCAATGGAACGTCCACTGATTTTACTCTCCCCAAGAAAAGAATCTGCAATCTCTGCAAAACAGTTTGCAGGATTGCTTGTTTCGCTTCTGATAAGGTGATTGCAACAGTCCTCTATTTTAGAGTGTTTGCTTTATCTTGTTTATTCGTAAATTAGAAGGACTAATTGGTATCTAACAACTCTTTTGAATCAAGTTTGAATCTTTTAGCTTCTCCTCAGTTGGTCATGCTTACCTCTTAGCTCTCACATCTCAGTCTATAGATTCATACTTTTCATAGCTCATGGTTTCTATTTAAAAAGTTCTCTTCTTTTTTTTTTCTTTTTTTTTTTGCTTAATCCTAAATGGCAGTTTACTTGAGGTGTTGGTTGGGCTTGTTGCTATTGTCAAAAATGAGTTTACTTCAATTTTTGTTTGTTTAAATGCAGTATGATTTGACTCTTTGTGCAAGATGCTATGTTAGTAATGATAATAGAGTTGGCGTGAATAATTCAGAGCTTCGACGGGTTGAGATTAGTGAGGAAGTTAAGACAGATTGGACTGACAAAGAGACTTTGCACCTTTTAGAAGCTCTTATGCATTATGGCGATGATTGGAAGAAGGTTGCTGAGCATGTTGGTGGCAGAAGCACTAAGGAATGTGTGGCTAGATTTGTCAAGCTTCCTTTCGGTGAGCAGTTTATGGGCCCTCCTGAATCTGCAGAAATGGATAGTGAATCCAGGTCTGAAACTATGTATCTTCAGTCTAAGAGAAGGCGCCTCACACCCTTTGCTGATACAAGCAACCCAATTATAGCACAGGTACTAAGTCACATTTCTTATTACATGGATGTTTTAGGATGTTAGATCAGTGTTTGGGAAGCAAGAAGCAAAAAACAGCGACAAGGGTTCGCTTTACAGAAGCGAGAAGCGTGAAGTTTGCGCACACTTTTTTCAGATAAAGCGGTATTTAGTATAAAAATAATAAAAAATATTAAATAACTGAATAGAAGTAACATATTCCTAGATTAAAAAGTAAATAGATTGTCAATAATCCTCGTGAGTCATAACATATAAAACAAATACATAACCAAATCACAAAGGATCAAACTCTTATTCTTCATTGTGACATTGAATAAGAAAATACAACTTACTACAAGCAAAGATAAAAGAGTAACTCAGTAATAGAACAACAAAAATACTGTAGAAAAAAATATAGAGACAGAACAGATCAGCAGCCAGCAAAAAAGAAAAAAAAAAGAAAAAAACAGAGCAGCAGTAAGTCAGTTAGATATACATGTTCTATTTAGTATTGTGGACCTTGAATATTAAAAAGAAACTGGACATCTGTTAAGTGCTTGTGCATACAATATTCCCTTGGATACTTTGCAAGTTCAATGTAGTTGCTGAAGCAATTCCAATTTCTACGCGATCAAGGGAACTTCGCTTCCCATCTGACTTTGAATTATTTACGTAGATCTTAAGACGTTCTGCTGAAGCAATTTCAATTTCTACACAATCAAGGAAACTTTGCTTCTCATCTTACTTTGATATGTTATATAGATCTAGGGTCATTCTTCTTCCTCATTGACTAAGAGTCTTTTGGGCTGCTGATTTCTTGAAGTAGACAAGTTGATTAATTAGGTCTTTAATAATAGTCAAGTTAGACTTCAACTGATTCCTCTTGTTTTTGAATCTTGCTGCAGGCTGCTTTCCTCTCTGCTCTTGCTGGAAAAGAAGTTGCAGAATTAGCAGCACATGCCGCTGTTACTGCTTTGTCTGAGATTGGTGAAGGAATAACAACAGGGAGTCTAGAATCTGTACTCTGTGGTGCAGAGCGGCAAGGTATCCCTATTATTTGTTGTGGTTTCGACAGAGAAATCCCTATTACTGCAAACTTTTTTGATAAGAGTACTACTGCAAACTTTAGACATATGGGGTGTCAGCTTCATAAGAAAGGAGTTTGTCTAAAGTGAAATCTGATGCAACTCTTGTCTCTTGGTTTGTGCAGTAGTATTAGCGCATTTGCAATGTTAATTAATGTGTCTTCTTGGTGCATTGTTTGCTGCATTCTTTCTGGGAGTGTCTGACAACAACTTTTGGAATGTAAAATGCCAAGGGCCATCTTTACTGACATCCTTGTTTCATTTACAAGGATGTATTGTGAAATTTTTGTCTAGCCTCTTTGTTCCAACAGGATTGGCGGGCATTAATGACCTTGATACTCAATTGACTTAGAATGATTAAACTACATGAGAACTTCATCGATAACAAGACCAAGACAAGAGGGGCTTTTACCCTCCTCCTCCCTTTATTTTTATTTTTTTTGTCTTTTTTATTTGGCTTCACCCCAAGCAGTACTTACCAAAAGACTGGTTTATGGAGATTTCACTTAGTACTTGAATGTCCATTGGCCTTTTAGCAAACTTCCTCTAATTGCAAAGCCAATAATCTCCCTCGTAGCAGAATTGTTGGCAAATGAAGCAGATCTTCGGGGAACTATGTTAAAATAAAATAGTAAGAAGGAAGATGAGATATTCATTTTCCAACTTTAGAACATACTTCCTTCATAAATGACACAGTCTTGTACTATGCAGAATTGGATGGCAAGGATAAACTCGAAAGACCTCTTGTTGAAGCAATGGCTCAGTTTGAGAAGGAGGCATTGGACCTGGAGAGAGCCGTCTCTGATGTGGCAATTGAGGTATACCTTTACATGAAATTGAGTGCTAAATATTCCATAATTTTTTTGATGAGGTCATCAGTGCTAATCAATTATTATATGTTTCCTTTCTCAGACAAAGGAAATTGAGGTCAGAATTGCTCATTTTGAGGAACGTGATTTACAGATGGAGAAGGAGTGGCAACAGCTGATGCAACTTAAGAACCTGATCTTCATTGATCAACTTACTTTTCTAGTAAATAAATCTGGTGCTCCAAGAGCTGGGGAAACCATTAGGGAGGAGGTGATAGATGTTAAGGCAGAATGACAAATCCCTTTGGCATAATCTGGTCTCTTAGGTATTTGTCAAATATTAAGCAGTAGCAAATTCAGAGGAATCATATAGCAGAAGGTATTTATTTATTGGGCTTCTAACCCCCCTGTGTGCTCTCCCTACCTTATATTTCCTTCCTTGCATGTTGTATTAGAACTTGTAATTTACATTTTTATTGTGTTTAATGGTAACTGTTACTGCAGTACCTTTATGTCCAGTTCCTCCTTGGCATGCATGCGCTCTTTAGCATTCTGTCTTGGCCTTTTCACTACAGTTACTTTCTTTTTCTTGAACTGTTTTATTACTTTGAGCGGAGGATCTAGCGGCAACAACCATGAGAGGTTAGTTGGTTGTTTGAAATGTAAAAGGAAAAAAATACTTGTGAAGTAAAAAGGATAACTAAAAAAGGTGTTCAATTGAAACAAGTCTAAGATAAGGTGCCTAAATGAAATATGTTGACAACTTTAAGTGGCTGTAGATGACTTAAGCCTTAATTTTTTATACTACAAATCTATTTCATTATATGCATTTCAAATTATATCCAAAATTTTGTAGTATGACTTTACCATTGATTTTTGGTATGTACTCATTTATGCCAAACTAATCAATATATATTGAGTAATAATTTCACCCAGATATTGACAAATTTTTTTTTCTAATTATAAGTAGGCATTTTATTTGTGCATTTTATACCAATAAAGCAATTTTTCTCTTGGACTTTGTTAGTCCTTGTATACTGCTATCTTCCGGTTCTTCACTATTTTCAGTAAGAAAACATAATTATGTTTTTCTTATATAGATCTATTTATGCTTTTAGTAAGAAGAGAATAGGATTAACTTTGGAATGATTGATTGTTTAATTTAAACAAATTTTACTCCACGTTGTTGTAATTATTTTAGTGATGAGATTTGAACCAAAAAATTATAGGTTTTGTAAATTATCAGTAGGATTGAAAGTTTATTTAATAGATATATATAATTTTCTATCTAGTAGATTAAGAAAATTGTAGGTAAAAGTGTGGATGTGAGGGAGGATTCAAGAAGAGTGAATGGATAACACACCTATACCTTGTTGATGCATGAATGAATTGTCACAGAGCCAAAAAGAGGGATGAAGTTGAAGGTCAGTTTGGCGTGACAGGTGGTCCATTATCATCTTTAGCAACAGATTATGGGAATATCTCGTCACTGATGACTTCCAACTTGTATGCGCTTGCTCTTTTTCCATTTCTTTTTCTTTTTCAGTACTTGCTAAACAATTTACGATAATACAATAATTATAACCTTACCTTCAATTTCCTTGATTTTCTTGGACAATCCAGTCCAGGAGATGCAAAGCAGTACAAGATTAGGATCACAAGTTAAACTCGTTTATTATAAAAAAAAACCTTCATATTTTTTTAAAAGAGAAATATGGCCGCTGATCCCTACTTTTTAGCTCTCTTCAGAAGTAATCGTAGGGAAAATATCCCCAAAGCAAATGTCTGCCAAAACCATCCTCTTGCATTTGCAGGATCTATTGTTTTTGCAACATTCCATGCATATATAGCTTCACCTACATGTGCAGCAGCTGCTAGAACAAATATCACTTTCAACGCCAATATAGAGCGAAAGAAGAAGAGATGAACTGCTCTAATTAAGGGAATGGGTCCATAGTCGGGCAGATATGCAGCAGCAAACAACCCCAACATTCCAATTACACAAAACAGCCATGCCCATATTGTAGGTCCGTCCAAACTCCTACGTTTTCTTTCTTGCCAATATGCAATTGTTGCTGCCATGCCCTCCTTAGAACTTACCATTGGGACGTAACCAAGTTCCTCTTTTGCTTTTAGGAAAGAGAAGTAATGAGTGACACCAACCTAGCACAACCAGAAAACCAAATATCAACTACAATTCTGCCTCTTATACAATTGTTGTGTCCGTGACCAGAGAGAGTTTACTATTGCTTGATATCAATACAGGTGTGAACAGGGACAAGTAACGACTTAAGGGAACAAGTCTTGTCGCAAGGTCAAACAATTAAGGTATTTAACCATTTGACAGTTATTGACCAATATAGACCATCTTCGTGACAAAAATAAAAAAGAATCTGCTACATTTGCCCAATTAGATATGCACAAGGTATAGATATATTATCAATTCCACAGTAGTAAGAAATGCCATAAACTGAGTAAAAGCCGGTGGAAAGATATGTAGTATACAAAACTGGTTTTTGATAATGCTAGTGAAGCCTATCCATTTGAATAAAAGAAGCAAACATAGATTCAAATATGAAGCACTAACCTTGTAGACTTCAGCAGGAAGGATCAGAGGTTGAGGAAGCCACCTACTATTCAACCAAGGATACAGAAAGGAGTAGAAAGCCCAGAAAATTCTTCCCAGAAGAAGTGCATGAGAGACAGCTAGTGATGTCTTTGGTAGATCATAATCCAGGCTTTTCAGTAAAGGGCGAAGGAACTCGAAACTGTTGATAGGAGAACCTGCAACAGAAGATCATTGATGAAGGAAGGTGATGCAGTAAGTAGCAAGTAAAAACTGCTCTGCTTATAGAAACATTTTTTACTCCGATAAAAGCAATTAGATTCTAAAGTCTCTGGAGAATGCTAAAAGAATAATCTTAATTAGAAATTAGTAATTACACCTCTACTTGGTCCAAAGCAAGATTCCACATTCCTACACAACAAATATAAGCCAACGAGTATTTACCATCTGATATAAAATAAGGTTGACCAGCAGCAATTGGATGCCCTTCTCTGCCAGGGATGTCATCCAAAAGTCCCATGCTAGCCAATAAAAGCGCCAATACAAGATTGTCGACGTACACCCAATCTGATTTTACATTTGGTGAACCGATTTTAAAGGGAAACAGACCTAGCTTTGTAAGAGTTATGATCCTTGGCAGGTGCCTTTCTTCACCTGGACCATATATAGCAGCTGGACGAATTGCGCAGGTGTAAAGGCATTCACCATTGTTCTTACTGTCCAATGAAGATACATGCCAAGAAGAGAGAAAACACCCATATAAAATTATGTCAATACAATATCAAGTAGCAGTTCTTGCTGTAAACAATCATAAATATACATATACACACGCAGAGCTGAAAAGGCCAAACAGCTGAGGGGTTACTAGCATCACTACAAAGGGTTTTGGCAGCTTTTTGTCATACATGTTTGACTTGGAGAGACTGATTAAAAAAAGTTTGCACTAGCAAAGGAAAGCCGAAGAGATTTTGCTCATTTTGTAATTTCTATAAAAAAGGAAACTTATCCTCCAGTAAAAACAATCTTGCAAATGCAACTATTTAGTCTAGACATCAGCTATTTTCTATAGTATGTAGCATATGGTACATAATGATAGGTCACTGCAGTAGATTGTATAAAGAGCATACATTTACAGGATATATTTCAGTGGATTGTGAATGAAATGTTGATGTAAAAAATAACTTACGTGAAGGGACGACGGTTGCTCTTTAGGACCAATTGTTCAGCAATTGATTTGCTTCGTCCATATGGATCAACATGGTCATCTATTGGGAAATAAGGTAGGTTCTCATTGCCATTAAGAATTTCCTTACCACCATAAACAACATTAGGTGTGCTGACATAAACAAGCCTCTTAATGTGATGGTGAAGGCAAGCATCAATAATGTGGCAGGTTCCATTAATATTAACCTCATCAACACGACTATACTGAAGCATTTCTTTCCCGGACATGCCATAAGAAGCAAGATGGAAAACACAATCTGACCCTTGTAGTGCTTTCTGGACTTGTTGTTTGTCTGTTATATCCCCTGACCATTGAGCAGAAAGGAACGAGTGTAATAGTGAATATACATATATATATCATCCGTTTCTGGAATCATAGAAAGAGGAGTGACAAATTCCTTAATAATCAATCAATAAAGCCGGCACCTCATATTAATCGGAATTGGGATTCTAGTCAATCCGCCAAATGTTGAATTGAACAGAATATTTTGAGCAAGAACGAGTGAAATGTAAACTGAATCAGAAAAGTTGAGTTGAATGGGAAATGTGGATAAGGGATACCTTGAATGATTTGAACCCCACATTGACGGAGTTGAGATGACCAAGGAGAATGGGTTCTAAGATCAAATGCTTTGACAAGACGAGCACCCCTTCTGACGAGTTCAACACAAAGTGCGGCGCCTATAAAACCAAGTCCACCAGTAACCACGAAACTCTTCTTCTCTATCCCTTCGTTTTCGCTCAGATGCATTTTTCTCTCCTTCCCCACAACTTAACCTAGCTTTGGAAACACCAACACAATGCTCTTTACTAGTTAGTAATCAGTTCACTGCTCACCGCCCCTCCCATACATTGATTTCCTCTGTCCTATTATTTAGTATTAAAAATCATTTACCATACCTATATTTTGTCCATTTTTTTTTTAAAAAAATACTAGTCTTCTTTTGACTATAATTATGGCAAGTTATTGTTTCCTCGACCTATAAATAATTACTGTTTTGGGGGAATCATAAATTTTTAGATTTTTTAAAATATATAATTTATACACATAGCTTTTAAAAATTATTAAAATAAAATTTTGTGATATTATTTTATAATAAATATGCTCTATTAAAGAATCGAAAAGAAGCCAAAAATATTTTTAAAAATACAAGGATATTTTTAGATCAAAAGATGGACGAAAATATTTTAAAAATACAGTCGAAAAAAAAACGCCATGACTTTGAAAAGTCCGAAGAGAACCAATGGAAAGGACATAATATGCTTTTGAAATTGTTGAAACTTTGTTTTTGAAGAGCTTGCTCACTGGTTGCATTCCTTTTGAATTAAGCTTTTTGATAAAATCAATTGTGATTGATATTGAATTTAACATGTTAATTGATTCATTGGGTGTTTGAAAAGTGTGGAGCAGATGAATTTTGCTGAAAATTAACTATATGGACAAGTCTTAGAAGTGATGTGTCCACTAAGAAATAGTGAATTTTTATTTTTGTCTTATAATTATTTTACAAAAGTAGGGGTCATTATATAGAGAATTGATAAAAAAATGTAGTTCTTAATGTTGAAAAAAAAACTACATTATTGGTTCTCCTAATAAGAGATCCTATGCAGGAGTGTATACTATTTAGGACGCCAAAAAAAAAAAAGGTTGAGAAATTTATTGGAATAAGACATGAGAGGGGAGAGAATTGAGGAGTGAATAAATGGAGATTGAGTGATTGTCTATTTGTTTGTGTCATATATTTAGTTCTAGAAAAATCTTATGTTTATAGTTTTTTAAAAAGTTATGTGTCTTGTGGAGGAAATTTACCACTAACAAAAATATTTTAATGAAGTTTAAAAATACAATTTATAGATTTTTAAAATGAAATAATATAAAATGATCATATTACCCTAGATTGTTCTCAAGTTTTTAAATCAAACTTACATCAGTTCACATATTTAGATTAATATGTTTAAAATCAAGTAAAAGCATAAACTTGATTATAGTAAACATTTTTAGTTTACTCTAACTACAAATATATATATCATCCTATTCATTTTATTTGTAAAGTTACTTTTTAACATTTATTAAAATATATATTTTTTAAGTAATAATTTTTATGTTAAAGTAGACATTTTTAGTAAGCATAATGAATATAAAAATATTAGGAATTAATTAAAGTAATAGTTAAATAGAGTAATAAATAGATATCACAATAATTCCTAAAAAGAAGGGCGAAGTGATAACAAAATGAGTTGATAGAAATAATATTAACTAAAGATGCTTCTAATACTGTTTAGTTTGTAAACCTATTATTTTTCGTAGATTTTTGTTAGTATGAAATTATATTTTTACATTTAATCATCATTCACTTCATATACAAAAAGTTGTTTATAGAATTATTTGTTTCTCTTGCTATCTTTCTTAATAGAAATAGATTTTTGCTAGTATAAAATTACATTTTTATCCTTGGTCGTCCTACCACTTCATTCTTCTATTTAATTAAAAAGTAAAAAATGTGTCACGTTCAGAATGAATCCGTCCATTATTGTGTTGTCCTCTTTAACTTGAAATAAAGTTAGCGTAGTTAATTAAAGATTTTGAATTTAATCGTTACAACAGTTGACAAGTGAAGGACCTTAAATGTGCAAATTCAAATATATGTATTACTCAAAAACTGATGCAACCACGTAGGTACGTACAAGATTATGTATCAAAGAGTAGATGCATGAAATTCAATGGAGAAATTTGTTATTGAATCAATTAAAGAAGGAGAATTTGTTGAAAGTGAAATTAGCAGCGTAAGCTTGAAGGAGTTCATTTTGAGGTGACCAAAAATCAGCTTTAAGACCACTTCTCCTTATTGCTTTTAGTATTCTGTTTTTGTGTGCATAACCCATCACAACCACTTTCTCACTCTTAGCTTCCACTTCTACTTTATCTATTCCTGCAATAATAATTAAACACACACATATATATGTATCTCAACATAATAATAATTCATCATTAATCATTAGTACCGTACCTTTTAATTTAGATAGACATTTCCTCACTCTTTTCTCATGTATTCCAACCATCTCTACCTTCAATTCAACTGTCTGCATGCCATAAAATCACATTATTAAGTAGTGTTAGCTAATGTTGTGTTGTAGAGGAACGAACATACAACTAGAAAATTAGAAAGGAGATAAGTGATGAGTGTACAAACCTCCATGTTCACGATGATAATTAATTAAGCCAATGGATGGTCTGTAGCTAGCAACAGTTGGAAAAATGGCACAAAATTAAGGGGCTTGGTAGAATAATGGATAAAAGAATTTGCAAGAGAGGCAACCAATTTATATGTAGACAAAATTAATATTACCATCTGCTTTTTTTGTGCTTTATTAAAAGGATCAGTAGATTGCAAGGAAAACCATTTAACCTTTTAATTTCTTATTTTGTGTGAATGTGCCTAAAAGCAATGTGGGCGTTAGTTCCCAATGATTAGCCTTTGACGAGTCCAACTTTGCTTTTTCTGTCTTATCTTATATTTATACTTTAAAAATATAATTAAAACTATCCCTTTTAATTATTATATCATAACCTATATTATCCTCCTATGTTATGGTTTCTTGAAATTAAAATTTAAAGGTACCTAGCTGGTCTAATTTATTACTCAAGGCATCTAGCTGTTTCTCTTTATTATATACGTGACTTTACTATATAATATTATTTTATGTACAATAAATAAATAAATGTTCATCCAACAAACTAAGCTCAAGACATGTCCAAAGATAAGGGAACAAGACAAAAGCTATATGTGCAGGATCCCATTCCATGCATCTTTGATAGCTAGCTATGTGTAATGTGTGTCTATAGCTAGCAATCGTTCATGACATACTCTTTATATAATAAATAGAATCCAATTTTGGTCAATGTTTCTCCTCCATAATTTCAATATTCAAGTATCAAATTTGATTCTTTCAATCTGCTTTCCCTTGTTGTAAAAGAAAGTTAAAACAACAAGTTAGTTGTTATTTCTTTAACATGGTGAATTTTCTTCTTCTTTCTTCCAATATGAAGATCACTTCCTAGGAAAAGATATATATTTATGGAAGCTTGCTGTAGAAAGAAAAAAAAGGAAGCAATATGGGGTAGTAATTTATGAAGAGTTTCGGTCCATAAAGTAATTAATTTAACAAAGAACAACAGCTACAAGTGTTAAGGCGAAAAAAAGGCATAGATAAGTAGCAGAGGATGTGAAACGGAACCAAGAATGAACAAAGGGAGTGAGAAGAAAAGAGAATTCCACATATATACTTATGACAAGAACCGAAGAGAGCTGAGAAAGACGACTGTCTATTGTTTTTTATACCTTCGATTAGATACAGAGACTTTGATTTTTATTTTATTATTTATTTATTAAAAAAATATTCTAGTTGTTTATTTATCAAAAATAAAAAAATCCTCCTCTGTTTCTCTAAAAATTGACACGTACTTCACATCATCTTTCACCTCCTCCATTAAAGAAAGAAAAATCCAATGCAATTTTTGATTCTCTGCTTTTGGGTTTAGGTTATTGCATAAAACATGGCTGTTGCAACATAAAGTTTGAAAAAGCTTGGGTGTTCAATGAATAGGGTTAAAAAGCTCTTACTCTTTTGCTTAGTTTATATCTTTGTTTTAGATTTTCTGTAAACTGACTGACTATTCTGTTTGTCAAGTTACTGAGTTATGTTCTGAACTAACTAATAGTAATGACGAGTTGGTTGATAGATTTGAACATGAAGTGGCTCATGCTTGCAGTTATAGGTAGTCGCTGATTTTGTTAACGTTCCAATTGTAACCAGAAAATCCCATTCCCTAGGGCACACTAAACCTCTTTTTGACCCAAGTAGTTTTTGTCCCACTCAGGCTAGGCATGTGGATTGAACAAATAACTGATTTTCCTATTGTTTTAGTGCCAGTAATTAAATGTATATGCCTATTATAATGTCACGAACTTACTTACTTCTCCAATTTTCCTCTAATTTATGTTTTCAACTGTTAGTAAGGTTGACACCAGCCTAGGAGTTAGTTTCTTCTATTTGAATCCCTCCTCTCTCCATATGTGCTGGTGACATGTGTGTAAACCAGGGATTAATGGCTTATAGAACATCTAGGGATTTGGTTAATGCTTTACATTTAGTAGCTTGCTTATGCTCAGTGGTTTAGTAGCTTGTAGAACATCTGTTGATCCTGGAGGTTCAGTTAATGCTTTACACTAAGTAGCTTGCTTATGTTCAGGGTCAGTTCCAGTTAAACCTGTCAATAAACTCACCTCATCTCTCTTTTCTTTATTTTATTGGCCTCTTGACACTGGGTATTGCCATAGCATATAGCTACTAAAAGCACATCTCCTAGGTATTTGCACATACTGTAATGGACTTGCTTATAGATTCTATGTAGTAGTATAACTTGCATATTACAGTATTTTCTCTGAATTTCTTTTTGTGCCCAAGGGTTCTTTCTTTTTCCCAGTTTAAACCTTTTTTGGTAGTTGTTCTTTTTGACCTTTTTCCTACCTGAGTTCTTCTTGCTTCTTTTGATGGCAGAATTAGTTTTGGAGTTGGATAACTGTTGAATGCTTACAGTATGTTTCTGATGAAAGATATGGTGAACATGGAAAGTCAGTAAATGTCAAACATGGAATGCTTACATCCTAAAAAGAAGATTAAGAGAATACTTTGGAAGCGGTCCAAGGAGAAATCGAATGGGGAAGACTCTGCTGGAAATGGTACATCATTGATGAAGATGGAACACAATGTGACAAAGAGGCATCATTCTGATTCAATGACCAGTGGTGTAGACAGGCCTTGCATGATGTCACTTCTCCCTCTTCCCAACTTGGAATATTGTAACTCGGGGGGCCCTGCTATCTTGACAGGAACGGCATGCAAAGGGGTAGCTGGACCACCTGTTGGAGTTGTTGATATCGGTGTTAGCATATCTGCTTACTATTTTCGTATTGCTCTACCTGGAGTCAAGAAAGATCCTGGTTTGTTACTTTACCTTTTACTTTGTTGCCTTTCCGTAATATGTTTGAATGTGCTAATTTGCTTTAAGGTCTTAGTCAGCAGAGATCTTGGTTATAATTTATGTGGATCAGATATTACAGAACTGATATTACCAAGCTGTTACTGCAGAAGGACCTAAAGCAAATAGTAGTTCATGAAGCTTGTGCTTTTGACCAATCACATATGGTTGCCCTTTGACTGATTTACTCTATTATATGACTAAGGCCTTGTGAGTCAATGGTCCCACAGATATTCATGGAAGTATCGCATAACATCTATGTTGCTGATCTTTTTTTACCACTGACCATCAGCCGAGGAACTTATCATATTGCATGCAATGAAATCCACATCCAGTCACAATATAGAGAGTTGGGAAGCATGCCGAATGTGAGAAATATGGCTTGAATTGGGAAGTTCATTATGCTGCATGTCTCTGATTGCAGTTAGGGGATGTGGATGAGTCTGATATGAATTTAATTTTGTGCATTTGTTTTCACTGATGATAGGATACTATTTCGACAGAAATTAAAACAAATAGATGGGAATTTCTATGTGTAACTTGTTCATTTTCCTAATGCACACTCAGCTAGGATTGGTTGATGGATGTAGTCCAATATAAACAAAAAGATAAATTTAACAACCATATTCCTGTGTTAAGCTTCTAACGCTACCTCATGATGTCTATTTGAGAAAGAAATATATGGGCAATTATTATGTGGAGATGCTTCTGAATTTACTCATTATTGGCCTGTCTATGATCCTTATATAGTTTTTTTTCGATATCTAGCAATCACGACATTATCATAGAAAAGCTGCTATCCTGATAGAATTCTTGTATGTCAGATTTCTCTGCCTAGCACTCAGAAAACGAGATTGGCTGATACCGTTTAAGTTCTTGTTCTCCATATTGACTGATCCTGTTTTCTGATTTTACTACAGAGTAAAGACTGCATCCATTGGTGCAAATAGATTCACAAACTTCCATGACCATGGTGGTATCTCCATCATATTTACTAAATGAACACTTTAACCCCTTGTTGCAGGTGAGTTCAACTGTGAGATTGAAAAAGATGGGAAGGTCCTTATTCGGGGGGTGACATCAACTGGTGGAAGAACCGTATCAAGATATTCTCGGGTCTTTGATATGAAAATTCAGCAACAATGTCCATCTGGTCCTTTCACCGTCTCCTTTCGTTTGCCCGGGCCTGTCGATCCGAGGTTGTTTTCACCAAATTTCAGATCAGATGGCATTTTTGAAGCTGTTGTAATGAAATACGAGCAGTAGCTAGTTCATGTAAACAACCATTAAAGTCAGAACCCACCACAGAAAGCTGTCTGCTCTTGGATTTCTTGTTATGATTAGTGGTGGGCTGAAGGCTAATGTGCTGTGTTTACTAAACTTGTAGATTATGTATGGTTCAGACAATTACATGTTTTGACGTGTAAATAGAGCAAGTACAGTTTAAATTATTCCCTATTTCATCTTGGTCCAAATGAAGAAATAATCCACTTATGAAGATCTTCTTTTCATAATTGATACCTAATTTTTCTGAAGAAAAAAAAAACTAAAAGAGCATTTTATATTGTCCAAGTTTCCTTCTTGATTTATTCTGAAGAGGCTATCTTCTTCAGGATGTTGTTAGAAGAAAATAAATGAAAAGTAGAAGTGAATTTGCTGTATGGAGAAATGCAAAAATGAATTTGAGGAGTCCTACTAGAAATTGTTTTACCTAGAAAAGTAGTATTGGCATTTAGTACTATTATGTCATGTGCAAAGAAAGACAGATGACAGGTTTAAACAGTCAAAGGGCAGAGAGATGTGTGTTTTCATCTCAAGGTTGATTTATAATGTCAGTCTTAGCTGGAACACCTGCTTTCACATGCCCTCATCAGCTGCTGTAAGGGTAAGAGCACACTCACTTGACACTCTGCTTTGTGTGAGTTGTGAATTCTACTAGGTATGTTCTGCTCAGCTGCTATAAGAGTAAGGGCGCACTCACTTGACACTCTTCTTTGTGTGAATTCTACTAGGTATGTTCTGCTTTTTTTTTCCCTTCATTTCACTAAGTTTTTGCTTTACTCTACCTAGTGCTTCATTCTCACTTGCCTTTAAATTTGAGTTTTCTCTTTTTGCTTTCTTCTCATTTATCTGATTAACTGTTTTTGTCTGTTATAACTAAATGTAAATTGCAGACCTTAAGAATGATATTAAAATTCTTTAGTAAGTAAATCCTCTTTGAAACGTACAAATAAGTGCTGATTAGTATGTTGAAGTATTAATGTCTGTTGTACTTCTGATAATAGTGCATGACTGCTGCTAACTTGAGGTATAAACAAGACTAGTCATGACTCATATATGAGGCAACCAGTTCCTTGTAAAAGAAATCTCACTGAATCTTGACTGGATTCTCGTAATCTCTAATTCACTTTAGCTTCTTTTGGTCAATATAACCCTCTGCAAATTCCAAAAAATTGATTCATTCCGTCACTAAGATTTGTACTTTCCCGTTTCTGCCGAGCAAGGGATACAATTCTGTTTTGAACTATTTCTTTGCTATTTTTTGGAGATTTTAGGATTTGATTTTCAATTCATTTTTGTTATTTGACATGTGATACACTTTGGAAAAGATTTTGGTCTAGGATTCATTCTTTTGGATATCAGGTAATGTTCCTTACATCTGAGCCGTGATGAAGACGCTGAATTTTTGTTTCTGGCGATTGACCAATGAAAAGCATTTGTATTCTTCTTTATTTGAAAGTTTTTGCTGTATGGCTTTCTTATGCTATAATCTGTTTCTTTGCTATCATCTCTTAGCACTGGGAGGAGCCATGGTAAGTCGTAGCATTTTTTAGGATTTGTATGTTAACTCATTTTTGGCTTGTTCAGTGGCTATATGATGCCAATTAGACGATTTAAGGTTTCTTGTCTAACATGTCTAGTTGGAGGAGAGGGAACTAGTATAAGGCGGAATTCAGACCGGAAAATGCATAGGGTGATGAAATTACTTGATCTTTGTCTTAAAATTAGGAGTATAAGCAGAACAAAAGATAGATCACTTGTTTCTTTCACTTTGATCTTGGATCTATATCTTTGGAAGCACCATTTAATGTGTCTATTTGCTGCTTTAAGTAGGCATTATTTGAAATATGACATGATTTCTGCTTTTGAAAGATCTAAACAACACAGTTTAACATTCAGAATCATATAGAAGGCTAGGCATGCTATTGTTATTAGACAGAAACCACACTTCAGCATTAAATTATGGACCTTAAGCATGAGAGACTATGATTCTTAATTATGTAAATCCTCTTTGAAACGTACGAAGTGTTGATTTGTAAACTGAATTACTAATGTCTGTTCTATGCATGAATACTGCTAACTTGTGAAACAAACAAGACTACTCTTAACATAAATCTGATTCAACCATTTACATGTAGAGAGAGAGTTTCACTGAAAACCTCACTGGATTCCCAAATCCCTATTCCTTTTTATCTTCTTTTGCTCTGAGAGTTCCAAAATACCGAGTTACTCCTTTACAAAGATTTGTGCTTTGCCATTTCTGCAGAGCAAGGTATGCAAAAAAGGCATTTACTTCTGCACTTCAAAATTTTGTGCTAAATCCCCATTCTTCGAATTGGCATGTTAACGCCTAAGATATCGTGTATATTAATGTTATTTAGCCACTGTGACTTGTAGTGCAATGAGCCAAATCTTCTACTTTTACCGACATCAACTAATTGCTAGTTAACTGGAAACATAAAAGACTCCTAAAAGTAGTGCCACTAACAACATTAAACTTTTGAATCAGTTGGAACTTAAACCAGCAAAGACAGCTAGAAAGAAGTTGGAAAATGAAATTATGTAGACAGTTTTGCTTTTTGGGAAAATCTGCATGTGCTTCCCTGTAAAACTAGGTAAAAAACATAATTGGAAAAACCCAACCCTCCTGCCATTCAATAGGTATGTGCTCTAGTTGAATGAACGGCTGATCTGGAACTAGACTGTTCCTCTTTCATGGACAAGAATCAGAACTTGTAAAAAATAGAAAGTTGGTTCGGATAGGAAATCTTTCTTGGAAGTTAAGTCTAACCTTATTCGCTTCAAGGGTTTATTGTATATCAACTACGAATAGTAAAAAGGTTGTATCTATACTGAATCATACTGGAAGAAGTTTTAAGCATTAGAAAACTGATACTCATAATGCTGAAAATATTATTATTATATTTAAGAGAAATGGACAGTTGTATTGGAGGCAATTTGTCAGTTGATGTTCTTCCTAATGGGAATGTCAATTTAGAAGGGATAGTAAGAGCAAGCATTACGGCACCAACTATAAGCAACCGAAGAACTCGACGGATATTTCCTCTAGGCCGTCACTTCACCATCAATTTCACCTTGCCAGGAACTGCTGATCCCACGATTGTAAGGGCCAAGTTAGACTCAAAAGGAACTGCGTTTAAACGTTGGATTGGTAGGTCTGGTTAAATTATGAGCTGCCAGAGTTGTCTGTCTGATTAATTGACATGGCTAGCTTGTAATCTTAATTAAAACGATCTTCCAACTCTGGGCACTGAAATTCTGTTCTGTATTTTCCTTTCTTATATACGAAACTTTTTTTGTTATGTTAGCTGCTTATGGACACCATGCAAAGGGATTCTTGTATGTTTTTGAAAACATACAAGAACTGAAAATATATAACTGGATGATTCTTGCAGCTTTTGAAAATATTACAGTAACTTTGTTTCTCCAGTGTTGTTAATTTATTTGGCAAGGTTTTCACACATTGGAAATCAAGCTGGTGAGTTGATGGAAGCAACTTTGTTTTCCCCTGCGCGCTGCAAAGGTGAATTTTATATGCACCATTATAGTAGCTTTGAGGCTGATTCAAGCGTAAAAAACTAATCAGATGTCCGAGTTCTTCGATTAGGCCTTCAGTGCCTGCTCTGTTTGTACCAGCCAATTGGAGGCAAGAAGCTGATGAGACTTTGGAGGATTCCTTCGTCACCTTCACTTGAAAATTTTGACTTTCTTATTGCTCTTTGTAAAGGAACACATTGATTACACAGGGTATATTGAACGGATCAAGGTGTTTTTTGTCCCAAACAGACTTGAGGTGGTTCCAGTTTTGTACGTGGACATGGTTAGCTTGTAATCATCATTAAAACCAAATTCCTATTCTGAAAAATCCCTACTTATAACTCTTGTATGTATCTTTCTTTTTTGCATAAATTCAGCTGAGGCTATCTGGAACTCTTGTAATCAGTCAATTTCTGTTGCTTTTGATATATAATAGTGGAACTTTTGCGTTAAGTTGGTTACTTGGGTCATTCAATGAAATTCTTACTATGAGGCCATATTGTTTGTGATTGTTACAAATTCTTTCAAGTTAATATGTCTTGATTGGAATCCAAGAGTTCCGCCAATTTACTTTACTAGTTTCATTTTTGTATGTAAATAATAAACAAAATATTTGAAACAGTTTGGGAGGGTCAAAAGTGCACCAATATTACAAATACGAGGGACTATTTATTTGAAAATTGATGGGACGACTTTGAATATTTGGGACTATTATTACATTATATGAAAATAGATGGGATGACTTTGAATATTTATGTAAAATAAGGGAGTATTTTGGACATTTTCTCATGTCATTAATATTAGAAGAAAGAAGGTCACTCTAGAAAGTTCACCTGCAGAAGCTGAAGTAGAGCGGCGTTCAATTTTGGCTACGAATCTCTTCAAAGGAGAGGGCTTCAGTGAGGCAAGTTTATCTCTTTCAATTTTTGTTTGCTAGTTATTTTTTTTAATTAGGGTTTTTTCTGGGATTTTACATTAGTGGATTTGTTGTTTTGTGTGATGTTTTTGGTTCTCCTACTTTGGTGCTACTGATTAGGCAAATGCTGGAGGTTTTTTCAGGAAAGGGCCATACTTTATGTGATGCTTCCCTTTTCATGTTAAAGACTGATATAAGAGTGTTAAAAATCCTATCTTTCATGATTGTTTTCTCATCTTTGGCTTAGGCTGTCCTAATGAGTGAAATGGGGGAGTAACCTTATGATTTAATTGTTTGCTCGGGTGCAGTGTGTTTCATCAACGCTAAAATGGTCACCACAGTAAATTTCCTGTCTCTTTGTGGCTTGTTTGTATTTACAAGACTTTGCAGAAAAAATCTGTTGTCTTTAAACTAACATAAATTTGAAATGTCCAGTTCCTACCTGCTACGGCTAAACACTTCGTCATTATGATGGTCAGCTGTAGATGGTGTCTCTTTTGTTTGAAGAATGTAATCGAGTCTTTAGGTTAAGTCAGTGGAGATTCCCTCAAATAAGGATAGGAACTTTTTCTGGAGTAAATAAATCAACTTATATATTAGATCTGTAGCATCTTTTAGCCTCTATATATATGTAAACATGGACTTGCAGATTGATGTTATAAATTAAGGACCCTGCAGCTTGTTCCACTGCTGATTTCTCTTCAGGAGTTGATGCATGTAAAACTGTTGTAGTTTGTGGAGGTGTTGAGGAGGATCGAGCGCTGCAATTATTTTGTAGCAGACTTCATTAAGTTTCATGCAATGTCTGTCAGGAGGCTTAATTTGTTAGAAATTTGTTTGTAAGGGTAATGGACAAAATCTATGGAACTTAAATCTTATTAGTACTCCCTCTGTCCCAAAGTAGATGAGCACTTTTTATTTTACATGGTGATTAAGAAGTCATTAGTAGATTGATCTACTTTACTATTACCCTTTGTTCATATTAATTAGCCTCTTGAAAAAAGAAATTCTTGGATCTTTAAAATATGGGACAAATACTTTGAGTAAGCTGCCCTACTAATATGGGACGGTGGAAGTACTGATTTTCCATATAGGCAAAATATTTTAGGAGTGGAATGAAAACACAGTTGAATAGGATAGAATAAATACATATGATTCAAACAACTAGGACCAACTAATATCGGATTTGAAGCATATTTGAATGATTGGGGCTATTTCTTTTTTCTTGTCAAAATCACACTCATCCTCAGATCTTTTTTTTTATTCAATCCTACAAAGTGAATGTGAACTTTAATACATATGCAAATGCATCAGTAGTCAAATTCTCTATGCTCTAATCCCTGAGGCTAATTCTCTGTCTTATAGCCTGCAGGAAGATCTTGCTTGACACATGTTTAAGCAAGAATTTAGAAATCTGCAGAGCCACCTCACACTTTTTCCCCTGAAGCTAAAGTCGTTATCTTATAAACTGCAGGGAGCTTACTTGCTTGGTACAGCTGTAAAACATGAATCCAAATGAATCTGCAAAGTCTCATGCCAAACCCGATATCATTCTGACTGGGACTGCAAAAACATGTCCAATTGGACCGCCACTTGGTTTGGTTGACATAGGCAGTAGTGATAATGCATATATTTTTCGTGTTGCGCTTCCTGGTGTAAGGCATAAATGTAAGTACTTTTAAATTCCTCTGTAGGTTAATTGTTACTATTGTCTATTTTTTAGAGTGGGTATAGTTAATGGGTGCAACTAGGGATGGCAATGGTGGTGGTGCGGGTCGGGTTGAGCTTGCCCCACATCTGCTCTGCCCCATTTCCATCTCTAGGTGCAACACTGATTATTTGATGCATACACATACTTAAATCTCTTTGATCATAATATGATGATTCTGAAATGAGTCATTCCTAGAAATTGGAATATAAGAATGTATTACAAACACTTGCTATCAATCAATCAAAATTCAGCTACACGGCTACATTAAGTAATTGGGGTTGGTTGGGTAAGTCCCCTGAATTATAAGCACTTGCTATGCAGTGGTAAAATGATTGTAACATTAGGTTTTCGTAAAGTAGCATTTGCAAATTTCGTGCAGGAGTATCATCTATATTTTATATTAAAAGCAAGAGTCCTCAAATTATTAAAGTTGTAGATTCTAAAATCGATCACAGTTTTATCAACTTATAGCAATGCCGTACACTTGACTAGTATACTTAATGTGAAGGTAAGCAAAAAATTTATTTTCTGGAATTTAACAATCAATTGATGTGTATATACTGTACAGGTAATATCCAATTTGACATACAGAGAGAAGGGAGAGTCCGGATAGAAGGTGTGATTACAGAGAGTGAGGCTTTGAAAAACTCACTCAAGGGTTATGAGATGAAAGTTCAGCAGCTTCCTTCCCCTGGGCCTTTTACCATATCGTTCAATTTGCCAGGACCTGTTGATCCCAGATTATGTTCCCCGCAGTTTAGAACCGATGGCATTTTGGAAGTCATTGTGATGAAATATCAGATACCTTTGGTTTCAGCAGAAGGTTTGCCTGAGAATTGGTACAATGGCTCTTTCCCAGCTCCTTGAATTCTATTTGGTCCACAATCCCTATGACACATGAGAATCCTACTTACTCTACAACTCTTGTATTGAATATAACATGGCATCAGCAACGACTTCTCAACTTCTAGGTAGCCATACCTGTACACCAAGGGATTTTGCATTATATGTTCCATTTTGGCAATGTTGACTTGTTTTTTGAATCAACTGTACTTTATGGCAAAAAAAAAAAAAACTTGGGAGCATTGACAGCTTTTCCATCTTTATTATGGTCTATGTTTTCTGTCTTTTCATCAACTTATTGTGAGTCCCCTATTTGCCTGAGTACTGGGAAAACCATGACTGTAAGTCTGTTGATGTCTCGAGCAAAGTATACTTTGTTTTTTCATTACAAAGAGCTTATATGCAAATTGGAAAGCAACATCACATCCTTGTATGGTCAAGTATGTGATTGGCGACCTGCTGTTTTTACTGTGCAACCATGCTGTCAAAAGTAATAGTGACAGTGTGTTTGCCAACAGCAAGAAATACAAATCTCCTTTTGTAATTGTTAGTGTATTTAGTGTACAAAGTCATTACAAATGTTATTTCACTTGCACAACTCACTGGTAAAAGCTAACACCAAGATCGATCTCCTATACGGTTATTTTCTTCCATTTAAACTGTGCCTGTTCCATTTGAACATCCTTTTTCTCTATATTTTGAAGAAAATATGGGCTTCACCATGGGGCATGATGTACTGTAGATACGTATCATCACATTTGTACATTATATTTCACTTTTCGGACGACGCAGAGTCTGTAATGATTATGTACTTGTGTTTTACTGATTTTTTAGGTTTTTATTGGGATTGGTGGAGATTAGCCACAATTATGTCTGAATTTGCTAATGAGGTACTGGAGTTTTTTCAATGCAAGGATTTTTTTAAAAAAAAATACTATATAAAAGTAGAGTTAAAAAAGAAATTTATTACATCATATGTTGTAGTACATAAAACATGAATTGTTCAGAAATAAAAGAGAAAAACACTTGTATCATTTCACTTGTTTTTGAGTGGGAAAGAGACCATTTTGTTAATACCACAAAGTCCTTGGGGTTTGGCTGTGTTTCTCTTGATCCTAATAAAGCCCTTTTCTCCCCATTTGGGCCCCCATGAATTCTTCACAATTATGTAATCTGCTCCTCCTTTTGTGGATCCATATCCTACTGCTGACACTCCATGATCCAAATCTGTTCCACAATGCCCATCAAACACACCCTGCAATTCAATTCAATGCAATGCAATGCGTTATAGAAAAGTTTGACTGTTATTACAATGAGAATGAATGAATTAGGATGTTTACCCCACTATAGAATTGGAAATCTCTAGTAGAAGCCTCAATGGCCACACTCAAAGGTTGGTTTGCAAGTGCTTTCAATAGACTTTGTTCATCATTGGCTGGCACATCATGGTAACCATCAATCGTAACCACCTCCGACTCATCCTAAAAACATTTAAACATATCCTCAATCAATAGTGTACTAAGGAAAGTACATATTTATATATTTACTCACTCACTCTTTTTTCATCACAAGTGCCTTCTTCCATGAGGTAAGGATAATCATCCTCTTTGTGAAGACCGCCATTCGATACAATGAATTGAAATGCATAATCCATTAGGCCTCCATTGCAACCATTGTTATAAGTCGTGTCACAGTCTATCAACTCTTGTTCAGACAAGGATGTCAAATTCCCTGTTTTTATTTGGTTAATTCCCTCTACTGCAGCCACCGTTGAAAATGCCCAACAACTCCCTACATACATACAGTCACACTAATTATCTGAACATAATTATTGTGAAACCAAAAGACGCAACTTACCACATTGACCCTGGTTCTTCACAGGGGTAACAGCACCTTTTTTCCTCCAATCCACAGACTTAGGCAAATCAACAAAATCTCTATACGCAAATTCTTCTTGAGATAATTTCTCTCTTTTATTAAGCAACTCTTGATCAACTTTCAGTCCTAAATACATTTCCTTAAACTCATCATGGCTCAAATCAGAGAACTCATTTAGACCAAGCCAATAGTTGGTAACCATTTTATTCCTTTCATCAATATGCTTCAAATTTTCCTTGAAAATCTCAAACCTATGTAATTTCTCTTCAATGCTCTTATAAATCTTTCCATGTTTATCCATCCATTTATCAAAGAGATTTATGAGCTTATCGATGCAAGTCAAGTCATCAGAGGAGTATCCAACGATGGAATGATCGCGAGCCAATGAGGTGCAGGCCAGGAGAGAAATTGAAAATAAAACAAGTAGTGAAAATTTTGTAAAAGAGAAAAGAGCCATGTTCGTTCGTTTTTTATTTGAATAGTATTGTGTTGTGTTTAGGATGGAGAGTTGGGTTTTTATAGGGTATGTAAGTTTGCTTTGAAGCAAAGTTTTTGTTTTATTGTATAGTAAGTAGTAGGAAAATTCAGTGCACGCTGAGACTTAAAGCATGCTGCTTTATTCGCTTTGGATTAAAACGAAAGTTACGTTTGTTTTTCTTTGAATAATATTCAAAATTTCTGATGCTACTCATTTTTAGTTAGTTTTTACATTGCAATTCCCATTCTTGAATGCTGCTTAGTGCTAATGGTATATAGGGGCCCTGTAGTTACAGTCATTATCATTGCAAATGAATACTTGCTTCACCGGCCATGGGAAAAATTATATAAATATACTATAATAAAAAATTATTTTTTTTTTCACTTGATCAGTTTCAATTCAATTATAATACGTATTACAAAGAACAATTTATTATTCACATATAATACAAGTTTAATACGTATTACAAAGAACAATTTATTATTCACATATAATACAAGTTTTAATGATAAATACACATTTTAATATATTTATAATACAACGTGTCAAAATTTTACCAAACAAACATAATATATTTTAAAAAACAATTATAATTCATCTACATTGCATTTAAAAATGATAATATATAAAAATGATATGAAAAATTCATTTGGCATTTAAAGCAAAATGAAATGAGTTGGGTATTTCGAGTTGACCAACTAACACTCATAAGGGCATATGAAGACCAAAAGTTGAAAGGCGAAGATATCAATGGACCAAACTTTAAACGGGGTATATATAGACCTTTTTTGAATAGTTTAGGGGCATATTTGATTTCTTTTCCTTGAATATAAATATCAAGTGATAATACATAAAAATGACGTGGAAAATCCATTTGACATTTAAATAAAAGTAAAATGAGTCGGATATTTCGAGTTGGCCAACTAACGCCCAAAAGGACATATGTAGACCAAAAGTTGGACGGCAAGGGAATAAATGGACCAAACTTTAAACGGGGTATATCTAAACCTTTTCAAATAGTTTAGGCGCATATTTAACTCTTTTCCCTAAATAATATTTAAAAGTTAAACTATACAATTTCTTTAGACGGATTAAAAAAAAGTTAATCATATAAATTGAATTCGGGAAAAGTGATGTTTAATGTCTCTTGCTGCCCTATCTAACAGACCTCTTTTCTTCCACAAACTTGAAAAATATGCACGAGTCGGGACCACTAGTAACACAGACAACTTCTGCAGCATAAATGCTTAAAAAAAATTCAAAAAATAAAAACGATTTTTTAAAATATATTGTATTCGTACGGAAAGTGAAGTTTATTATATTTCGCTTAAGCAAATTAAAATTTTTTGTATCCATGCTATTCCATTGTCACTGTATGACATACGTATTTTTTGATAATTCACGTGTATCGTTATTAGTACCACTGCCAAAAATCACTTGTATGTCATGTGATACACTTAAATTACGTCTTTGAAAGAAGGAGATATATGTATTGATCGTGATTCGTGAGTGTATTTTCTACTAAATTCAAATTCTAGCTATATATCATTTTAAATCAGTAATACTTTTATTTCAAGTTAATTTAAGGGTTATGTTTGTTGTATCGCATAATTTTCCCCACATACTTTTGGATTACCATTAGTTGGCCCATAAAGTGTAGCTAATAATGCAAAGCCCAGATGGAGTCATGGACCATCTAATTCATGCCCTGTGGTCTATGGTTTTCATGGCTGATATACATGTATAGTTATTAGGACAACTTTCACATATAACAAACACAAAATTTATATTTATGTGTTACTGTAAAGTTTATATAATTGCGCTCCATAGCAAACATATATATGTATGATTCGCTATACATATACAATTGAAGCAAATTGTATAAAACGAGAAAGAGAGAAATTATATACAATTTGAATTTGTATAAAACGAAAAAAAGAGAAAGACAAAAGAGACTTAGGTAGGGAAACATTTGTATTTAATTATAAGGATATAGTATACAATTGAATCGAATTGTATTAAACGAGAAAAAGAGAAATTATATACAATTTGAATTGTATAAAACAAAAAAGAGAGAAACACAAAAGAAACTGGGTAGGAGAGTATTTTTATTGTATAATTATAAGTGTATAGGACGAAAATATATGTTTTCTCTCGATTTATACTAACAGAAACGTAGTTTATACATTTCGTTTATGTTTTTGTAAGCGAGATAGGCGAGCGAAATTAGGGAGAGTGAGAGCGAGATCTGGGAGAGAGGGAAACAAAACTATATGTTGTTTTATACAAACACATTTTATACATTTGTGTTTGTATAAAAAATGAGAGAGGCAAGCGAGACTGCCACCAAACGAGAGTGACGAACAAGATTCCACCAAGGAGAGTGGCGAAAATAGCTATAGTTTGCTATAGGGTATAATTAAATCAAAATATATTTATAACATTTAATTTAAATTAATAATTTTCTACCATATACAATTTTTCCTAGTTATTTTGAACTAGTAATATGTACTTATAATATCTATCGGATAATTGTTAATCGATTAAATAATACTCAATTTTCATTAAATTAAATTCTAAATTCGCCTACGACAACTTCAAACAACAACACGAAGTTATTCAGTATAGGGACATGTACCTACCAAAGCCTACTTAGCTAAATTATTGAGAGTTCTTTCTATGTTTTCTCAACCATGAGATCATTAATAGTATATTTTTTTTAGAGAGAATATCAACAAAATTTCAAAATTTATTTCACCATCTAATAAGGATGTCTGTCTTTTTAATTGACGTGTCATCCACCTTTTTAGTTGAGACTTAGATATTACCTATCAATAAATTCTTAAATTCATGTTTCTTAATGTTTAAATGTTGATTCAATAATAAAATAACTCAAATTCTATACCTAAGGAATATTAAATGTATCTATCCAATTATTTATGAATCTAGTAATATTCCAGCTTGGATATTATGGAAGAAAATAAAACTGATTCATCAAAGTTGTCATGCTAAGACCTTTTTTTTTAGAAAAA